GAACGGACAAGCACGTGAAATCAAACTTCAGGTTTTTGCAGTGTTTCCATGAGTGGTGGCCTTTCATTCACTGGCTCAGACAGCAGAGCCAGTAGGCGATGGGAAGGGGAGGCAGTGGGAGGGGATAAAAGAGGGGAGAATAAGGAAACGGTTTTGCTAAGTTTCGCAATTGGAAAACAATTCAGCTTTCAACAGTGATGCAGCTCTTAACGCGCAACGGTTCCCTAGATGATACGTGTACTTTCCCTCCATTCCTCCCCATCCCCCATTACCGTCCAAAACCAGACCATGTGCAATTATTTGCACTGGGGCAAATCAGCATGTGTAATCAATCTGCCATCGCAAGGAGCCAAATGAACGCAACTGAAAGGAGGTAGCTGGTTCTGGGCAAAGGGAGGACTAGGTGCGAATGCTAAACTGAAATCAGACACGAATAATTGCGACAACAACAAGAATTTACCAAGAAAATCTTGCCTGCAATCAGGGTTTGACTCCTTCTCTCCCTCCCCACACCACCACCCGCCACCCCACCAAACGTCCCGCTACATTGATCTCGTAAGGTAAATGAGGATAAGCTGCTTCTAAACTACATGAGCTTAAGTGAAGATATTTCAAGACAGTAGCGTGTTAAAAGGTAATGGCAAAAAAAAACACATCAGTACAGCTCTCGAGTACCTGAGCTGCCTTCACTAATCTCTGTATTGAAGCAACAACAACACATTACATTTACGCAGCGTCTTTCACATTGGGAGGACATCCCAAGGTGCTGGACAGTCAAGGATTTGGACCCAAGCTGGGAGGTTGGGATCAAGAGGGGTGGAGGGCAGGGAGGGCCGGGGGTTAGGAGAGTGACTGAAGGCGCGGTCGAAAAGAAGATTCTTGAGAATGGCCCTGAAGGAGGCAAGGGAGGGGATGAGTTTTCCTTACAAGCCAAAAAGATGAGTGAATCTTATGTCAGACCTGAACATTTGCTCAGTTGAACAGAAGTCAATGAACGTGCACATTGATGAGGACCTGGTCAGTTACTCTATGGCGTTCGACAGCTGAGAACAACAGCAGTGAATGGGAAATCGAAAGTAAGATCAAAAGGTTGCGGTCAGAATTTCAAATATTCGATAACAAATAGGAGAGCAGTGCATTTATCCTCCTAATAGATTTGAGAGGAGATTAAGTGATCCTATTCAATTGCCCAGTGAACAAGCTTTTGTTCTCAACTCAGTGACTGTCACTCAGGGACTCACGTCATACCCAAGTGGAGGACTGGACAGTTCATTGCAGTACTTTCCGGATCTGCCACAAGTCATTGAAGACCTACAGAATGTATTGAATTCTCAGCTTGATTTGGTTGGTAAAACTCTTGCCTCTTGAGTCACAAAACTCCGGGTATGAACCCCATATTAGAACTCGTAATCCAGGTTAACACATCATTGCAAGTATCAAGGGATCACTCATTGCATTGCTGGAAGTGCTGTCCTCCCAATGAAAGATTAAACCAAAATCCTGCCCCATCTGTTCAGGTGGACGTTAAAGATCCCGTGTCACTATTTCAAAGAATTGCGGTGGGATAAGAGTGATCGCGGATTCCTGGTCATTTTTCACCATTCACATTCACACACAAAGAACAAGGTTTAAACTCAGGTCATCTCTAGGCTGGTGCAGATTGGCTGCTATTTGCCTACATAAGACACTATGCTTCACTACGACGTGATCAGGCTTTATCATCAATTCAAGTACGCGTACATTCCAACCTTTTCGTCAGTGTCTGACCAGTCACTGGGGGCAGGAAATCATCCCACTCAGCTCGCGTTAACCCTGCTAGCCAAAGCCCTAACGGGTAGGGTAGTCCTAGCTGGACAAGCAGCAGGAGAGCTTGTCAGACAGTGATATCAATGGTAAGCTATGCGGTTTTAGCTGGTTAGACTCCAGCAGTTCCTTAACGCACACTCTGGGTCCCCAAGCCTTGGCTCTTGCCAACCTCCACCTAATACTTTCTGGAATTAGGTAAGCAGGATGCACCAGTCCAGGGAGAGAGTGTGCATTCCATTCCAACCATCTATCTCTGGAATTTCCATGTGTAGGTGGGATGATGCATGGAATTCTCAGCTTGGTTTGGAGACTCTTAAGCACAGTGATAGGTTTCCGCATGTGTTAGGACACCCGGCCGACCAAAAAAAAAAACACTTCAGCGTCTCGCTCTGTGCTCAAGGCCTGACCTGGTCATGATTGAATTCTCCAGTAGGAGGTGCATTGACGATGAGGTAAACTGCCTGCTCACTGGTTCTTCCCTTCCCTGTGGGTGAGATGCCAAGACACTGCGCTCCTCTCCCTCTACTCTCTCTCTCTCTCTCTCTCGCTGCACAGCTCCAAAACAGTTCAGTTGAACTCGACAAAGCATCAATTTGGGAAATTCCAGTCAGAAAACAACACGCATTCAATCTCCTCCGGTTTACCGCTCCCTGCAAGGCCAGTGCTTTGAACCAGGCTTTGCAATACGAGACTTTCAATAAAAAAAAACCCTCTACGAAAGCTCCAACAAACGGTAAGTGCAGAACAGCGTCACACTGTTCCGCAGCCAGAATGTCACAGCGCCCCCAGCTCCAGTTAACAGTTGGCTGGGTGCTCCAGTGCTAAGTGCTATGACAGAAGGTAGGTACGTTTTGATCCAATAACAGGGAAAACCAAGCATCCTTTCACATCAGCTGCGATTCTTTTCCTGGTGCACAGCAAGAACACAGACTGAACCCGCAAACACAACCCGGCTATTTGCGACTACACAGATCCTTAATAATAAGAATAATAATTATAATAATAATCCTTGCATTCGATTTAGACCCTATCACGTCGTCGAGATGTCTTAAAGCACTTCACGGAATGCACTGTAAGGCGAATTGACTGTGTATTTTGTGGGCGAAACACAACTCCTGCCTAAACTGATGCCCAAACATGGTGGGTGGTTTTTTGGGTCAGCCGGGTGTCTGACACACGTACAGGAAACCCATCACCGTGCTTAAGAGTATCCAAACCAAACTGAGAATTCCATGCTTCCCACCTACACATGGAAATTCCAGAGACTGATTGTTGGATTCGAACGCGCACTCTCTCTCCCCCCCGGAGGGACACATCCTTGCTTACCTAATTCCGGAAAGTATTAGGGGTAGGTTGGCAAGAGCCAAGGCTTGGGGACCCCAGAGTGTGCTTCGGGATAACTGCTGGAGTCTAACCAGCTGAACAGTCACTGCACTTACCAGCGGAGAGCACTTTGAAACATTTTGAAGCCATAAGGTGCCATTTTCGACGCAAAGATTACACACATTGCAGTATTGAAAGCCCTCACACGCCACCACCGCCCTCATGAATAGGGCATCAGAGCTTCTGGATATTAGTAGTGGAATCCTGTAGCTTAGTGGTTAGCGCGATTGCCTCTCAAGCGAGAGGACCGGGTTCGTTTTCCAGACGGGCGAAAACTTAAGTAGGTTTCCTTACTCCACACGGCTGTTTACCGAGCAGACTGCACAACAGATGCAGTCGATTCACATTACATTACGGGGTATTCTGTGGAGCGCTTCGAGTGGACGTGACAAGGCGCTTGCCGCATCAAAGGCAAGACTTATTCTTGTTATTCCTGATTTGGAAGACATTGAGACGTCTTAACGGGTGCTGGCGTAAGACCATTAAAAGAAAAAGAGCACAGCACAAGGAAAAGTTTTTTTTTAAAAAAAACACACACACACACGCACAAGTGTGTTTACATCCTCTGGAATTAAACTGTGGTTGTGACATAGGAAGGAAACCCCACTTCCTGCAAAGTACAAGGCACAGGATGATAATGCTGAGCTGATGGGGAGACTGGGAGATGCATCCAGGTCCAGGACAACGTGGCCCCGTTTATTTATTGGAAGCACAGACACCGACCAAACGAGCAAGTTCCCCTCCTGGTTTATATGTGCTCTGTAGCCATTACTACCAACACACACACACTCACACCCACTCACACACACACACACACACACAGTTACAACCCATCAGATTAACGTGAGAAATAACTGGCTGGAAATTCTGGGGAGACGGATTGGAAACTTCCTTTGAAGTTAGGGATGGGAGGGAAGAGAGGGATGAAAGCAATAGGGATGATTCTCATTCTCTCTCTCTCTCTCTCCCCCTCCCCCCCCCCCCCCCCCCCCCATCACCACCACCTTTGAAAGCCCAGTGCTGGAATTGGTACCCGAAACAACCCGTTGCATCTCCCAGTCGCGATCGTCCCGGACATGATACATTCTGTGCATCCAAAAGAAAATGCGCTGGAAAAGGCGAATACAGCGGATATACACCGACTCCAGGATTCTCAGAACCGGAGATCGGACCCCTATCCCCCACTCACACCTCCCCACACCCCCCACCACCCCCTCTCCCCCCCCCCCCCACACACACCCCCCACCTCCCCCTCCCCCTCCCCGACACACGATCAAACTGTGCATAACACCCAACACAAATGAACGAATTCTTCCTCCATCCCCTGGTCCCCGGGACCTTACAGTCAATGCTGGAAAAAGGTCAGGAAACAGGTCTGCAGGACCGAGCAGAGGGTGGGATGGATAATAGCCCTCTCCCCCCCCCCCCCCCACACCACCCCCACCCCCCCCCACACCACCCCCACCCCCCCCCACACCACCCCCACCCCCCAAACACACACAATAATCTGGGATACTGGAATCATTCGAGATGCCTGAGATAATACAGTAACATAACATAGTATCCCCCCACCCCCCCCCCTCAACAAACACCACCCCTTGTACCCCCCCCCCCACCAGCCACACAACACACAGCCCCTCGTCTCTCACATCATTGAGAACATCATTGCATTGATGCAAAATTGGACTCTATCGATGTAGGAAACCAAAGGTCTCTCCCTCCCTCCCTCCCTCCCTCCCTCTGTTCTCCTCCCCTCTCTCCCCTCATCCCCTCCCCCTCCCTCCCCCCCTCCCTCTCCATCCCCAGTCTACCTGCACACTGGCCCGGCTGGTCTGGGTCTGGGTCTGGGTCTGGGTCTGGGTCTGGGTCTCCGCCTCGATGCTGTGTCCGCCTTCTCCGACCTCTTTCTTGGCCAAAGCCGCGGGAGCCCGGAGTGGGCAACCGCTGGAGATGGAGTCCGAGGGCTCAGTCTGGAGACACGAGCCGAGGGCGGGGGCGGCTCGGCTCGGCTGTGGGGGCGCCTGGGTCTGGGTCTGGGTCTGGGTCTGGGTCTGGTGGGGAGAGGTGGAATCGTCCGACTCCCGACAGTACACCACTCCGCTCTGGGAAACGTGGATACTGGGAGCACAGCCCATGGCTGGGCGGCCGCCGCCAGTTCTGCTGCCTGTTCCGTGTCCCCGGCCCCTCCGGCCCCCCTCCGGCCCCCCTCCGGCCCGTCCGGCCCCTCTCCGGCCCCGGCTGATGGTGGAGGAGGTTCGGTTGGGTGATGGGAGAGGAGGAGAGGGTTTGGGTGGGAAGAGGTACCTTTGTCCTGGACTCCTCTCTCCCTCTCCCTCCACACACACCCACACACACCTCCGGCCACAGCGGCCACCGACCGCTCACTCAATTGGGTCCAAGGCGTAGAGATGAAAGGTGCGTCCACTCGCTCATAGCACTGCGGTCTCTCTCTCTCTCTCCCCTCCACCCCCCCACCTCCCTCTTGTCTTCTCCCCTTCCCTTTCTCTCTCTTCCTTTCCCTCTCCCTCTTTCACTCACTATCCCTCCCCTTCTCTGCCTCTCTTTGCCCTTCTCTCTTCCCTCCCTCTCCCTCCCTCCCCCTCTCTCTCTTCCCTTCCCCCTCCTTGTCTTGTCTCCTTCCCTCTTTCTTTCCCCCCTTCCCCCCCTCCCAGGCAGATGAGGAGGTACGTGGCCCCGTTAATGTCGGCCTTTATCTCTCCATCCAACGGGACGTGCCATTCGCAATGGGAACCCGGACTTGATCTTGAGCCGCCGCCTCCTCCTCTCCTCCTCTCCCCGGGGCAGAGAGAGAGAGAGAGGGAGAGAGAGAGGCCGGGGGAAGCCTGTTCACCCCCACTCCCCTCTCTCTCTCTCTTCTCTCACAACCTCATGGCCCCGAGCATCCCTCGGGCAGCCTGGAGGGAGAAGAGGAGGAGGAGGAGGAGGAGAGCGAGAGAGAGAGAGAGAAAGGGGAGGGGGGGAGAGGAGAGAAAGGGGGAGAGAGAGAGAGAGGGGGGGGGGAAGAGGGAGAAAGGGGGGAAGAGAGAGAGAAAGGGGGGAGAGGAAAGGGGAAGTGAGAGAGAGAACAGGGGGAAAAGAGGAGAGAAAGGGGGGAAGAGAGAGAGAGGGGGGGGAAGAGGAAAGGGGAAGTGAGAGAGAGAGAGAAAGGGGGGAAGAGAGAGAGGGGGTGGGGGGGGGCGGAATGCAAGAAAGGGAAAGAGAGAGGGAGAGAGAATGGGAGAAAAGGGGAGAGAGAGTTCTGGTGAAGGATGGAAGGGAAAGGGTGGATGGATGGGGAGAAGAGGAGAGAGAAACAGGGGCAAAGGAAAGAGGGAAGAGATGCAACAAACAGGAGAGAAGGGGAATGAAAGAGGGAGAGAGAGATGGATAGATAGAGAGAGAGAGAGAGAGGAGAGAGAGAGAGAGGAGAGGCTGAGAGCTGCTGTTGGGAAGGGGATCAGTGTGTGGTGGGGCAGACAGACACTCGTCAGTGTGAGAGGGGGAGAGACACCACACCTCCCTGTCTCTCTCTCTCTCTCTCTCTTTCTCCCCCTGTGTGTGTCTCTCTCTCTCTCCCCCCCCCCCCCCCCCCCCGAGCTCCGGGCCAGCCCTCGCCGCCCCCCAGAGCAGCTGATCCGGCAGCGGGTCCCTCGCGTCCGGCCCCCTCCCTCCGCCTCACCTCCGACCTTCACCCACGTCAATGTAACTCTCTGCCCATCCAACCAGTCACTCGCCACCAAGAGCAGCCCGCGGGAGATTCAAACCCAGACAGACAGACAGACACCCAGCCAGCTACCCAGACAGACAGACAGACAGACAGACAGACAGACAGACAGACACCCAGACAGACAGACACCCAGACAGCTACCCAGACAGACAGACAGACAGACACACAGACAGACAGACACCCAGACAGCTACCCAGACAGACACACAGACACACAGACAGACAGACAGACACCCAGACAGACAGACACCCAGACAGACAGACAGACAGACACACAGACAGACAGACAGACACCCAGACACACAGACAGACAGACAGACAGACAGACAGACAGACACCCAGCCAGCCAGCTACCCAGACAGACAGCCACCCAGCCAGCTACCCAGGCAGACAGACAGACAGACAGACACCCAGACAGACAACCACCCAGACAGACAGACAGCCACCCAGACAGACAGACAGCTAGCCACCCAGCCAGACAGCTAGCCACCCAGCCAGACAGCCACCCACCCAGACAGACAGACAGCCACCCAGCCAGCCAGCCACCCAGCTAGCCACCCAGCCAGCCACCCAGCCCGGCTCCCTGCCTCGCCTCCAACACAGTCCAGTGCGCTGCAGTTGGCACACAGCAATTAAGGTGTAAAATACATGACTGTACTGTAGGGGAACTGTGCTCTGTTCCCTTAAGAATGCGATTACAGTATGTATCTGAACGGCGTTATTGCTTTGGGTCAACCGGGTGTCTGACGCACGTGGAAACCCATCACCGTACTTTAGAGCGTCCAAACCGAACTGAGAATTCCATCCCTCCCGCCTACACCTGGAAATGCACAAGACAGATTGTTGGAATGGAATGCACTGCAGTATTATCCAAGTTTGGTGTGGTATCTGGAACTTTCATCCCTCCCCAAAAGGCTGTGGATCTCTGGATCGATTCAAGTTTTTCCAGACCGAGGTCGAAAGATTTTTGTTAGGTAAGGGTATCAAGCGATGTGGAGCAAAGGCAGGTAAATGGAGTTGAAGTACAGATCAAGTAATAATAATCTTTACCTTCCCCTGCATCTCTCTTTATTGTTTTAGGCAGAGTAGTGTAGCCGTTTCAGAGCCCAATCTTACTTGTGAGATCAGATTTACAGATAGCAACAATTAACTAAGGGGATAAAGGAAGGAGTTAGTGAAAGTGAGCAGGAAAGACTCGGCTCCAATTCCCGATTCTGTGTAGAGTTCGTATGAGCCAGGCAGCAGTAAAGGGCACTGAAAAATTAGCTTCAGTGTGGTCCAGGAAGATTCCTATTGATGACCTCTCCTAGTTGACATATTGGAAAGTGGGTGAGAAGAGGGTGTATAGAAATTGGAACAGCATAGGGCTTGACTGGGACAGGTATTACTGTCTTACTGACCCAAAGCCTTGTCCGCCTCATTTTTTTTCTCCCATCGGTATGTGGTTTGACCTATATTGGGCTCCAAGCTAAGTCAACATTCGGCTAACATTGGTTGCCACAACTAGCCTCTACTTTGGTTGCAATGTATTTCTAGTGTGGTCACACCATTGATAGCGGCAGTTTCGATTACCAGCCATAAAAAGTTTGCATAGACTCATAAGTAATACATATTATGATAAATATGATTAATAAATAATATTTATCATAAATAACATTTATTCACTTGGACAGCAAGCAAAAGTCAAAACTTAGAATGGCATGGACCGTTACATCACACAAACAGGCCATTCGGCCCAACTAGTCCATACCAGTGTTAAACTTCACACCAGCTTCCACCCATTCTGCCCCCTTCTCCAATACCCCTCTATTCCCTTCTCTCTCATGGTTAGAAACAGGACAAGGGCGAGGGTCAAAGACCATGAACCAACAACCATAGGGAAGCAGTACAGTAAGCTATTTCATGAGATTAAAGGAAAGCACATAAAGTTGCTGGCGTTCCTCCAGTACCACATGTAAATCAAGCCGCCCATTTAAACGTCCATCACATGAAAATCAATTCACCTTGGGGAACATTAACTTTACTGCCAAAAGACTTCACCAGATAGTGACAAATTGCATCAATACCCTTCAATTATCACTGGCTAACTACACATTAAAAGCACACACAAACACACACGCACACAGGGAACTCTGTTCCAAGGTTAGTCTGAACAAGCATAGAGTCGCAGACTTTAACCTATTAAAGTTCTGACGTGCAATCAGATCAGATTGGATAGGAAGGGATTCAATTGGTCTCCAGTGCCGCCCGTCATCATATTATTTATTTCTTCCTTTGAATCCTTTGAAAATATTTTTTTCCTCATGTATCTTTCCTGATGTCAATCACCAGCCTTAACTGTATTTCCCCCTTTGTTTGAAATCAGTCTCAGTCCAAGGCTTTGTTTGCTAAATAGGAATAGCTGTTACAAGTAAGATTAAACATTAATAGTGTTTGTGTTATAGAGTTAGATTACACAATCTGTCTAACCACATGATTAGCCACTTGCTGGGATGTCACTGGTGAGTTTGTTTGTAACCACAGCCCTTTTAAAAAGGGATTATTGCAATTCTTTGCACAATTCACTGCGGCAAATACATTATTGCATTAAAACTAATGCTGGCGAACATTTAAATAAAAAATGGGTTTGGGTCTGATTCCTCATGGATTCTGGTGGAGAGGAAAGTGATATGTGTTTGGTGGACTAGAGGTACACTCGTAATATATGTCCAGTACCAATAGGCTCTGTACTAGACATGTAAGGTAAAAAAAATCAACAGCCTTTTACCATAGCTATTAAATCCTCTCTCAGGTGCACCTTCATGTCTTTAAAAATTAATAATAATAATTTGGTCACCTAATCCACGACTGTTTGTGTGACACTGCTGTGTGTAATTGGCTGCCGCGTTTCGCCCACAAAATACACAGTCAATCCACTTTACGGTATATTCTGTGAACCGCTTTGAGACGTCTCAACGACGTGATAAGGCACTACAGTATATCAAATGCAATACGACCCTGTCTGGTTTTCTTAACCGAAAGGTGTCATCTTATTAACAGCACTCGGCATGGCGTGAAAACCCTTCTCACCCAAGAACAGGAAAAGGTTTTACTCACTCAATATAATAATAATAATAATAAAAAAAATCACCATAGTATTTTGACACTAAATGCATCCTGTGCAATGGACACTCAAATGTACAAAATGAAAAGCAACCTGAAATCAAACACCCTGGGGGTAGAATGGCAAATGATTTCCGTTCTCTTCATTCCTTTACTAACTCCTCTATTCCTCTCTTCCTCCTTCTCTCTATCCCTGTAAAAGGGATTTGAAAAGAGACGAGAACTTCTGCCACCCCACACCCCCCATCCCACACCCCACCTCTTCACCCCCAACATGTACTGGGTTACACAAGCTCATGAACAATTTCCCCACAGAGGTGTGTGTGTGTGTGGGGGGGGTGGGGGGTATCAGTGTAATTTTCCTCCCCTGGCAGTGAATATTAGTAACATAACAAGCTTTGAAAAAAAGTTGCTACTGATGTAGTGCTGCCAATATTCCTTTGGCTGATTTGCACAGCGTCAGAGCGTAACTCTTTGAGCCTTTGAAATCCAAAGATTGCAATGTTAGTCTTTAGCCACAAGCCTTTGAAATACAAACAATGTCCTTTCTTTATCTGTTCTGGCAACTAACTTCTTTGGATGGGGCTAATCTCCCAGCTCAGTCCTGTTTGCTAAATCCACCCTTTTTTTTAAAAAAAATGTTATTAATGTTATTATTATTATTATTGCTTCTAATAATTTATTATTAGTAGTAATAATGTTTGTGTTTGAGAGAGAGAATGTAAGTTATTATACTGATATTATACTAATTATTATACTAATTATAATAATTATTATGATAACGATTATGCTAATTAAAGTTATTATTATACTAACTATTATACTAATAATAAATCTGCACAGTCCAGATCAGGACACGGAATATTAATATTATTATGATTAAGCTGATTTTTTTTGCTACCACTCTGGATCTTAACGAATCAGTGGCAGATTTTAGGGGCTTTTACATCTGTGTGTTTCTCCCTGGGAGGGGGTGAGGGAGAGAGGGGGTGAGGGAGGGGTGGGGGGGGATTTGCCCTCAGTCTCAGTCTCAGCCAAATCCGATGCATAACAAATTTCACTCTCCAGAGAAATTCTCTGCCTCGGGGTTGTTAGGTCGAAACTAACTTTTTGGAAAAAAAATACAAAGATAAGGATATAAATATATATCACACAGAACATGCACTGGACTCAAGTACAATTCCCCCAATTGTGAAATGGACAGGGGGGGGGGGGGGGGGGAGAGAGAGAGAGAGAGAGAGTGAAATGCACAAATAATGCTCACTGGGCTCTGACCTTCCATGGACCGTTCCTTGGACCCTTGTTCCCCAAAGTCGGCTCCTCTGCTTTCGCCTCCATTTGTCAGTCTTCTCACCTCAATTGGCTCATAGTCCTGTTCATTCCCCTCTCTGGAGCCCGAGCATCAAGTTCCGGGAAGAGGGAGGAGAGGAGAGGGGAGCAGAGGGGGGGGAGTGGGGAGGGGGTGGTGGGGAGAGGTTGGAGGTGAAGATGGGGAAGATGATTTGCTTTTAGTGGCAGTGGACGAATTCAATAGATTTTCTCCGCAAATCCAAAATACAGTCGAGAGGAAAATCCACGCAAAGAGTCAAACCCACAGACAGGAAAGGAAGATGGACTATCTCATCAGTCTCAAACGTCAACGTGACATTACAACTCTGGCTCCTAACCAACTGCGTCACTTTGAACGTGTTAAATGTCTCCCCCCAATTCGTTCCGACAATTGTCTTTCTTTTTCTTTTACTCCCCCCCCCCCCCCCCCCCCCCCCCTCTCTCTCTCTCTCTCTCTGTCTCTAACCCACTCCCCCCCCAAAAAAAAGTCTAAGTTCCTTCGTTAATTTGCTGTTTGCTGTGTTTCACAGAGTTCCAGTGGAGTTTGAATGCTCCTTTACGCAGCAAATACTTTCTGATACGCGCAGCTCGAAAGCTTATCTCTTCCTTCCTTTCCTTCCTTATCTGATCGTTGGAATGAGTTGGAACCAAAGAGTTGTCTACTAGAGAACTTCCCACTATCCCCACCCCTCTCCTCCTCCTCCCCCCCACCCCTCCCCACCTTATAACCCACTCCACAAACAGCTGGAACCTCTGTCACTCCCACATACCGAGGTCTCCTTTTGAGCTCTGGTCAGCTATCGCTTTCACTCTTCAAAACCTTACCAGAGAGCCTGAGACGCCCTCTACAGACCCAGAACTTCAGAGGAGGGGAATGTTGATATTGCACTGTTAGTTGCCTTGGATGGTGTGGGATTGTGAAATAAAATGGGGTTTGTTTGACTGATTATTACGCAAAGCATTAGTATAAAATAGTTGTCCCATCGCCGAGTTTCTGTGTGGGTGACCTGGGATTAAAACTTGTTTTTTTTTTGCATTATATATATAAATATTTATGTAATATAAGTACAAGTTGTTGTATAAAAGTGTAAACTTTTTAATTCATTTATTTTCAATTTCAAAATGATCCATTTTTCCAGGCCAACGACGACAACAACTTGCACTTATAATAGCCCCCTCCGCGCATGGTAACGTCTCAGAGTGCTTAAGAGTGACGGAGCCAGGGGGAGGTGGCTGTAAGCACGGTCGAACAGGAAAGAGGAGAGGGAGAGGGGGGGGCCAAGGCGGAGGGATTGAGGGAGAGCGTTCCAGAGTTTAGGGGCATAGTGGCTGAAAGCGCGACCTCCGATGGTGGGGCAGAAGGGGCGAGAGACGAGGAGGAAGCTGGTGCCAGTCGAGTGGAGGCATTGGGTGGTGGATTGGGGAGTGAGGAGGTCGGAGAGATAGGGAGGTGCCAGAATGTGAAGGGATTTGAACACGAGTGTGAGGGGCTTGAAGTCGATCCGTTCGGTGATGGGGAGCCAGTGGAGCCTGGGCCAGAACCGGTGAGATGTGGGACGTATCTTGGGAGTCAGTGTTTTTTTCCAGTTGGGATAGTATACATCCTACAACCACTCACACACAAGTACACACAATTTTAAAGAAAATAATTTACAAATTAATCTACTTTTGGACAGTTTTTGCAGGAGTGAGCAGACAATATTGCATACTCTGGTGCCATCTGGTGTTTGGTAGTGCATGATTAACCGCAAGGTTTATCAGTGTCACACCGAATCGGAGATAAGAACAGATCATTTTTTTTGGGTCAGCCGGGTGTCTGACACATACGGAAACCCATCACCGTTGCTTCAGAGTATCCACACCAAACTGAGAATTCCATGCATCCCACCTACACATGGAAATTCCAGAGACAGACTGTTGAATGCGCACTCTACTCTCTACCTGGAGGGACCCATCGTGCTTACCTAATTCGGAAAGCATTAGGCGCAGGTTGGCAAGAACCAAGGCTTGGGGATCATTCAGTCCTTTCAACCTACGGCTAACTGTTGCTAACTGACCCCCAATCCTCTCCCAAAGTGGCCGTCCGCCATGTTTAAGACCAGAACAGGCCCTTTCCTTTCTCCCTTCTTTTTTAATCATTGATTGATTATTGTTGTTGAACAAATAGTAAATCTTGTGATTATTTATAATGTTCAAACTCAACCCATCTCCTGGTTTGTGTACCAACAGGCAATCAATACAATATGACACTGAGCTTGTATCTGAACCAAACTGTAGAATTTATCTCTGACCAGCAGAGGAAGTAAAGATTTACCTTCTCCAGCTTGTTTTTTTTTCACTTCTCTGGGTTATTTAACATGTGAGGGATGAGACTTTAACAGAGAGAATAGTGTGCTCATTTTGTTTTTGTCAGCCAGTTTGGATACTGTTAAGCATGGTGGTGAGTTTCTGCATGGACACATTGTGGAAACTCATCACCATGCTTAAGAGTATCCAAACATTAACTTTCCAACTGAAGCCATTGGATAGTGATTAGGAATAGAAAGTTGTCAACCCCTCTTCAGGACCTGAGAGGTTTGAGGGGGGTGGGGATGCAAAGGGGAGTCAATGAGGCCAATTGCACCCAGACAACAAGCTAACTCAACACTGAATGTAAAACATCTGCGTCTTCAACTTAAAGAACCTCCACAAGTAATTTGCAAGACCAGTTTTATTTATTAGCAAAGAATAAAAGAGTAAACAATAAATCGCATGCCACCAGTAAGTACATCCCTGTAACAACTAAAAATAAACTATTGAATTATTCCCACGTTAAAACTTTTTTAAAAAAAACACATGTTTGTGATGGTTTCATTCAGCCAAAGTATCATTGTATCTGTTCCCAGGGAGTGTGTGTGTAGAGGAGCACCAAATTACATACACCAGTTTATTTATCTCAAGAATCTCTGCTGGTTAACTACATCACCTAAATGTGAATGTGTTAATGAGTCAGTTTAGAAAAGGTGATTGTCCATTGAGGAACTTTTCACCTGATTGGAGTAATATTTTGGTGAGCGCCACCTCACACTAACCCCCAGTGTTTGAATGAAACCTGTAAACACCACTTTAAGATTTAAAAACAGATGTAATTAAAAAAAACTGCAAAGATATTCATTCTAGAAATGTATGTATGTATGTATGGGAAATGGCTGACTGTGTAGAATAAACTCTCACCAATTTGGGATCTTCAACATTGTGAATCACTGAGACCCTAAGGAAACTGGCAAATAAAATCACAGACAGAAAAACAATGGACATCACATTTAAATGATTATTCCCATCCAATAAAACATGGTCCTCTGGTAAACCCAATGTGGAGTGTGGCTGGATTTCCAATAGCTCATTATTTAGAAAATGACAATAGAAACTCTTCAACTAGGATCAGGCCTAGTCATTTACTCTGAAAGAATTCATCACGTTCACTTTTAAGAATAAAAAAATTCCCAGTTTCAGGAAGAAGGAAATGTTTGGAAGATAGCCAGAGGACCTTTGATGCAGCTGCATGATTGACGTTTAACCTATTTCCGAAGCGGAGGAGGGGATGGAAGGGAGGGAGAGTGGTGGGACTGTGCGGGGAAACCTCTGCCCGAACCTTCTTAAGAAAGCTGCACTCTTCAAAGAAAACCCAATTTCATGCATGTGTTGGATTTTGTAGTAAATCGCTCGCTTGTGTGTCCAACCCTTGGAACCTCACAAAGACTTGCCTCCCTCAGTCAAAGTACGACTGTAGGGTACCACGACGACGGATGTCACTCGTCCAGCAATGGAAGCCACCACCCATTGAATTGGCGTAACGGATGTTGACTTTCACTGTTTCAATTCCTGCATTGAAAAAATACAAGGAAAGGGTTTCTAACTCAAGAAACACCAACCCCAGAAACAAACAAAAAAACAGCTCTTTGTGGTACGTTTCTCCCACAAAATATACAGTCAATTCACTTCACCGTATATTCTGTGAAGCACTTACAGATGTCTCGAATAGGTGATAAGGCGCTATGTCAAGTTCAAGGATTATTATTAAAAGTATGCTCCAGGGCTCTTATGAAAAGAGCCTTTAGGATAGCGAAGGACAGGGGAATGTAAGATGTATTGTTACGATTTCAAAACCAGAATAAACCAACAAGTAAGGAATTGGGAAAATAAGTTACCGAGTTTCTCAAACATTTTCTGAATCGTAGTCTCATTAGAGTCAACCATTACTCGTTTCTCATCTAACATCAAGACGTTCATGGAAAGCCATTTGGAAGACATCCACAAAGGATGGTCTGGAATGTGAGAGAACACAGATCAGGTTATATGTAACAAGAGTTACTTCCAGACTACCAAAGTAACATGACTTAATGTCAATACCTAGTTCCAACAATGACATTTCGTAAAATGAGTGAACATTTTTTGACACTAGCAGTGCCCAACAGTGACTTAATCTGAAAAGGTTCGTTCTTATTTACCATCTGGAATCAGAGGAGTTGGAGGTTGGACGATAGTCCATCCAGCTTTTTTGAAGAAATCAATCTGGAAAAGAAATGGCAACAAGGTAAAGTGTTGGATTTGAGAAATTTCTGTACACAATATCCTCTCACAACGTTGAGTTCACCACTATCTAATTGTAATCACGGAGTTACATTATGGTGTCATATTGACTAAATAACCTTACTTGGTGACAGGGGCGGTCTGGATTAGAAAGAACCAACCCGGGTCCAATGATATTGAAGGTAGCATCAATGTGCATTGGGTTGGGATCCTGGAAGGAAATGGTGTGGATTCTGTAAGTCGGAGCCAGGTGTCTACGCATCCATTCGATTCCCATTAAATTAGTCACCTAGAAAAGAGCAAGTCATAGTTACAGGCCTGATACTGTCTCCAAAAATCATACAAATATCTGCCCAACACTCAAAGTTGTCAATAATAATAATAATAATCCTTGCATTTGATCCCAAACTGCAACATCAGTGAAGAATGCAGTGATTGTTTTGAGTTTTTTCTACTACGCTAGAACATTACTGAGACTGCCAAAGGCTTCTACGTTTGCCCACAAAATATATACAGTCAATTCACTTTACAGTATATTCTGTGAAGCGTTTTGAGACGTCTCAACAGTGTGATAAGGCGCTATATCAAATGCAAAGATTATTATTATTATTATTATTACTATTACCTGGCTCCGTTGCACAAATATGTCCTTCCCTGCCCTGATGAAATCAGCAGCATCAAAGCACGGTTCGAATTCAGTGGTTACAAACTTGCCCTGTGCCGCGAGCTTGTGTCTTTCTTTCACAGACACAATGGGATAATCCTGTACCAGTGAAGATGTGAACAACGAGAAAGAATCACTTACTTATCAGATGAGATAAACACAGATCACGTTGTAAAATATACAATGTGTAGCTTAGAAACTCCACTTTCTCTAATGAGGTATTGCTTTCCAGTCTCCCACTTTACTGCTCTAAGCAAATCATTGGGAGACGGGTTGGCAGTGCAGCTATGCACGTTGATTTGCCATCTTACAAAGGGTGTTGCTTTGCCCCTACTTGATGGCACCTCACAGATCAGGTTGGGTTGGGTTGGATTGGGAACTTATCAATTGAGAAGCCTTACCATGAGCCCATGTCCTTCCACTCTTGAGATGGAGCAAGGTTAATGGTTTCTCAAGGCAACTAACAGCTCACCATAGCAAGGTGGGTTTTTCACTTCTCAACCAGTTTGTGGGATTTGGCACCTTGAAACTTACCAGGTCATACAGCCTGTCTGACATTTGTGGCTTGGGAGCAGTTGTCCACCTCGCCCCACGCCGAAAATAATCCTTTATGAGTGACCGGTATGCTCTGTATTCAAAAAAGCGAGCCCGCCAAGCCATGGGAGCTTCAATGATCTCATTCCCAACTACCAGCAAAATATCCCTTGGCATTGAGGCGTACATCCCTGGAGAGAGGAAAGGTGGTCAATGATAGGGCACTTTGACATATTACATTCAACTGTTACACAATGAATCGCTCAGATGATTCCACAACCCATATTAAACCAGTGTCTCAATTTCATAGGTTTCTTACATTTTGTGTTTGTTTGACGTTGATAGTTTTCTGTGTTGATTTTTATCTGCCTCTTTGCAATCAGTGTCAGTATCGAGCACTTGTCTTCTGAGGTTAGGGATTAAGATTCACTGAGAATCAATTTATGGGAGGACCGAATGAGGATAAAGTCCACTCCTCCGATGGACTTACAAAACCTACTCCATTATGAAACTCACCCCACCCACTGTATTTACTGGGGATAGGGAGGGAAGTGTGGTATAGATGGATATTCTCTGATCCTCAAAGGTAATTAATATTCCAAAATATTCATCCAACCCTAAGCCACCACTGTTTGACTTCATCTCCACACCGGATTGTTGAGCGGGAAAAGGTTCCATTCCGCACCATTGACATCCACTGGAAAACTAGTCTAGTATTTACTCGGGATACTGTATATAGTGTGGGACACAACATGTCAAGCGACTGCCAGGATGATGGAAGGCAAACTGGATGGACCTTAGTCTTCTTATGCCTGGCAAATTCTTACGTACTATTGTAAACCTCATTGTTTTACAAAAACATTGATTGGCATTTAGAAATAAGAGAGGAGATTTTACCAGTGGATTCAAAATCCGGTGTATTGTACTTAGCAGACCAGTCAACAATATCGGGTCGTTGGACAGTAACCCCCTCTGCTCGCAGTATGTCACACATCCCTTCGATCTCAGCAATGGCTTTCTTCACATGTTCTGTGGGGAAACTCTGGCCTCCATATTGCTGGTAAAAGGCCCAGTGTTGCTCGTATGTGTTGGCCTGAAACCCAGAACACTTGGCGATCAGGTACTTTGGATTAAAGCCCAGAACAGAGCAGAGTAGAGAATTGGGAATCAGATTAAACTTTCCCTGAAATCAACAGTGCCTCCTAAAATATATTCCAGATATCTGAAATTCTACCCCATTATGGGCTCTAGTGCTGGTGTTTTAATAAGCTCCACTACAATATTCTATATTGTTAGACTGCTCATTGATGGCAATTATAATAGCAATACTCCTTTCATTTGATACAGCACCTTTCACATTGGGAGGGTGTCTCAAAGTGCTTCATTAAATTCCAACAACCTATCCCTGGAATTTCCATGTGTAGGTGTGAAGCACGGAATTCTCAAGTTTGGTTTGGATACTCTTAAACTTGATGATGGGGTTCCACATGTGTCAGACACTCGGCTGACTCAAAAAAAAACCTGACATGAACGTGTTATGAAAAGCAGCTGCTGAAATGTGAGCAGCGAGTTAGTGAGCCATAGATAGTGTCAGACATGCTGTACATGCAATTTAGCTCCTGAGAGCTACAAATACTGTAATGGGAGAGGCTAAAGAATTCATTAAGGCTAGTTTTGACTTCTGCTCAATGGAAAACTAATTTGCCTTAAAAAAAAGTGTTTTCTTTGGCATTGCAATGATCAGAAAGACATCTGCCCGTTACTGACATATCCTATCTTGAGTCAAGTGGTTCTAAATTACANTTTTTTTAATGCAAAGTAACTTACACCGGCTCTATGGGAAACTACAGTATCTAATAGCTGAAGTCAGACGTCAACAGCCTGACTGTAAAGATAAAAATCTTCAAAGTGAAGAAAAAAACTCACACAAGGTATCGTTCAATTAATGAGGAAACAAAATGCTGAGCCATAACAGCAATTTCCTTAAAAGTGCTTTAAGGCTCATTGACTTTATAGATGCTGTATCAAATTGCAAGGATTATTATTTCCAATGAATGAGGGGGAGACAGTGTAATGGGAATACCTGATAATATCACAATTACCCCACCATTCATCAAGTGTCAATTTGGCTCATTGACACATCTCTCGCCTCTGAGTCAGAAGCTTGTGGGTTCAAGCTCCACGTCAGGATTTGAAATTCATATAGTCTAAGATGACACTCCAATGCAGTGCTTGGGTGGACGGTTGCATTGTTGGAGGTGCTGTACAAATATTGTATTCCTGCAAATAGCTTAGGTAACATAGAACACAACACACTTCCAGTATAGTACATATGGATGTATAAAACATCTCATTTTCGGTGTTATGCAACAATCTCCGAACAGAGAGTTTGCAGTTATATTTCTGCAGTATATAGCAATAGAGACGCACAATAAGAGGTCAGACGTACCTTTACTTCCACCGTAAAAGGGGGCACGCAAGCATTCTCTGGTCTCCCAACGATCACTTCTTCCAAAGTGTCCCATTCATTGTAGGAGCAGACAGGACATTCTTGGTGCACAGAATCAGGGATCTTTTTCAGATCATCATCTGCAGCAAAGGAACTCTGGTCAGCAGCAGCAGCCTGAGTGCTTCGGAAAGCTTTCTGCACCCAACTTGTAACAGCTTTGCCGATCTGAAATAAAGAGGATGAACACATCTGCAGGTTCAACACAATGCAGATTTATACACCTTTGGTAAGTTTCCTTACTCCACACGCCTCTGATTACATAGCAGTAAGTAAGAATCCAGTTGTTTACGCGATTGGTGGATTGCTTACCGGGTTAATAATCCCTTAAAAAAAAATTTGTCACTCAACTGTTTGTGGGACACTCCTGTGTGCAATTGGCCGCTGCGTTTCACCCACAAAATACACAGTGAATTCACTTTACACTATATTCTGTAAAGCATTTTGAGATGACTCAATGACATGATAGGCACTATATCAAATGCTAGGATTATTATTATGTATAAAGCCTTTCATAGAGATGGTAGGGATCGCTGAAGAGTGAGGGGAAGAGGGAAACTTTAAGGGTTTTGACCAAGTGTACCAGGACAAAGAACTTTAAAGACAAAGACAGAAGGAGCATGTTGAAGGGATTTTGAGAGAGCATTCCAGAGAGTAGGAGCTCAGTGGCTGAAGACTCGGCCACCAATGGCGGGATGGAAAGAGTGAGGAGCACACAACAGACCAAAGTTGGAAGAGTGCAGGCACAGGAGTGCAGAGGCAGAGAAGGCTGAAACCATGAAGGGACTTTCAGAAGGTTAGTAGACAGCAGGTAATGAGAAATTGGGTAAAAGTATTGTATCACAGTATGTAGATACCCAATATCACATGCTCCAAACTATTTCAGTAACTACGGAGCAAGGAGGCCACTGAATAAAGAAACAAATGGTAATCCACTGCCTTGTAACCTGATGGTTATTAATATACTTACATAAGTTCATTCTGGTCACTCCTATTTCAAGCTCAAGTAGACTGATGTCTTTAGCATATTTTATTGCAACCGGGCTGGTCTGATGGCAGCCCACAGCTGTTAAAGGACAGTTGTTGGCTAGGCTATCATGAGTTAAACGGTTCTATTTCTGGTACGGTGGAGAGAGTAGTAAGAAAAAAACAGGTGTCAAAGCTGCATAGGAATGTAGGAGGTCAGAAGAAATTACTGTACACAGAGGATTGGCTGATTATGGAATGTTTTATCACAAATGCTGGTTGAAGCCAACCCCCTTAATGACATTTGAAAAGGAAATTGATCAATATTGGAGAAACAAAATGCTAAAAAGGTAAGGGGAATAAACAAGGGAATACGATCAGAGTAGATGGTTTCAGAGGAGGGAAGCAAACACAAGCATAGACATAATGGAGGCCCAAAGGTTTTTTGCTGTCTTGTAAATATTCTAGGATTCTACCATCTATCAATTTATCAATCAATAAAGCAATCAACCAATGAATCAATCTATCTCTGGAATTTCCATGTGCAGGTGAGATGCATGCAATTCTCAGCTTTGGTGGCTACTCCTAAGCACAGTGATGGGTTTCCACCCGACCGACCAGGACAAGTTCTACCCACGGTACAAGTATGTCACCTGAGCTGGTTGTTCAAACTCAATGTATCTGTAGACCTTGAAACAATTTGTTGCTTTTTCCGGTAACATAGAATGAAATACATATCAAAAAGACCAACATTATGAGACAACTGCAGCGGTAGGGAGAGAGAGAAATTGGCAACTTTTTCCGCGTCTCTTGCACATCCAGATGCATAAATTCCTCTACATTGCCAATAGGACACTGGAGGAGTTTTACACAGCGCAACATAAAATAACAGAAGATCAAATTATATTACAGTGAACCAAAAGTAACCGCAGTAGAGTAAGGCACTGAGGAAGATGACTGTCTGGTGTTATAAATATTCCTCTTGGAAAGAAAGCAGAATTATTTCCCAATGAATGAATACGAGTGGATGGGATTTGGAGGGAGTGGAGGTTGTACCAGGAGATGGTTCTGTATTTCTTTGTGGGGGGGAAGTGTGCCAAACATGGAATATAGGCAGTCATTGAGCAGTTTGATGACCAATGCATTGAGGTCACTGCAAGTGGAGGACCGGAGATATAGAACATCTCAGGATGCCAGGGTGCCTAAGAGGGACTGAGGGGTGAGGTTTATTTTCAAGGGGCAAAATGAGCTTACGGAAGATTTGACAGAAGGGGTGGGAGGAGAAGGAGCTGAGAGAAATGGCCAGAGATGGCACTGTCAGTGATGGCAAGCTTGGAGACATCACAGACGTGGGTGACGATGAGACTGAGTGGGTGTCCATGGTTGGAGGAGCTTATATGGAGGGCGAGGTTGAAGGATGAGAGCTGCGAAATCAGAGGCAATGGGGGAGGGATAGTTAGTACTGCAGTTCTACCAAATCCAGTCTAGACTTATTGGACGAAAAATAATTCCTCCTCCATTGGATGGTTGTTTTAGAGTAACTTTGATACACAGTTTAGGATTAGTAAATAAAATAAGATAAGCAAATAAGACCGATATTGTATCGCCTCAGTATCAGTCTTACTCGGATACATCTTAAGGAATGTTGCAGTGGAAAAGTTATATAGTTACAGTTGACGAAACTGGTGGGGTTCGATATCATTGCCATCAGTATCATTGTTGGAGGTGGAAAAAGGATTCATCTCACTGAGGACACCAAGAGGGAAGGAAATCCCACCCGGTTCTGGATGCACACTATTTTCTCAGAGAATTAGGCAAATTGTTGAATCCAGTTTTACCTTTTTCCTTCAGAGAAACTTACAGAAAAAACGGCTTCAAAATGACGACTGGATTTAAGAATTTAGATTCTAGATACCCTGAAATACTAAGCAAAGAGATGTGTGTGTGTGCGTGTGTGGGGTGGGTGGTGGGGGGGAGAGGAGTATGTGCGGCAACACTGATAACACTGCAATAATAATAATAATAATAACAACAATAATAATCCTTGCATTTGATACAGTGCCTTTCATGTCAGGAAGACATCTCAAAGCACTTCACAGAATTTACTGTAAAGTATAGTGACTGTATTATTTTAATAATAATAGTACTGGAAAGTTAACACAGCACAAACACAGCAGCCAATTAAGCGCACAGCAGTGTCGAGTGGCCAAATTATAATTTTTAAAATATATTTTTTTAAGGGATTAATCAATCCAACAATCAACTAACAACCAGGTTCGCAATGACTGCGAGGTAAACAGGCGTGTGGAGTAAGGAAGCTTGCCTTATGTTTCGTCCAGCCCGGGAACCAGGAACCGAACCCAGGTCCTCTCGTTTGCGAGGTCAGTGCTCTAATCAATACGCTACAGAACTGCACTTATTTATATTAAAAATTAAGCGTAGTAATAACTGTAACTGACTCAAACTTTGCGGCAGTGGATGAGGGAAGGGGCATCTACTTTGTGCTGACAATCATTCAGGTCTATTTTGGGACCATTCCATTGCATGTAGCTTCCATTCATCACCTCCCCGAGCTGGTAACACGACTCCGCAGCCTCTCACTCTCATTCAAAACTGAACATGTTTCGATTTTACAACATTAAACAAGCGCTTGTTCTGTATTTTTAATCTTGGACCAACATTCAAAATTTCTGCACGATTAAACCTTTTTGCAATTAAAACCCCCCCACCACCGTTCTACTAAAATTGGAAATAAGTAACTAAATAAGTCCTGAGAACTCGTCACAGGAAAAGGGATGAGTGACGAGTTATCGGGAAGAGTTAGGCATATGTATAATGTGGATGCGATATTGACTGCACAATGACTTAAGTGGCAGTCACACGTTAAGCTGAATTATCCTGAGTTATCCTGAATTATCAGGAGTTTACTGTACAGGTATTCACAAAGTTCTGTTGTCCAATGTAAGAAGATGTTGCACCAAGCATGATGTGACTTGTACTGAGTTACAATTAAGTACTTCTAAGTAGTTAATTATAATTGAATTAATAATAATCCTTGCATTTGATATAGTGCCTTATCACATCTTCGAGACGTCTCACAAAATATACTGGTAAAGTAAATTGACTGTATATTTGTGGGCAAAAATGTATTGTATATACAATTAATTAAACGGAAGTATTAACTATCATCAGTCTTCCACGTGTTTCAGTTGTTGGGTCAGTGCATTGTAGAAACAAATACATTGGGGGGCGCAAACAGGACTTTGTGAACAGCTAAATACAGTATCCTCATCCCTGAGTACTAACAGCTCTGCAGCTGTGGCTGTTACAAAGAGTTTAGCTACAAACCCATTCAAGTTGTAGAGAGGAGATCATACTGACCATAGCTCCTAGGAAATGGGCAGACTCGGCACCTCTGCTACCTCCACGCAGACACCGCACCCGGATCATAGTCCTGATATCTTTTCAGGGTGTGTATTGACTATCTTCCCTCCCGAAAATCGGATAGCAAAGAGAGCCGCGGCTGGAGATGCGCAAAAGGATAGTGAAAAGAACCACAGTGAAGCGAGTGAGATTTCCAGCAGACCCAGCGTGTGTGGGGGGCTTCTTAAACCATATCACAAGCTGCTTCCCATTGGCTGCTATTGCCAGAGTGGCTGACACTCATGAAACTCAAGCTGAATATTTCCAAAATTAGAAATTTTGCCTCCGGTGTGTGAACGAAAGGACTCACTTGATCACTTGACGGATCAACTTATCTCGGGAGCTGTACATGGTAACCCTACACTATACTGTACAGGACTCCTATCATGGAGATGTCCTAATGCATTCCCAGCATCACCTAACAAATTTCTGGTACGATTTGAATGGTGAGCAACTGGGTTTCATATACTCCACTCAACTGTTAAATAATAATAATAATAATCCTTGCATTTGATGTAACACCTTATTACATTGTTGAGATGTCTCAAAGCGCTTCACAGAATATACTGTAAAGTGTAAAATAAAGTGACTGTGTATTTTGTGGGCGAAAAGCGGCAACCAATTGCGCACAGCGGTGTCACACAAATAGATGTGGATTGAGTGACCAAATTATTATTATTATTTTGAAGGGATTATTATCCCTGGAAAGCGATTTGCCAATCAACTAACAACTGTGTTCTTACTTACTGCTAGGTAAACAGTGGCTTGTGGAGGAAGGAAACTTGCCTAATGTTTCATCCCGCCCGGGAATCAAACCCAGGTCCTCTCGTTTGCGAGGTGAGTGTGCTTATCACTGTGGTACAGGATCCCACAAAAGATCTCATGATACTATTCGAAAACAGAAGAGAGTTTCTCCCAGTTTCAATTCCCCAAATAAAATTGGGCACTCATTCTATGGCTGTTTGTGGGACATTGCTGTGCACAAATTGGTTGTCATGTTTCTCTCACAAAATACACAATCAAAAAACATTTGATAGTATATCCTGTGAAATGCTTCGAGACGTCTCGATGACGTGAAAGGTGCTATATCAAATGCAAGGATTATTATTATAACTGATGGAAAAATCCATGCTCCCCACTCCCAATGGGAAATTTGGTTGTATAGACACCCTTCTATCTATTTCTTCTTGCCCCTTCACAAATCAGACCAGGTTCCTCAGCCCTAGACACCCACTTATGGGTGAAGTGAACGATTCCTTTATTCAATGAGAGAACCAGTTGGAAAAGAAATGGCAACATCTGGGTTGACATTTATGTTACCACACTCTATCTTAGTCACATATGTATGACCTTACGGCTCTTCAGTCTTGCTGAAGAGGTGTCTCAGAGGAGACCTTAAAGAGAAAATAAACCCAGAACAATATTTTCATCTACAGTAGGATAGAAGGACACAGGTTCAGAGTTGTGAAGGGCAATTGTAAGACAGGCACCATTCCTTTAGATAGAAGGTAGTTCACAGCTGGAAAAGGATACTAGAACGATTGCTAGAGGTCAAGACTTGGATTCATTTAAGAAAATATTTGATGCTAAAATAGTGAAGAAAGTAGGGCGGATATTCAGGAAAGATAAGTTTGAAGGTCCTTTTTCATCTGAACTTGTCTTGTGATCTTTCAAATGGCACCAGTGAAGCTGAACTATTTACAGGCTCATCAAGAACCATCTTGTTTATAGACTTAGTCCCTGCCCTAACAACTTTACTTCCCTTTTAAGAAATAACTCCTGCCCTTACGAGTCTCTATTTTTAGTCTATATGTGATATTTACACAGCAAAGTCGTCCAATCAATCTCTGTGCATATGCAACCCACATGACTGAATCAATCATCTCACTCTGAACTGAAAGGCTGAAATGTATATCAATAAATCAACAATAATTCTGTTTTATTGTCAAACTGATCACTCGTTTTGCAGCTGTTAATGGTGCCGAGCTGTGCCCAAATGCTGCTGTGTTTGTTCACCTAACACGGTGGAGTCCTGTAGCTCAGTGGTTAGAGCACTCGCCTCACAAGCGAAGAGACCTGGGATCGATTCCCGGCCGGGTGAAACCTTGGGCAAGTTTCCTTACTCCACACCCCTGACAATAATCCATCAAGAAAAAAACCCCAATAATAAATTGGTCACTTCAATCCATGACAGTTTGTGGGACACTGCTGTTCGTAATTGGCTGCCGTGTTTCGCTCACAAACATATAGTCAATTCACTTTACAGTGTATTCTGTGAAGTGCTTTGGGACGTCTAGAGGACATGAAAAGCGCTTTATCAAATGCAAGGATTATTATTATTTTATTTTAACACAAGTAAACCAGACAGGGAGGTGACTTGCACCTAAGAGGCATTAATGTAAAGTATTTTGAGTCATTGCAAAATGACAAGATACTATAATTATAATAATAATCCTTGCATTTGATATAGGGTCCTATCATGCCATTGAGACGTCTCAAAGACACACACAAACCCCATGTTGGAATAGGCTGCTGGCACTCACCATCAATCCTCATGCCTGAAAAATGACCACTTGCGTAAGATATCAATTGGCTCATTCATGGAACTGTAACTTAGCATGAGTCAATCCCTCTGGGAGAGGAGAAAATAAATAACTGACAAGAATCAATACCCTGGTTATTAAGATATTATATGTTACACACCATTGTACACAACTACCAACATGACTCTAGGAGGCTATTCTGCTTGGGGTAAGCAGGGTCTCATTGGAGCTGAATGGGCACAAGGTAAAATGCTTGGCAATGGAGTGGCAGAATCCAGCCAGCCAACCCACTCAGCTCCTCTTAACCCTGCAAGCCAAAGCCCTAACAGATAGAGTGGTCCAAGCTGGACAAGCAGCGGGGAAGACTGAAACACTGACTCACTGGCTGATACTTACTACAGTACAGCTGTCCGTTTCTTTTCTTCCACTAGGATTTTTGTGCTGAATGTATCCCAGTGATAGCCCAAAATTGCAACAGCAATGCATTTGCCGATCTGAATAAGGGTGACAGTGAGATACCATAGATGGGCCTCATCGGCTGTGGTGGGGGAGAAATAAGCCCAAGTTCCTGCTATCCAATGTGACAGTTGGGCAAGTAAACGATCAACCACAGCTATCATCCCTCCGTACTCCTAGCTGCCCTATCCCCTAGGTCTAACTTGTTAAAGAGAACAAAGTTGGGTGAATGCACTATTTATATGAAAGGGTGGAGATACATAAGGACCAATGATGTGCGCCTGATATTCCTCCGCCTCCTATTTCCTTAACCGTGCATTGACAGACCCTGAATAATTATAATAACGCAACACATAAGCAGGAGTTCTCGACCTTAAATAGCTGCTTGACCTACCACTGGTCGCAGCACCTGTTGGATGACTCCCTCCCATTGGAGTATCATGCAGTGAACATGCTATGTTCTCGTTGCTTATTGCCCCCTGTTGCCTTCAGCCCTTATCAACACCTCAACATTTTGATCCCTGTTGGACCTGCCTTGCTCTGGATTCTCCCACCGTGTGTTTCTGTTCAGTCCCAAGCCAAATTGCAACAATATGTTGAAGAGTTAAGCAAGTCCATACCTTGTTTATTACAGTACAGCCTCCAATATATGTGTGGTCAGGAAAGATGGTGATTTAAGGTTATGGCAATTGGCAATTCGTATTTCTTTACTGACCTCTTCATTTTTTTCTTGTTGCTGCTTTTCTAGTTTGCATCCTTTCTTTCCTTTCCCATTTCCTTTCTGACTCTTAGTCTCATCCACTCCCTTCGTCTCCTTGCCCCAAAAGGTCATGACATTTACCAGTAATTACTTCTAAAGTTCCTTGCGATATTTGGAGCTTAGGAAGGGAATGTCAGTGTGGTTTACTGGGTATCAGCCTTGTCTCTGGTTCAATGCATTGGGGAATGAAACCCCTACATCAGGACTCGCAGCCAAGCTTGAAACTCCATTGCCGAACTGGGAGGCAGATGGTCAGTCAGAGGTTGCATTGTGCGTCAGCCTGGAGCAATGGTAACGCTCTCGCCTCTGAGCCAGAATGTTGTGGGTTCAAGCCCCATGTCGGGACTTAGAATCATATAGTCGAAGCTGACACACCATTGCAATGCTGTGGGGGGGGGAGGAGGTTGCATTGTCGGAGGTGCTGTCTTTCGGATGAGACATTAAACTGCTGCATTTCGCCCACAAAATACAATCAATCCACTTTAGAGTCAATTCAGTCTGTTAGGCTGCCTGTTCTGTAGTTCCCACTAGGCAGCGGTGTTTGGATACTTTGAATTACTCTTTACTGAACAGCTATGATCCCTTAGTTGTTTGAAAATATATAGTTATTTATAAATAGAATATTTAGTACAACAGAAATCCCAAATAGCACACAACATCTTCTGTTACAATTTTTTTTCTTTTCTCCCAATAACAAAACACATTCCGTTGTTTACGGTACATTCCTTCCCCGCACATTAGGTTGTGCACACATTTTTTTTAGGGACACTCCTATGTTCCCTTCACTGGTAAGCCTCAAGAATATTAGCTCTACACTGGCAGGGACTACCAAAGTATTGCTATGGTTCACCCACCTCTGCACTCCTTATCTTTTAGCCGTATAGATATTCATCGCTGAAGATCCACTTATACCAGTTTTATGAAAAAAGACCCAGTCCTCCCAAAACAATCCTCCAAAATTAACTTGTCTTTCAACTCCTGGCTAAACTTAACTCTAATTAATGTAAACATTCTTCGTGACATTTACATGTTGTAGGTGCTTCGGTTCGTCAAATGCAAGGATTTTTTTTTATTTCAATAAAAAAAACTGCACACGTAGACATACATTTTTTTAAAATCTGAATTCAGTGCTGAAATTGCCAGCGCTTTGGACTCTTGACTCCAGCAATCTATTTCTGAGAAAAGGAGAGTTGCGTTATCTGTTGACTTGATTTATTTGGTAGCAGCCTCTCCCACTTGTGGATCAAGAGATTGTTGGTTCAAGCCCCACGTCAGACATTGAGTTCGTGAGCTGACACACTCGGGCAGTACTGTGGGAGCCCTGCGTTGTCGGAGGTGCCGTCCTTCGGATGAGATGTTAAACACGTTCCCGTCCGTGCCTGTTCAGGTGGATGTTAAAGATCCCGCAAAAAAGAGAAGGGAGTTTCTCTCTTCCGGTGTCCTGACCAAAAATCCCTCAAACGTGGCTGTTTGTGACTTATAGTGCAATTGTCCTGCCGCTTTTGCCTACAAAAACACAGTCACAATATTTCACAATAAATCCTGTGAAGCGCTTTGAGGCTTCTCAACAACGTGATAAGGCACTGTACCAAACACAAGGTTATTATTATTATTTCTCGCTGTGTTTGTGTGCCTCAACAACTACACCCTGATGCTCTGAGATGCTACCGCGCGTGGAGAGGGCTGTATAAGTGCAAGATGTTGTTGTTGTGGATGCTCCAAAAGTCCAGGCAGGGTAGCCATTAAGTCCTGACATGAATTTTGTTGGTCCAGAACCAATTTCTGAAGCTGAGATTGATGTGAAAGTGCTTCACTGGGCATACAGATGGACAGAGAGACTTCGCAATTTCAAGTGACCAAATCCTCCCAATGGCATCACAGACATTAATAATAATAATAATAATCTGTGTATTTGATGTAGCGCCTTATCGTGTCTTCGAGACGTCTCAAAGTGCTTCATAGAATATACTATAAAGTAAAATGGCTCCATATTTTGTGAGCAAAACACGGCAGCCAATTGCACGCAGCATTGTCCCACACCAATGGATTGAGTGATCAAATCATTATTATTATTTAAGCGATTAATGTTCAGAACAAATGCCCCCCAAAAACACACACAATTCAATTCTCTGCCCTCCTAAGTTTAGAAAATGAGCAGCTAAACTTTTTCAATGAACAACAAAATAATTACGCTTGTAAAGCTCCTTTCGCGTCGGGAGGACGTCCCAAGGTGCGGGACGGACAAAGTTACAGACCTGAGCTGGGGTTCGGGGTCAGAGCGGGTGGAGGGCAGTGGGGGGGGGAGCAGGGAGAACTTCTTCACTCAAAGTTGTGGTGAATGCATGGAACTCACTACCCCAAAGGGCTGTTGACGCTCAGTCCTTGAACATATTCAAGACTTAGATAGATGGACTTCTTGTTGCAAAAGAGATTAAGGGATACGGGGATATGGCGGGTCAGGTTATTAGCTGGAGATAGATTAGAAGATTAGCCACGATCGAACGGCGGGGCAGAGGCTCGAACGGCCGAACGCCCTAATCCTGCTCCTGCGTGTTATGTTACGTTATGTCTTGAGAAGCGTCTTGAAGGAGGCAAAGCAAAACGAAAAGTTTTTTTTAAAAAAAACGAGCAACCACAACAGCATAAATCCAGGGTTCCTCCCCTTCCACTGCCCAGTCCCAGCCCTCTCTTCTGGTTCGATCAGAGAGTGTGAAACCTACTGCTCCTCCTCTCCGAAACACCGGCCCCTCAACATTGACCTGAAGGGAACAGTCGATAAATACAGATTCCATGAAATCTGGAACAAAGTTCTACCGAGAAAGTCCCTGAAAGTTGAAATGGGGAGAGGAGGGGGTACGGGGGCAGGAGAGGGCTGGTGAGACAGCCACTGGACTGGGGGGTGAGGGTGGTGAGAGGGTGAGAGGGGTGAAGAGGGGTGAGAGGGTGAGGGGGTGAATAGGGTGAGAGGGTGAGAGGGGTGAAGAGGGTGAGGGGGTGAGAGGGGTGAAGAGGGTGAGAGGGGTGAAGAGGGTGAAGGGGGTGAGGGGGTGAAGGGGGTGAGAGGGTGAAGGGGTGAGAGGGTGAGGGGGTGAAGAGGGTGAGAGGGTGAAGAGGGTGAGGGGGTGAGAGGGGTGAAGGGGGTGAGGGCGTGAAGAGGGTGAGGGGGTGAAGAGGGTGAGAGAGGGTGAAGTCCATCTCACTTTGAGGACTTGATCGGATCCAAGAGTTCTCTCCATCGGGATTTTCGAAGTCAAAGGCATAGAAAGAAGTCGGGGAGCGATGTCCGCCGTGTGCGCGCTGCTGGTGGGCTCGGGGCTGCTGACCCTGGTCCTGGTCCTGGTCCGGGTCCTGGTCCGGGTCTGGTCGCCGTACCTGTGGCAGGACCTGCGGTTCGCGGGGACGATGCTGACGGTGGGGTTCCTGTGCGCGGTGAACCAGAAGAAGCCGCGACCCGACACCCTCCTGGACCTGTTCCTGACCCGGGTCAGCCGGTGCCCCCACAAGGCGTTCCTGGTGTTCGAGGACACGGTCCACACCTACCGGGACGTGGACCGGCGGAGCAACCGGATAGCCCGGGCGCTGCGGGGCCAAGCCGGGCTGAGGGCGGGGGACAGCGCGGCGATGCTGATGGGGAACGAGCCCGACTTCGTGTGCGTGTGGCTGGCCCTGGCCAAGCTCGGCTGTGCCGCCGCCTTCCTCAACCACAACATCAGGTCCCGGTCCCTCCTGCACTGCCTCCAGGCCGTCCGGACCCGAGTGCTCATAGCGGCCGCAGGTGAGAGGGTTCTCCCCGGGAACAGCCCCCGACTTCACCTCTCCCTCCCGCTCCCCCCTCTCTTTCTCTCTCTCTCGCTCTCTTCTTTCTCTCTTTCTTTCTCTCTCTTCTTTCTCGCTCCCTCTCTCTCTTGTCTTTCTTTCCTTCCCTTCTTTCTCCCTTCTTTCTCTCTCTTCTTTCTCTCTCCCTCTCTCTCTTGTCTTTCTTTCCTTCCCTTCTTTCTCTCTCTTCTTTCTCTCTCCCTCTCTCTTGTCTTTCTTTCCTTCCCTTCTTTCTCTCTCTTCTTTCTCTCTCCCTCTCTCTCTTGTCTTTCTTTCCTTCCCTTCTTTCTCCCTTCTTTCTCTCTCTCTCTCTCTCTCGTCTTTCTTTCCTTCCTTTCTTTCTCTCTTCTTTCTCTCTCTTCTTTCTCTCTCCCTCTCTCTCTTGCCTTTCTTTCCTTCCCTTCTTTCTCTCTTCCTTCTCTCTCTTCTTTCTCTCTCTCTCTCTTGTCTTTCTTCCCTTCTTTCTCTCTCTCTTCTTTCTCTCTCTTCTTTCTCTCTCTCTCTCTTGTCTTTCTTCCCTTCTTTCTCTCTCTCTCTCTTTCTTTCTCTCCCTCTCTCTTTCTTCTTTCTCTCTCTTCCTTCTTTCTCTCTCTCTCTTTCTTTCTCTCTTCCTTTTATTTCTTACTTGCTTTCTTTCTCTTTTTTTTCTTTGTTTTCTTTCTCACTTTCTTTCTTTAGTGGAGTCCTGCGGCTCTCGGGGGTTATAGAGCACTCGCTTTGCGAGCGAGAGACCTGAGTTCAATTCCAGGCAGAGGGCCAAACCTTGAGCAAGTTTCCTTACTCCACACAGAGCCTAATAATAATCCCTCCAAAACCAAAAACAATAATAAATTGGTCATTTTCAATCTACGACTGTTTGTGGGACATTGCTGTGCGCAATTGGCTGCCGCGTTCGCCCACAAACATACAGTCAATTCACTTTACAGTGTGTTCTGTGAAGCGGTTTGGGACATCCTCCCGACGTGAAAAGCGCTATATCAAATGCAAGGATTATTATTATTATAATGACAACTACATTGGGAATCCAGAGCCTTTGGAAGTCCTCCCTGTCTGAAATGTGCTAATCAGATGTAAATGTAAATATTAAAATGATCAAAACGAAAATAAAATGATTGTTGTTGTATTTTGCACCGAAATGCAAAGGGTTAAGTAAGTGTCAGATGGTGTGGGTGTGTGTGTGTGTGTATGTGTGTGTGTGTCTGGGGGGAGGGCAGGAAAGAAATTAAGTTGAAAATTAAATTAAACTACAAATAAATACTAAAAATTGAATAAACTGGCGATCTCACATTCTCCACAGAGGCATCTGTTGAACAAATGCTGTGACTCTCAGCACGTCCCTCCCCGAGAGATACTTATCATGAAAAAAAAACAGATCAATTAAAACCAATGACCCCACTGGCTCTTTCACCTTTGCCACAGATTCAGGAACCCTGGCTTTTTAACCTCCTCCCTCCCACCCACTCACCTCCGAAATCGAAAACCCATTTCTGACCCATGCAACCAATGTAAGACAAAAATATCTCCCTTTGTAACTCTTGGATGTTTTTCTAATTTATTTATGGAGGAACAGAGTCCTGTGTGCTGTTTAATCTGATCTCTTGATGTAACTTTCAGTTGACATTCAATGCAGTATCTTTCTCTGTGTGTGTGTGTGTGTGTGTGCGTGTGTGTTTAGAGGGGTTCATCTGGTGTACATTAACCTCCATCAAAAAATAATAATAATTTGGTCACTCGATTCACGACAGTTTGTGGGACACTTCCTGTGCGCAATTGACTGCCGTGTTTTGCCCACAAAGTACACAGTCATTCCAAACTCTTGAAGACGTCACAAAGACGCGATAAGGCGCTATATCAAATGCCAGGATTATTACACTTACAGCGAGTGTCACTGCAGGAGCTGTTATTGTATGCGATCGATTGATGTTACTTTTATTGTTCATTGCTTGAAAAGATCTGAGGAGTTCTGTCGAGGAGGTGCTGCCAGATCTTAAAGAGAAAGATATGGCTGTCTTTATCCTGGATGATAAATACACCACTGATGGGATTGAGAGCCTCAATGAAAAGATTGATCAAGCGTCTGACTGTCCATTACCCGTGTCGCTGAGGTCAAGCATCACCTTGGAGGATAATTTTATATACATCTACACATCAGGAACAACAGGTAGTCCTAATACTTCTTCATTCCATTCTATGCCTATATATAGGGATTCTACACCTGTACAGTGCTGTAGTGTGGAGGTTAGCACATTGGCCTCGCAAGTGAAAGGACCTGAGTTCGATTCCCGGGTGGGGCACAACCTTAGGCGAGTTTCCTTATTTCACACACCTCTGGTTACCCAGCAGTAAGCAGGAACCTGGTTGTTAGTCGTTTGGCTGATTGCTTCCTGGGGTTAATAATCCCTTCAAAATAAATAAATAACAATAATAATAATAATAAATTGTTCGCTCAATCCATGACAATTTGTGGGACGCTGCTGTGCGCAATTGGCTGCCGAATATCGCCCACATAATATACAATCGGTCCACTTTACAGTATAGCCTGAAGCTCTTTGAGACATCTCAACCACATGATAAGGTGCTACATCAAGTCAAGGGTGATTATTATTATAAGCTTTATTGTTCAACATTGCTCCCATTGGACATATGATGGGGTGCTACAGGATCAAGTACAGTCAAGTATGGAATCCAGGGGGTGAATTTAGAGGTGATTCATGATGCGTTGGCTGTGATAGATATTGCTCTAATGATCTGATGTCTCCTTCTTACCTCTGTTCATCTGCAGGTTTGCCCAAAGCTGCCATCATCAAGCACAGTCGTGCTCTCCGTGGCTGCACCATTCTCAGACTGTTGAACATCTCTGCCGATGATGTGGTGTACCTCACCCTCCCTCTGTACCACAGCAGCGGCTCCCTGATTGGCATCTGTGGCGCCATTCAGATAGGTGTGATACCCTCACGATTGAATGGGTAGACATGTCCATACCGGTCTCTCTGCTCAGCGAGTTCCAGCCTGCTCTGGGGGATGAATAGTCTACTCCTTATGTCACACTGCATGCATAACAGTGAATGGTGTGGGAGGTTGAAATGTTAGCGCTGTCTATATAATAACAATAATAATCCTTGCGTTTGATATCCTTGCATTTAACTCATCATGTCGCGGAGCCATCTCAGAGCGCTCCAGAGAATATTTTCATCCATGAATATACGATCAATTCACTTTACAGTACATTCTGTGAAGCGCTTTGAGACGTCTAGAAGACGTGAAAAGCGCTATATCAAATGCAAGGAATATTATTATTATTATTTTGTAAAATGTAGTGACAGCGTACTTTTTGTGGGCAAAACGGAGTGGAATGGGCCAAAAATCCTGACCCATCTTTTATACGGTTTCGAGTGTTTTTTTTTGTTGTGATTATATTTCGAGGATTGAATTTCCTTTTGTTTGTGCCGTAGGTGCAACCATTGTCTTGCGTCGCAAATTCTCTTCCAGCCAGTTCTGGGACGATTGTCGGAAGTATAATGTTACAGTCATCCAGTACATTGGGGAGGTAATCCGTTACCTGTGTAACGTTCCCAAGGTAAATACTTACCCTAATAATCTTTGCACTTGATCTAGCACTGGGTCATGTGTGGTGACACAGAGAATAATGATCCTTGAATTTCTTTGTATAATGCGCCTTATCAAGTCGTTGAGACGTCTCAAAGCGCTTCACAGAATATACTGTAAAGTGGATTGTTTGTGTATTTTGCGTGCGAAATGTGGCAGCCAACTGTGCACAGAAGTGTCCCACAAACAGTTTTTTTTTGAGGGCTTATTACCCCCAGAAAGCGATCTGCCAGTCGACTAACAGCTGGGTTCCTACTTACTGATGGGTAAGTAGAGGTGTGTGGAGTAAAGAAACCTGCCTGAGGTTTCTCCCCGGCTGGGAGTAAGATTCTGATTTCTTTGTGTGTTATTTTGTTGTAGAAGGACAATGATCGTGATCACAAGGTGAGGACTGCGATAGGGAATGGGTTGCGGGCTGATGTCTGGAGGGAGTTTTTGGATCGGTTCGGAGATATCCGGGTTTGTGAGTTTTACGGAGCCACCGAGGGGAACACTGGCTTCATGAACTATGTGGGTAAAATCGGATCTTCGGGTCGTACCAACTTCATTATGAAGGTAAGAGAATCCCACAATCCCAGCCTCTATAGTCCCATCTCTCCATTTTGGGGGATAATTTGCGACATTTCTTAACCAGACAAGGAAACCCATCAGAATTCCTGTTGACCCGAGGAACTCCGCTCCACAAGTAGATCTTATCAGAGCGGCATTCCTGCAGGTCAGAGTTAGAGGGTCAGTTAATCCACGGGGAATAATTTATGGGCATCCTGCCTTAAAGGAGTTCACACAGGGGCCAGAGAGAAGCAGAAAGATTCCTAGTTTGCGTTGGCGCATTCTCTGCTTGTCAGATTGAACCTTTGAACGTTGCTTAGACTAATGATTGAAAGACGTCAAGGCCACTTGTGTTGTTGTGTGAACTTTTGAACCGTGTTTTAGATAACATTGTTTTAGACTAGATGTTTTCAGGCCTTTTCATTTGTAACAAGGACTTTCACTGGGAGAACAGACTGATCGCATTCTGGTGGTTTGGGCTCAGCACTTCACCATGATTATCGTTCCGCGGTTTCCGTTGCAGATCCATGCAGAGAAATTCCCTCAATGAACAGTTTGCCCCTTTTTTCATGTCTGTTCATGCTTGGGTTCACCTCTCTCATACAAAAGTGTAAGTGCTACTCACTGCTGATCAAAGCATCATACAGAAAGATGTCCTTTTTCCCATAAGGGTTGAAAATTTAGGTGGTGGGGGGAAGGGGGCAGGTAACAATTTGCACTTATTGGATCTATTTAATGATTGGATATGAACCATGTTAGAAATCCATCCACATTTCAAGTATGGGTTCTTAAAATAATCCTCGCATTTGATATAGCGATCGAGACGTCTCAAATCGCTTCACAGAATATACTGTAAAGTGAATTGAGTGTATACTTTCTGGTCGAAATGAGATAGTCAATTGCGCACAGCAGATATCCAGTCACACTCTCCTCCAGCTAGCAGTGTTAGCCTGGTATGTACCACTTTAGCTCTGAATTAATACTTCCGGTGCCTTTTCACAGAAAATCATGCCATTCAACCTGGTTAAATATGATATCGAAAAGGACGAGCCAGTTCGCGATGCCAATGGTCATTGCATAGAAGTAGCTACAGGTAACGTTCCTCCTGTGTCAGCCTGACCAATTGCAGGGGAGGGAGCATCATATTCCAGGTACAGGATTTAATTCGACTAATGAGAAAATGCTCTGCAAAGCAGAGTTCATCTCCAAAATCTTCCTCTCTCTCCCTGTCTCTCCTCCCCCTGCACAAAAATGGTTGTGATCTGCAGTTTGAAAGCAGAAAGTACAGCAATGCTAATATTCCTTGCATTTGATACAGCGCCTTATCACATCTTCGGGATATCTCAAAGCGCTTCACAGAATATACTGTAAAGTGAATTGAGTGTATATCTTGTAGGCGAAATGCGGCAGCCAATTGCACATAACAGATATCCGGTCACACTCTCCTTCAGCTCCACCTTTTCTGGGAGAAGCGTACAGTTTACAGTATTGAGGATTGTCTCGAGACACGCTTGTTTTTTTTACAATCGGGCGTTATCTCATTCAAAAGCTCAGTGCGCTTTACAGTTAATTTCTATCGCTATTGTGCTGGAACATCTATTTGAAATCTAAGCTCCTGACATTAGGTTTGTTGCCACAACCTCTGATCCACTGAGTGAGCCAGCCTGACTGACAATTATTAACATTATGCTCAATTTAGCAGTAACTGGCTTCCTTTCTCATGGTCGCCTACAAAATACCCTGTAAAGAACTTTGCAACATCCTCCTACTGTGAACAGCACTATATCAAATGTCAGGATTATTATAATTATTAATAATTAACAAAGCAACTGTCTGGGATTCGAAGGGTGATGTCTCCTGTCACAGTTAATGTTTAATCTCCCTTTATACCTGTTGCAAATTGACTATGTAATCAGAACATTTCTCTAATTGAACTGCCAAGTGGTTGATAATAATTTTCCTGTACTGGATTGGAGTTTCAGGCCTGCGTGTGGGGGAGGAAGGAATTTAATATTGGACTCCTGCTAAAGATCCTGTTGAACCGTACTGTTCAAAAACAGAAGGGAGTTTCTCTCTCCCGGCGTCCTGGCCAGTAATCCCCCGAATAAAATTGATCACTCACAGCTTGTGGGATATTGCTATGCGCAGTTGGTTGCTAACAAGTACAATCACTGCGTTCACACTGAAATATCCCGTGGAGCTCTTTGAGACGTCGCGACAAAGTTATAAGGAGCTACATCAAAATGCAAGTTTTTAGTTTATTGTTATCGATCAGATTTTTTAAGATTATTATTATTATAATTATTATTAACAGGGGAGACGGGTCTCCTCATCTCAAAAATCACCCACATCAATCCATTTACCGGCTACGCGGGGAGCAAGAACCTGACGGAGAAGAAACAGCTGAGAGACGTGTTCCGCAAGGGGGATATTTACTTCAACTCCGGAGACCTCCTGTCCCTGGACAGTGACAATTTCATCTACTTCCAGGACCGCGTTGGGGACACATTCAGGTCAGACCCTCGGGGAGATGTTAATGCTGCTTTTACTGTTATTAGTTACCATCTCTGGACTCGAAGAGAGATTGCGGCTTCAAATTCTTTCGTGCCTTGGCACCTCCCTACCTCTCTGACCTGCTTACTCCCCAACCCTCTGCTCTTTGCCTCCGCTCGACTGGCTCCGGCCTCCTGCTTGTCCTTTGTATCCTCTGTTCCACCATCGGCGACCGGGCTTTCAGCCACTATTCCTCTTTTCAATCTCTCCGCCTTGCCCCCCTCCTTCTCCATCTTCAGGTCGCGCCTTAAGACCTTTTTCTTTGACTGTGCCTATGGTCCCTTCTTGCTCCCCTTGGCTCAGCGTTTTGTTCTGCCACTGTCAAGCTCTGTGGGACGCTACTCTGTGTGAGTGCCGCAAGTTGTTAATGTTAGCCAGATCCTACCCTCTTTCTCACCCCCCCCACCACCACCCCACTCCCCTACCTCCTCATCTGCAAGGGTTTTCCCTGGGAGAAAAAGAAGGTGGCGTGGAAAGGAAAGGAAGACACAAATCATTAATGCCAGAAATGCACAGCAGGGTGGGTCAGAAGGAGAGAGTGGGGGGACCTTTGTGGTTTCATTTAACGTTTGTCTTTTGCTGTTAGGTGGAAAGGAGAGAACGTGGCCACCACAGAGGTGGCTGACATCCTGGCCATGGTGGACTTTATTCAGGAAGTTTGTGTGTACGGAGTGGCAGTTCCAGGTCTGAGATCCGCTTGATTTTGTTTTCCTCTCTAAAAGAAAATAATCCGAGGCCCGAAAATATCTGCACAGCCTTATCCTGGAAGACCTTTTAGTCGTAAACATTTTACTTTGTAATCTTTGCATTCCTCCCATAAATACACAGTCACTCCACTTCACAGTATATCCTGTGATGCGTTTTGAGATGTCTCAATGACGTGATAAGGCGCTACATTTAAATTAAGGCAAATTTTAATAATTCTCTACCGTTCTGTACAAACTTCATTTCAGGCCAAATGATCCAGCACAGAAACGTCACACAAGTCAAATCAGTTGAGACCACACATTGAATGTGACAAAGTCTGAGTTATGTCAAACTTGCATAGAATATAAACTCTTGAGCAGGAACTTGGGCAGATGTACGACTTAGATGATTATATAGATCAGATTTATGCAAATTTTATTGTGATACAACACAGTTTACAGGCTAAGACTATGTGGATATCAGGACTTGATGTTTGATGCAGTCTGCATCTGTACCGCTCTCTTCCTCTCACCGCACCTATAGCTGTTCTAAGCGGCTTCTGTAACATTATTACGTGATCTCGTACTGAACCCATCATTGCTTAGGACCCAATATTCATGTTGCACTGTTCTGCCGTTCAGACCATGAAGGCCGAATTGGAATGGCAGTTATTAAGCTGAAGGACAGCAGGGAGCTGGATGGAGAGATGCTGTACAATCACGTGGTGAATCACTTACCAAACTACGCCCGGCCACGCTTCCTGCGACTGCAGGTAGAACTTTACCCAAACCTCAGTGTAAAATAAAGGGGTTTTCCATTGCACATGCTAGGGCTCTTCAGCCTGGACACGAGGCATTTCAGAGAGAACCTTATAGTGGCGTGTATCAGATTTGAAACGGGATTGAGAAAATAAATTCAGAACAAAACTTGCAAAGCAGCAGAACAAGAGGTCATACATTCACGGTTGCAAAGGGCAATTTCAGGACAGACACCAGGAAGTACTCCTTTACCCAGAAGATGACACCCACATCACTAGGACTCGATCTAAGTGACAGCTTTGATACTCTGATGGAGGGTTGGTGTTCTGGGAGGATGAGATGAAGTGGGCCAAAGGGTTGTCTTCATCTGAACCAATTTGTGAACTAAAGATACTGAAAATATACAGTCAATTCCCTTCACAGCGTGAAGCGCTTCGAGATGTCTCAAAGACACGATAAAGCGCTATATCAAATGCAAGGATTATTATTATTATTAATAGTCACCTCATATCTATATTTGTGAGATCTTGCTGTGTGCTACTGTCATGCAACTATAAGAAAATCCTTACACTTGACAATAATCAGTCGTGAAACACTTTGAGATGTTTTGAGGTAATGACACTATCAAAATACAAGCCCTTAATCTAAATAACTGTACATGTTCACCTTCATTTTACAGAATAGCATAGAGATCACAGGGACGTATAAACAACGTAAGGTCACACTGGTGGAGGAAGGCATCAATCCAGCGACTATCCGAGATCCACTCTTCTACCTCAGTGACACCAAAAAGACCTACATCTCCATGAACCAAGCGACCTATGACTCTATTGTCTCCAAACAGGTCAAACTATGAGACAGGATTATTTATCCCCATCATCAGCCTTCTGTGACTGCGCTAAGCAATCAATACTGGTCATTCTGGAGGTGGAATAGGTGCAAAGAAGGATTAAAACCATAAAACCCTCAACAATTGGAAGATTCTCTGAAGTGGCCAATTCGGTCCACCCGATGTAATGAATATATAGTTGTTCACAGCATTGTTACGATCATGTAGATCTGACGAATGAATTCAATGACTATAATACGGAAATTAGCTATTCTAATTGTTTTCTTTTCAATCAAACTCTTTCGAAACACTTTTTTTAAATTTCAATAAATTATCGATTTTACAACACTGATCTTGTTCAAGTCTCAAATCCCATTCTTTCCCGTCATTGTCAGCCGTTCGTTGTTTATAAATGGGGGAAAGTGTTTACAAAGGACTCAAAATACTTGGCAAATTCTACACGCTAAACATTGAATAGACATTCAGCAAGTTGGAATACTCCAGCAGAGCACAAGGTACTAATCATTCCACTTGGTGACAGTTTACATTTAACAGTCAGTAGCTGTGTTATGCAATGGTGCCTCCATACTACAAGTGTGTTGAGGCGTGTCAGAGCACTTCACAGGATTCACTGTAAAATGATGTGGCTGTGTCCATTTTGTGGGCTGGAGTGGTGAGAGTTGGTAACAGGTGCAGTCTCCATTTTAAAACCAGACAAAGCGAAGACTTCAAGAAGAGAAAGCTTTCTGTTCTTTAACTCTCTCTCTCTCTCTCTCTCTCCGTCAGGAGATCTAGACTATGTGCCTGTTCACCTGCAATCTACAAGTCTTTTGAAACACGAGCTCCGCATCACTTCTTGTTCAGTTCTGTTAGGATCTTGGGATAGTTTTCATTCTAATTTCCTCGCCTTTTATCGCATCCGTCCACATCGTTCCCCTACTCTCACTGCCCTCCACCCTACCTGATCCCGAACCTCAGCTCGGTGCCCGATTTTATATTAGGGGGAAAGCGGTCCATCAATCAACCAACAACCGGGTTCCTACTTACTATAGGATAAACAGAGATACGTGGAGTAAGGAAACTTGATCCCACCTCCGCGCCCCCCACCCCACCCTGGGAATCGAACCCAGATCCTCTTGCTTGTGAGCCAAGTGCGCTAACCACTGCACTACGGGACTCCCGGATTGCTCTGTGTGTTGGAGCAGTCTACCCTTCAGAAAGCATGACTGATGTAGTGTTGACCAATCTCAGTCATGTCATGACAAACCTCTCGAATTCCTGGAAGATGCTGCTCCAACTGTCGGGCCGGGACGGGGCTTGTGCTGGGAGGAGATCCCGCATGTAGCCTGACTGCACGTTCAGATACACGTGGGGGTCCCTCACACTAGTCAGGTCAATTGATCAGCAATATAATCAATCAGCTGAGAGAGAAAGAAGTGTGCTCTACTCTCATGACTCAATGTTGTCGTTGAGTCTGTTAAACGCTTAAGATTAAAGTTTTGACAGTTGTTTGTCCTAAAAACATTAGAGCAGTTGCGACATCACTTTGCTACACTGATTCCCTCTACTTTCTCATGACATTGAGGTTGGAACTCACTCCCTATTCAACTACAAATGGCAAAAATTTGCCCAATATCACTCCAAGACTTTTATGTGTGATCAGTTTGTGATTCTCATATTCTGCACTTTGTCCCATAAAAATCTGTAAAGAAACAGTCAGATAGGAATCAAACAGCATCGCGCAATAGCTCTTTTCCCAATTGCAAGCACTCTTCATTGCCTTCGGGAATCTAATTCTTAATAATAACCTTCCATTTGATATAGCGCCTTATCACGTTGTTGAGATGTCTCAAAGCGCTTCAAAGAATATGTTGTAAAATGGCACATTAACACGGGAGAGACAGAGGACCCCAACTGGAGTTGAGCGTGAGGAAGGAATAAAGATAATTTCTGTGATCACTATAAACCATAAATAGTGTTTTACAAAATCATTACTTAGGAAAGGTTTTATTTGATACAAAATTATACAGTGCAGGTTTCCTCAACAACTTTGTGTATATACTTACTAAGATAGCTTCATACAGTGGGGGTGAGTGGGGAGGGAATGAAAATAAAACTGGATTCACAAAAGCATATGATACAGTAAAATGCATTTTAAATTTACATGGATAACTGAGTGAGGAAAACAAACAGCTGTAATACAAAGGAACTGTCTCTCTCTACTTCATATCTCACTGAATGACAATGTTTAACATAAACAGTATGTCAGCATTATCAGCCACAGCAAAACAAATGTTAAATGTGACATCAACCCTCTATGAAAAGGTCCCATGAATGAATATGAATCGCTCCCACACCAGATACTAGATTTTACAGCGAAAGGTCACTTGACATTGGGCCAGGCAACATAACCTCCCAAAAATAAGTCATTATTCTAAGTAGGCGGAATGAACGCATCTGCACAGTGGAACATTTAAACGTGATTTTGTTTAAATTTACATTTCTGGAACCAGTTTCATTAAAAAAAATTATATACACATGCTCTTTTGTAACAGCAGCCCACGTGGCACTGCGAGGGGTAAGCAGTCGTTTCACCTGTTTTCACTTTTTAAGACTCGATGTTTGTCTGCATTGTATTCTTCTTCAACGAGAACTATTAACACATTGTCGTAACATTTTCTAATTGTGCACACACTCGAAAGGCAAGCATCTCAACATGTTGAGCAAGTATCCTTTCCCTCTCCTTCCTTTGCCTACCAAAGACAGATCCACTCCATTGCGGCAGCAGTTTTAAATGCTGTCATGGGAGGACGGGAATTCTGGAAACACAAGATCAAATAGACCAAAGGGCCTTCTTCATCCAAACCTCTTGTCCAATCTTGGGAACGTTTAAACAATGAAATAACACTGACTCTCCTCATCACTGAAGATCATTGTAATGATTTAAGAATTAAAGAAAAACCTTTGCTCTTATGATTTGTTTTTAACAACTGCGCAATTCAACAATGCTCCTGACGGGATGAATCAGGTGGCTTGTGGTTCAGATTAATATTGTTGGTATTAAAAACCATTAGGATTGGCAATAGACAAGCCAATACATACCAACTTGGATGTACTCTGGTACAGCCCCAAAGATACTGCAGAGAGTTTCTTTGACACAAATATTTTTTTTCTCTTCTCAGTGACTTTTCCAGGACGACGAGGTGAAGTTCCACATTTAGTATTTCCTTTGTACTTGGAAAGTTCGTCTACAGGGATTACTTTGTCATCGATAACGCAACCCATTGATACAGAATCATCCCACTCCTTCCTAATTGTCATTTCCCCCACCTATGCCTTCTATTATCACTCCTTTCCTAAGGGTGCTGAGCAAAGCTGGAGTACGGGGGAGCCAATCATCTTCAAGTGACCGGTTCCCCCTGGAGAGGGTGAGGGGTGGCATTTTGGAAGCAATACATCAGTATATAGCAGTTAAGGTTTGCAAAGTCGAAACCTCCTCCCACCAACCCCCACCTCTTGACATTCACTTGAAATAATCTACGTTTTTATTCNAAAAAAATTCTCCTCTTGCCTCTTCATCCCTGTAACCGTGCCTTCCTCTTTGGTAATTCCCCAACCCGGTTTAATTTAAATTTTGTTTCTTTAAGTTGACCTGCTTGTCCCGGCTCCCCCCAACCACCCAACGTTCTGGCAGGGCCAACTTCTGCTAGATCCTATCTTTGCGGTCATTTTCCACGGACATTAAGATAACGCAAGAACACATTTAACTAAAGTTGAAACCGTCTTTACCTCCTGTTAGCTCAACCCAACAGTGTGAATTGCATTCAGAATGCTGGAAGGATGAGACAATCTGAACAAATCATGTCGATGGCATCCAATCATATTACAATTGCTTCACTAGCTTCGAGNTTTTTTTTGCTGCTTGCTCAAACAAAATGAATCCCCCAATATTTTAAGCAAATAACATGGGAGACGCAGGAAAAACAATAGCTTTTATAACACTTCTGAAAATAATGGAGGGTTGGGGAGTGGTTGCATGGAGAGAAAATGTCTCAACTGGAACGTAACAACGATCTGAGACAGACAGGACCACGGCTTGGATTGGTTGGTTGGTTAAAAAGGATAGAAATCACAAAGAAATGTGTGGTTATAGTTTTCAAGGCTGTTGCAGCCTTCAGTTGAAATATACATTAAAAAACGGCTTCGGAATTCTCATTCACTCCTCCCCGTATTTTTTTTTAACATCAGTTTACGTCCGAATTTTGATTGAAAGCCCCACCTACCTCCCCCCCACCCCCAAATTCACACATCTTTATATGCTAAAATGTGGTTTGTACACGGAGGTCTGTTGATAATTTGCCTGGTTTTCGAATGTCCTTTTTGCATCACAGTGATTGGAGCAAACTGTAGTTAATGAGGTTTGTCCACGTTACAAGGTTTCCAGCTGTCCTGTGTGTTGAGGTGTAAGTGTGTCCTTGGGAGGATCCGTTGAGCAAGTTAAACAGCTTTTTTGTTGATGTGGAAACAGCCGATTGCCTCCAGTTTCTGCCTGTAAGCCTCCGCCTCCTCTTCCTTCTCTAGAAGCTGTTGCCTGTATTTCTGTGCCTCGCGATTCGCTTCCTCCAGTTGTTTCTGCAAAGCCTCTTTCTCCTAGAACAGAAATCAAGTGACACTGGTCTTCAATCGTTTCATTTGGGCACCAACCCTCAAAAAAAATCAGGTGTACGACTCAGGCAGTTACATGATTTATACAAGTTTTACCGCAGCATCTTATGTTGCAATATCTTAAAGTGCTTCACACGTAAGTGGTGTTAAGTGTAAGTAATTGTTTTTATAGGCAAGGCTTTTACACCAGCTAAGCTCCCAGAAACGCACAGCTATCAGTTAATTGAGTTCATGATTTGCAGTTTGCTGGCGTGCAGTGCTGGTTGCTCCTTATCCCATTCATCGGTCAAAAGTTCAAGGCAGTGACTTGCTCCCACGCTGCTGTTGAAGTGATTCGGTATTTGACTGCAGACAGGTGACAGGACAAGCTAACTAACAACCGCAGCCACACTACCAGCTGCTGACTGAAACTGGAGCAGGGAGATGATGATAACAATAATAACATTTGATATTGCCCCTTAGCACGTCGAGATATCTCAAAGCCCTTCACAAAATATATTTTGTGAGCGAAATGCGGTATCCAATTGTACATGGCGCAATAGATAATGCAGAAGATAATTGGATGCAAAACAGGGAAGCAATGAAAGTATCTTGAACAAAAAAAAATTGCAATAAGCTCTTTCCTCAGGAGTATACAAGACAAAACGTTCAAATCAATACTTGAGTGTTTACCTCTGAGAATTCTGGTGAATGCAGAATGCAGGTTTCTGGGCCAGAACTGTCTGTTATCTGATAAACAAGGAAAAAGAAAAAAGGAAAAATGTAAGAATATTTTCTCCTTTCACAAAGCTGGTTTATGTGAATACCGAGGTAAATCAAGAGTTTGCAACTTTTCTCGACGTTAAAACATTGTGTTATGAGCAACAATCTTCCTCACGAGGAAGTTAATTCATGATACCACACACCTAGTCAGCATTTGATGCAATTCAATAAGGATCATAATAATAGCCCTTACATTTGATATTGCGCCTTATCACGTCTTCGAGACATCTTAGAACACTTCACAGAATTGGAAAGTGAATTGACTATGTTTTGTGGGCGAAGCAGAGTAGCCAATTGCACACAATTTTTGATCTCCTCACTTGGAGCCTTAGCCATTGGCTTCCAATCAGAACCTCCACAAAGATGGAGGGCAACGCAACCAGGGTTCCCACATGGTGAAATATAATATATAATAAGAAAGAGCTGAGCTGTAAGTTCTTCCTCACCCATTCATTCCAAGACAAATATCTTGCCACTGTTTATTGTCAAAGATTACTAATGAACAATGAGAGTGAGGCATCCCTAATTGTAAATCATTTTCAAAATGCTTTTCTGGCATTAGAATCGTGAAGTGTCAGATCCCTCAGTTCAGGTACTAAATTAAGTGGAGACATTATGGTGCCACACAGTGATGGGATAGATGGAAGTTTGATTCCAATATTCTATGTAACTCCCGTGCTAAGTTGTTTTCTTGTAGGAAAATAGAAGGGACTAAATGAGAAACTTCCAGTACCACCCCTGGAGGATGTCCTAGTGCAGGGTTTAGTGTTATTTTACTTGAATCCGTTACAAGGGGGCAAAGCGTTAAATCAGAATTATGGCTGTGAGAACTGAGGTCGGGAAATATTTCTTCACACAGAGGATTGGGAAGATGTTGAATACTTCTCTCCGGAAAGCTGAAGAGGCAAGATCGATAGGAATGTTTAAATGAGAGGTCGATAGATACTTGGGGAATGGAGGTACTAAGGGGTATGGTGAAATGGACTAAGAGTTCTGCCCAGATCTAATAAACTGGTGGAGCAGGCTTGATGGGCTGATTGGCCTCCACCTGCTCCCACCAATTCCCCATGTTCCTAAACCTTAGATGTAGGAAACATGAAAATATACAGGGCTTACAGTTTGAGCATCTGTGTAATTTAATGTAGAAAATGTACAAGATTCTAAGTTAATATACATCAGGGAAGAACAAATATACTTCATAGTTTAAGAGCAAAGGATATGTAAAACAGTTGATAAACAAAGAAGGCATATTTACAACTGCCAATTTATGAAGGTGAAAAAAAAGGTGAAGGTTAATCTATTCACAGCAGATAAGAGCAACCAGAAAATCTCTTCCTCTCCATGCAGTTTAAAAGACACACATTAGGGAAAGGTGAAAATATACATAGAAAAAAAACTTTATTGCATAACCATTCCTAACACAAACATTAGTAAGGTAGCATTCTGTGAAGGGAGACATCAGACGAGTGTGAGTATGAATGCCATTTAAATATTGGGAATAAAACATTTCTCCAGCCTCAAAAACAAGTTATCCCCACACATTTATAGGTTTGTTACTGTATTTAAAACTCTTTATCCTCCTCTCAGTAAACAGTGGCAGGCTGCCATTCTCTAGATCCCAAAGCCCTTATTTGATGCTCAATATTTTAAAGCAATTATGGATCCCAAATGCTCACTCAAACTTCTATTCGTAGTTGGGTTGTTTTCATTAATAATTACGAATTTTTTTTGGTGGTGGTGGGGTGGGGTTGAGTCAGCTGGTTTAAAAAAATGTACCTGAAATTCATTCATAGGAAACAAATTCACTGTCTTATACTTTTACTTGTTGTCCATAATAGTGTGACTCTATGCTCGCCTCGCTGGGCTCCCAATTCCAGTAATGAGCAATGCATGTGCGGGTCAGTAGGTTGAGAATCAGCGTGCATCACAGTGCTCAGTGTTTTGCGAATGACAGCCCCCCTCCGATTCCCATTTTCTAGCAGCATATAAGATTCCACCCAATCCCACCCCAAAAAACGGGTTTTTGTTTTGTGAATAAAAACTGACTTTAATGTTCCTTAAATATACAATCGATTGTCGAAAGCAAAAAGGTCTAGGTTTTCATTTTTGTTTAATTGGCCTTCCTTTACTCAGCTTCTTTTGGTAAATCTTGTCATTTTAGTCTCCTCCATTCTTCTAAGTAAATCACTGTGTTTGCTCTAATTCATGCTCCTTTTCCATTAGATTTACCAGAAGTGTTTGTGTATTTAACATCTCACTGTGCACCTAAAACAACAACAGAGTCACAGATTAACGCACGCTCAAATTTGACAGCGGCTTTGGCCACAAGATTCATTGGGGGTTGAAAGAAAAACTGAGCCAGATAATGAATGGGAAAGAACAAAGTTAAAATAACTCCTAGCAGGAAAAAAAGCAGATGATTAAAGATAATGGAGTATTTAACAGTCAAGTATCTCCAGCAAAGACCAATGAAGACAGTGAATAACAAAGGGACAGGAGGAAATACAGAAGAAATAAAATGAAATCCCAACAGCATGTAGAAAGTTAGTGATGTCAATTGCAATTTGAAGATGTATCTAGCAGGTTAGATAGAGGGGAACCAGTAGATGTAGTATATTTAGATTTTAAAAAGGCATTTGACAAAGTGCCACACAAAAGGCTATTGCACAAGGTTAAGGCCCACGGGATTAATGGGAACATATTAGCATGGATTGAAGAGTCGCTAACGGGTAGAAAACAGGGAGTAGGGATAAACGGGTCATTCTCGAATTGGCAGGATATGACTAGTGGAGTGCCACAAGAATCAGTGCTTGGTCCTCAGCTATTTACATGAATGATCTAGACGAGGACATTGAATGTAACGTATCTAAATTCGTGGATGACACTAAACTAGGTGGGAGAGTAAGCTCGGAGGATGATGCAAAAAGATTGCAACGGGATACAGATAGGCGAGGGGAGTGGGCGAGTAGGTGGCCGATGGAATTTAATGTGGGGAAGTGTGAAGTCATTCACCGAGGTAGAAAAAATAGAAAAACAGATTATTTTCTAGAGGGGGAGAGATTAGACAGTGTTAGTGTGCAGAGGGATTTGGGTGTCCTTGTATACCAGTCTCAAAAAGTTAATTTGCAGGTGCAGCAGCAACTAAGAAGGTGAACGGCATGTTAGCGTTAATTGCAAAAGGTTTAGAGTACAAGAGTAGGGAAGTCTTGCTGCAACTGTAGTCCTGTAGCTCAGTGGTTAGAGCACTCACTTTGCAAGCGAGAGACTAGAGTTCAATTCCAGACAGGGCAAAACCTTGGGCAAGTTTCCTTACTCCACACACAGCCTAATAATAATCTCTCCAAAAAAACAAAACAATAATAAATTAGTCATTTTCAATCTACAACTGTTTGTGGGACATTGCTGTGCGCAATTGGCTGCTGCGTTCGCCCACAAATATACGGTCAATTCACTTTACAGTATATTCTGTGAAGCGCATTGGGTCATCTAGAAGACGTGAAAAACGCTATATCAAATGCAAGGATTATTATTATAACTGTATAGGGCTTTGGTAAGACCGCACCGAGAGTACTGTGTGCAGTTTTGGTCTCCTTATTTAAAAAAGGACATACTCGCCCTCGAGGGGGTACAGCGTAGGTCCACTCGGTTAGTTCCTGGGATGAGGGGACTGACCTATGAGGAGAGGCTGAATAAACTTGGGCTGTATTCTCTAGAGTACAGAAGAATTAGGGGGGATCTTATTGAAACATATAAGATTCTTAAAGGGCGGATAAAGTAGACACAGAGGGACTGTTTCCCCGGGAGGAGAATCTATAACCAGGGGTCACAGTCTTAAAATTAAGGGTCAGCCTTTTAGAACAGAGTTGAGGAAACATTTCGTCACTCAGAGAATTTATGGAATTCACTCCCCCAGAGGGCTATAGATACTCAGTCCTTGAACATCTTCAAGGCTGAGACTGATTTTTAAAAAACAGAGGGATTAGGGGATATGGGGATAGGGCAGGTAATTAAGAGTTAGGTCTGAAGATCAGCCATGATCTTATCGAATGGCGGGGCAGGCTCGAGGGGCTGAATGGCCTACTCCTGCTCCTAATTCTTATGTTCTTAACCTTGTGACCTGATCATTTTTGAAGCGTGGGACCAACCAATACGTTAAAATCTGCACACGTGCAGAGTGAATGGTATCCACACTATGTATAAGCAAACTGGTGTAACAAAGCACATAATAACAGGTTCCCCTGTACATCTGATAATAAGCCACTCAACAGGCTTGACGAGTCAACAGGTCAACGTTTGTGACTTACCTCGATCTCTGTGGCATCTGTGTTATTTTCAATAATCTGAAGACATCGCCTCTTGATTGTTGGCTCCTCAGTAATCACAGTCTCTTCAGCAATGTCTGTGGCCGGAACTGTCAAAACTGCAGCACATACAGAATCCTATTAGACAGAATAGCCCCTTCTGTGCCTATGTTTCAGGCAAAGGCTTCTTTTGAAACTGTATTTGCAGAATTGTTTTCTCCTTTCCCAAATGACAACTGTTGATTCTAAACTCAACTTGTTGAGTTAAAACTATGTTCAAGCATTTGAAAGGTAGAATGTTGCATCTCTCATCTCAACAGAATTTGTTTTACACACACACACACCACATTATTAGTTCTGCATTCCTTATTCCAGTACAGTGAAAGATGGCAAACTTCTCCATTTTTACCAAGGAAGGTTGTAACATTTACCACGTCAATGTGAGATTACTGCTCACCCTTGAACAATGAACAGAGGGAACTTTCCATTTTCACCTCCAGCAAAATTACCTTGCTGTCCATCCTGCATGGTCAGAATGATCGGCTGATTTAACCCACCGCCAGCTGCCTGTAGGTTACTAAGTTGGATACCATCGGTTACTATGGTAATGACTTGCTGACCTCCACTACTAACAACTTGTTGAATAGCACTATCAACGGAATCCGCAGTGACTATTTCTTCTGTGGCAACAACTGTAAGAAAGCACAATACGTTTTTTAAATCCCGCATTTGCTAATTAGTTTCTCACTTGAAAGTTCAAGCCTGCGGTCACACTTCAGACATAGCAGGAAACCTTCACATTTTTCAATGATACCAGGGACGGGGGACTTCAATTATGCGGAGAGACTAGAGAGACTGGGATTGTTCTCCTTAGAGTAGAGAAGGCTGAGGGGAGACTTAATAGAGGTGTTTTAAAATTATGAAGGGTTTTGATAAGAGTAAATAGGGAGAAGCTGTTTCCGCTGGTGGGTTGGTCGGTAACCAGAGGACACCGATTTAAGATAGTCAAAAGAACCAGAGGGGAGGTGAGGAGAAATTTCACAGTATACAAATGTCATTTGTTGTCGTTTGTTTGTAGTTATTCCTTACCTGGTGCCTCGGTCGTGTGTGTTAGAGGGGCTGATGCTTCAGCCAAAGCAGCTAGGGTGGCGAGCACTGAGGTGGACGAGTTTCCAAACTGCACTGTAGAAATATTGGAGTCTCCTGATATCAAAAGAAAACAAAGTCAGCAACAAGCCACTCGGGTGACGGGTTTCACTCCAGGGAATACAGAAAAGTAAAGATACCGTTCGTGGCACGTACTTTTCACACCATTTTTAAATGTTGCAAACTGTATTCGTTGAAGCTAAACTTAGAAAATGAGAGATTTCTTCAGGATTCATGTTCATGAAATTTGAAGCTGTGAGCAACCCACTGCAATTCGAACTCAGAACTTCCTGGTTCCATAAGTGCTCTGCCGAGTGGGCTACCCGGTTTGTCACAAGTACGTTCAGCGAGAATTACAAGCTGTCAGTTGAAGATTCGATTTCCAGTTGAACGTTAAAATAAATAAAATGATTTGGATTCGTGGGCACAGCAGCGTGCGGGGACAAGAGGCGAGTGGGAGGATTGTCATCACAAAGCCAAGGATTTGTAATGCAATGGAGATATCTGTCATCTTTGTCGTACCGGTGGATACTAGGCCTGTCAAGTTGACGACTCCGCCAGGCCCAATGATGAACTGCGGAGTGGCATTGTGCAACGTGACTGTATCCGAGCAGTCCGGGTTTGTGTTGATCTGGTTCTGCATCGCTTTCTACAGGGCAACAGGAAAAAAATGGGGCTGAAAACAAAGTTGTGCACAACAACAACTTGCATTTATACAGTCTGGATAACTAGATTCTCAACATTATTATAAGTGGTGGTGGTGGGGGAGGGGGGGGGCATCCTGTTTATTGATTTATCTATCTTTTTAATAATGTTTTTTAATTAAAAATCAGCCGGTTACCTGAAGCATTATAATTAACTCCTCATCCCCGTTATCCATTGCAATGTCAAACGCATTCTTGCAGAATTTACTCGGCGCATGGACATCAGCTCCGTATTTTATCAAAAGCTCCACCACTTCATGGTGGCTGTGCTCCACTGCCCAATGCAAGGCTGTCATCTTCAGCATGTCCTTCGCATTGATGTCAGCCCCATTCTGTTGGCAGAGGGGGAAAGGCAGGGATGTACATACAAGTGTGATACATCGGCATGGAAACATCAATGGGGCACATAGACTAAAAATCGCACAATTGCCCAAAATGGAAGAGTACAGATAATAATAATAGTAATAATAATCCTTGCATTTGATATAACGCCTTATCACATCTCAAAGTGCTTCACACAACATACCGTAAAGTATATTTTGAGGGCAAAATGATGATGATGATGATGAAAGACTCCCACTGCATGTCCTCTAGACAAGGTCTACTGGCTCCCCATCACCAAACGGGTCAATTTCAAATCCCTTCATGCCCTTACCCCCCAAGCCACAACCTTCCCTCAACTGGCTCCTGGTGTCTGCATGTCCCTTGTACCTTCTCTGCCACCATCGGTGGCTGTGTTTTCAACCACTAGGCCCTGACACTTCTACTCTATCCCTCCGCCTTGCCTCTTCCTTCCCCTTTTTCAGGTCATGCCTGAAGACCTTCCTATTCGACCGTGCCAACAGTTACCTCCCACCTCCCTGGCTCAGAGTCGTGCTCCACCCCTGCGTGAGGGGCGCTTTATAAATGCAAGTTGTTGTAGATTCCCCGAAATTCACCCTTCTTTTACTTTGCAATTATCCTTCCACTGCACCATCGGGGTTAGCGGTAGCTGAGTGGGTAGAATCCTGCCTCAATAACTGGCCTGCCACTCTAAGTCTAGCTGATAAGCCAGGCTGGCTTTGGGTCACCTTGGTATCCTGAAACTAATATCCAAACAATTCGATCTGGTCAGCTTTGTATGAGAAGGTTTACCTTGACCAGCACCTCTACAATATTTGCATGACCTTCTGACGCTGCCATATGCAGGGGCGTTCTGTCCACTTTTGTCCTTGCATCACGACTCACTCCTGCGCGGAGCAGAACCTCGGCTGTGGAATAGTGACCATATTGGGCTGCCAGATGAAGAGGAGACGTTCCAAGCTGCAACATCAGAAACCGAGTATAAAGCTAACCATTGTACCCCCTGGAGGGTCCAAAACAACTAGACATTTCCATACTGAAAATTAAAGCAAAGCAGAAACAGTTTCCATGCATTTGACAGTGGATTGCGATAAAGCAACAGCGGTTGGCATTGTGGAGCAGGAGTATAGTCTGTTCCTTGGGGAGGGTGTGGTACATAATTTAGAAGCCAGAAGCCAATTGATGCTACCAGCACGGCTCCCTGAGGGTGCTGTTTTCTCTGCTCATTTGGTTCCCCTAGACTAACATTAACGATCTCTCTACTTACCCAGTCTGTTGTGAAAGGAGCACCATTGGACATTAGGATTCGGACCTCGTCATCCTGTCCTGCTCGTGCAGCTTCTAACAGCTTCTTCCCCAAATCCACTAGAGACATCTAGACAGAAACCGGAGCAGAATTCCTTTAACAAGTATAATAAATCATTGCTTTGAGGTCTCATATGACATGGAATAAATACTCCCATCTGGAAGCTTGCCAGAACACGAGAGATTGAAACCAGATCCTAACCGCACAGCCTACGAAGTATCTTTGAAAGCAATTCCTGCTATTTAGAATCAGGTTTTCCCAGATAAAAGAAGAGCATTTATTAATCTCAGGAACGGTTATCTTCAGGATAGCAATCTCAAGTTCGAATCTCAGTCCCGAGTTCAGAAAAATATAAATCCTGCATCGGATCTCTTGGATTGCTGGCTTCACTGCAGAGCATACCCAGCATTTACCAGCAGAGGCTGACAATGAGCTCCACATATCATCACTGTTCCCTCTAATGGCATCAATACGTAGTACAGTAAACTCCCGATAACGGGTGACTCCAAGGGAAAAGGGCTTCTCCGTGACGACTTATCCTTAATGGTGAGTTAGGCCATATGCATAATTATATAAATACATAAATAAACGCAGCCAGGATATTGACAGTTTGACGACGTAAGTGGCAGTGACAATTTAAAGAGAGGGGCAAGGTATCAGGAGTTAGTTACACTGTTAATTAGTCTGTTTCCCCAGACTAGGAAGACCCTCCACCCAGCACATGCATAACCTTGCACTTAATGGGTATTGGTGCCATTTGTGCAACCATTCATATAATTAGGCAATAACTAATGTACACAAGCACTATTTCAGTATAGGAGTTGTGTATCAATGCATCATCTGAAATGATCTAATAGATAGCGGAGTAGGCTTGTTAGGCTGAAGTAACCAATTCCTGTTCCTAACTATATTGGCTTAACTTACAAGCACTGTGATAATATTCAAAGTCACAAATGTACACATTGTCACAATAAATGTGAAGCATTTTGAGACGTCCTCTGCACATGGAAGGCGCAGCATCAAATGTAAGGATTACTTATGTATTTTCAACTTGAAACAAATACTGTTCTACCCACTTATCTCAGACCAGTTTCTGTCAACACCCACGTGTAACAAAAAAATGTGAAGTCCTGGTCCCTTCCCCGCATGTTAATATCGATAAGGCGCTTTATCAAATGCAAGAATTATTACTAAAGCTTTTTTATCATCAGAAATATTTTGGCAAAATAAACGTACGCAGATAAAACTACTTACATGTATAAACAGTGCAATTCACATCTTTGACAAAAATACCGGGATTCCTACTGAAAATCCACTTCACCCCTCACAGCATTCAGAAATAATGATGGTAGCTGGCTGTTCTGCCCTTAGTCAGTCCTTCACGCCAATATTGTTCGTAATTGACAACATGGAAGCACAAGGAAAGAGCTTGGAGCCAAGCCTCCTGCCAATCTGCCCACCCACCTACAGGGAAATGCGTAGCCTCCGCTCCCACAGAATGCATCTCAGAAAGACAACTCAGCTATGTGGGATGCAATCCAGCCTCTTGTTATTGCGATCATGGCACCGCACGCCAGTGCCCTCTCTTCTCTCGCATGGCGAGTAAACTAATCCGCTTAATGCCCAAACCACCGGAGCACATCGCTTTTTAAAAAAAAAAAAAATTGACCTGTTCAATTCCTGCCCGGGCCTCCTTACCCACCCACTATTTCAGTCTCCACACGCACACACACGCACACACACACTCCTATTTGCAGGCTGCTGCCATTTGCCACTGTGTAAGAGGGCATCGGCAAACCATGAGACTGGCACAAGTGACGCCACCATCCCATCACCGGTCCCCCTCCTCCTTCCCTTTGGGTAAAACGCCCATCGGACAACGCCTCCTTCGTCGGTTTTTAACAAAAACAACCGCACCAAACGAGCGGAGCGAGAGATGCCCCCAACTGTCACCGTCCTCACGCGGGCGGAACCCCCCGAAACACGGGACGGCACCCGTGAGGCCTCTCCGTGGGCACCGACTGCACCGACCGCAGCGGCAACAAAAAAAAACACCACACCAAACGCATTCAGATAATTTAGGGATTTGGGGAACTTCCTATCCCCCTTCTTCCCATTCCCTCCCCACCCCCCACCCCCCAACGCCCCCACCCACGGAAATAAGTCCACGGAGGCGAGTGAGCGACACCAAGGGAGAGCCCCCACACACCCCCCCCCCAAAAAAAAAAAAAATCGTGCGTTAACATAAGAGCCGAGTTTATTTGTATTCGCACCACCTTCAAACCCATCGCCCTCTTCCTTCCCTTCCTCCTAAGTTACTCCCAACCTCGAGAGCTTGGCTCGGAGAGTGAGTGAGTGAGAGTGAGTGAGAGTGAGTGAGGGGAGTAAATGTGACAGGAGTGGCCATTGCCCCCCTCCCTCCACCCACCCACCGCGACACACGGCCCCCGCCGTGGCGGACGAGCAAACGGGAGGCGGCCAAACTACCACCCTCAGGCTTCGGTAGGCCGCAACCTCCGACGACGACGGGGGGGAAAAAAAAAATCCCGCCGCGTTAGACCGAGACTCCCACCTCAAGCCCATCCCCGACCGCTCGGGCCACAGGAGGAGAGGGAGAGGAGGGTGTGGGGAGGGGGAGAGAGGGGGAGAGAGAGGGAGGAGGGGGTTCGCCGTCGCGCCCGAAAAAAAAAAAGCGCCCAGGAAAGCGGGAGGGTTTTTTTCTCTCGCCTCTCGCTACACCACCACAGGAAATAAATAAACCGGGCGATTCGGGGGCTTGGCGCCTTTTCCGGGGGAAGTTGATTTATTTTTTAAGGCGCACAGAGCGCGAGAGAGAGAGAGAGAGAGAGTGAGTGAGAGAAAAGAGATGAACTTCCACATCCGGTAGGCCATCGCCTGAGCTTGACCTGGAAAAGCTTCGCGCCGGAGCCGCCTTGTGCCCGAGCCGCTGCGCCTCTTACCTCGGTCGGTGGGTCGGCGGGTGGGGGATGGCACCTTCCACCGCTTTCTGGGGTTGTTTTTTTTTTCTATTTCTCTCGCCCGCTCCTCTCCCGAAACTTTTTTTTCTCTCTCTCTCTCTCTGTCTGACTCTCTCTCTCTCTCTGTCCCTCCCGCTCCCCGCCCTAAATGTCGTTATTTATTTGAGGAGCATAGATAGAGATAGACATATATATATATTTTTTTCAAAAAAAAAGAAGCTCCCTTTTTTATTTCTCTCTCTCGCTTCTCTCGCTTCTTCCCCCCTCCCCCCACCTCCTCCCGCCCCTCCCCTAGTGGCGGTTGTCGTCCTCGCAAGTTACGGTGGTGCCGCGGCGGAGCCGAGCGCCGCCTGCGGTAGGCCCCATGGAGGCGGCTATGAGGCAGGACTGAGCCGGTTGGGGTTGGTGGGGTGGGGGGCGCACCGTCACGTGGCTTCGGCCTCCCTGATGAGGCTGCCTCCCTCCATCTTGCTAAAGGAGGGACGGCCTTTGTTACGGTTTGGGCGGTGCGGGACGCCATCTTGGTGAAGGGGATTTGGTCGGTCGGTCGGCCGTTCGTTCGTTCAGCGGCCGGCGGCCACCTTGGTGCAGGAGAGCGGTCTCCTGCGGACGCCATCTTGGCAAAGGAGAGTGTCACTGGGGCCCCGTCTTTGTAACGGAAACTTGAGGAGGAGGAGGACACCGGGAATCAATAATAATAATAATAATCCTTGCGTTTAATGCCTCACCTCTCGTCACTTTCTGAAACAGTCTCAAAACACTTGATAATATGTAGTGGCTTTGGATTTGACAGCGGGTTAGTTTTAAGTACGACAACAACAGCAAGATTGCATTTATAGAGCGCCTTTCACGTCGGGAGGACGTCCCAAGGCGCCGGACAGTTGGATCGGGACCCGTCTCAAGATGCTACTCCACCTGAAAGGTGCTATATCAATGGAAGTTGGCGTTGAACCAGCCTGTGACCAGTCTTATCTGGTACTCCACTGAATCTGGCTGACAGCGATGGGAAAGATCATAATAATAATAATAATAATCCTTGCATTTGATATAGCGCTTTTCACGTCAGGAGGACGTCCCAAAGCGCTTCACAGAACACACTGTAAAGTGAATTGACTGTATATTTGTGGGCGAACGCGGCAGCCAATTGCGCACAGCAATGTCCTACAAACAGTCGTAGATTGAAAATGAACAATTTATTATTGTTTTGTTTTTTTGGAGGGATTATTATTAGGCTCTGTGTGGAGTAAGGAAACTTGCCCAAGGTTTCGCCCTGACCTGCCTGGAATTGAACTCAGGTCTCATTCATTTGGATGAAGAAGACCGTTTGGTCCATTTGATCGCATTCTTCCAAAAGCAACGAATCTCTCCAAACATTCCATATTTACAATCTATTCATGTGCTTCCAAAGGAACTCTTTCTGGGTGTATAAATAAATCTCAGTCGGGGGCGGGATCGCGACACTTAAGTGGTTAGCATCCTCTCCTTGCAAGCGAGAAGACCTGCGCTTGTTTCCCGGGTGGGGGGGGTGCGGAGAAGCTTTAGGCAAGTTTCCTTAGTCCAGCGCCCCTCTGTTTACCGAGCAGTAATTAGGAACCCGGTAGTTAGTTAGTTGATCAGCGGGCAATCATCCACGCGCGAAAAAAAAAGTCAACTCAATCCACGCTGTTTGCGGGACACCGCCGCGCGCGCTCGCGGGCGCCCGACCGGCTGCCTCCGCCCGCCCACGAAATCACGCCGTCGGTTTACTTCGCGCTGACATTCTGTGCAGCGCTTGAAGACGTCTCAAAGGACGTGGTCGGGTTGGGGCGCTAGAATATCAAAACGCGAGGTGGACGCTCATGACATGATGATGATGACGACGACGACGGAGGTGGCGGTGGCGGTGATCGTCGGAACGCTCCTTTACCAAGATGGCGGGCGCGCAGACTCAGTTGCGAGTCAGGTGACGTCACACCCGCTCCCCGAGGCCTGGCTGTCAGTAAAGTTCTGCGGCTCTCCGAGTTTCCGCTCGGCCGCGCCGAGAGGGGCGAAGGGCGGAGGAGAAGTCGATCCTTCCCCCCCCCCCCCACCCGCGGTGCGGTCTGATCGGCGGACAGGAGAGAGGATCCCCCGACCGCTTCCAGGTCTCTTGTTTGTTTCGTGAGGGAAACGGTGAGAGAGGGAGAGCGCGAGAGAGAGGGGGGGGACGTGTTGTCGTTCTTGGCCTCGTCGTCGTCGTCGTCCGTCCGTCTCTCTCTCTCTCTCTCTCCCCTTTTTTTTTCCTGGGGGTCTGTTATCTCTCTTCGGGTTTAACTGACCCGTTGGGAGGTTCCTGCATCTCTCCCGTCTTCCTCCTTCCACGGCTTGTGGGGGGGAGGGGGGGAGGAAGGCGTTTTATATTTATTTCTCTTCTTTTTTTTAAAAAAAAGCAAAAAGATGGAAGTGTTTTTCCTAAACCAGACTGTTGTGTGTGTTTTTTTGGGGAGGGGGGGGGTGGGGGGTGGGGAGTGAGGGGTGGGGAGTGAGGGGTGGGGAGTGAGGGGGGAGTGAGGGGGGTGGGGAGTGAGGGGTGGGGAGTGAGGGGGGGGGGTGGGGAGTGAGGGGGTGGGGAGTGAGGGGTGGGGAGTGAGGGGAGGGGGGTGGGGAGTGAGGGGGGGGAGTGAGGGGGGGAGTGGGGGTGAGGGGTGGGGAGTGAGGGGGTGGGGAGTGAGGGGGGGGTGGGGAGTGAGGGGGTGGGGAGTGAGGGGTGGGGAGTGAGGGGGGTGGGGAGTGAGGGGGTGGGGAGTGAGGGGAGGGGGGGAGGGGGTGGGGAGTGAGGGGGTGGGGAGTGAGGGGGAGGGGGGTGGGGAGTGAGGGGGTGGGGGGGGGTGGGGAGTGAGGGGAGGGGGGTGGGGAGTGAGGGGTGGGGGGTGATTTCTTGTTTAGAAGGACCTAAGTTTGTTTGTCAGCCTCGCGGCCGAAACGTCTCTCGTGTCCTGATTTTATCGTGTGTTTTTTTTTCTATTTATGTACAGATCTTTTTTTTTTTAAAAAAAGTGTTATTTTCCCCTCCATGTTCTGTGTTGCGTTGTGTTGTCCGCGAAGGAATCCCGCCGCCGCCGCCGCCGCTTTCGAACACGCGGATTAATGTTAAGATGGGTGATGTCTGGAGATGAATTGGTTTTTGAGGCGCTCGGTGCGACGACGGCGACGACAACATTACCTTTGTAAAGCGCCTTTCACGTCGGGAGGACGTCCCGAGGCGCCGGACAGACAGAGTTTCGGACCCGAGCTGGGGGTCGGAATCGGGGAGGGTGGAGGGCGGGGCGGGGGGAGCGGGGGGGAAGCAGGGTGATCGGATGCACGGTCGAAGAGGAGGGTCTTGAAGGTGGCGAGGGAGCTGGCGAGGCGGGGGGACTGCGGGGTGGAGTTCCGGAGGGTGGGGGGGCAGAGTGGCAGAAGGCCCACCCGCCAACGGTGGGGCGAGCGGGGCGGGGGGACGTGAAGCAGGCCGGAGCCGCCTGAGCGCAGCGAGCGAGCAGGGTGGGAGGGGGGTTAGGAGGTCGCAGGGTTAGGGGGGGAAGCAGGACCATGGAGGGCTTTGAAGGTGAGGACCAGGATCTTGGAACTATATCCTCTGTGTGATGGGAAGCCAGTGGAGTCGAGCCAGAATGGGGTGATAGGGTCGCGGAGACTGGTGCGGGAGAGGACACGGGTTGCAGAGTTCTGGATGATCTGCAGCCTATGGAGGTAGTAGTCGAGCCTCGATGTAATGAAAGCACGTATGAGGGTCCTGCGGTGAGAGACAGTGGCGGAGCCGGGCGATGTTGCGGAGATGGGGGAAGGCAGAGCGGGTCGTGGCGCAGATGTGGGGTTAGAAAGGATAGTTGAGAGTCGAACAAGATCCCAGACTGGCTTAGCAAGGTGGAGTGTGCAACCATGGATAGTGATGCTGTCAGTGCCTGAGGTGAGGAGCCGCTGACGGGAGCCAATCAATAGAGCCTCGGTCTTGTTGACATTTAACTGAAGAAAATTAGCTCTCATCCAGGACTTGATGTCCGACAGATATTCTGTCAGGTCAGCAGTGGTCCTGGAGTCAAAGGTGGAGGCAGAGAGGTATAGTTGGGCATCATCCTCATACATGTGGAAGTTGACCCCATATCTGCGGATGATGTCACTAAGAGGGAGCAAATAGATATAATATGCTAAGGATTAGGTGAAATCTTTTCCGATATCAGGCTTTGATTTCGGATCAGAACCTGTGTAGTACATATAGTTATTATGGAACTATGGTCAACACTGTACTGCAGTCCTAAATAAACTTTAGTCCCAATGTAAGGTCTGTGCTTGAATGTTATGACAATGTGTTTGCATGGTGTCATTTGTTTATCATGTCTGTAGTGGACAATGCTACTTTTCCTTGAAGTATTTTGCTCAAAAGGGTTTGCTTGGTATTTCCTGGGCCCATCCGTAGGGTTGTAAGAAGCATTGCAGGATACTTTGAAAGTGGCTGAAATTTTGGAATATATAAAAGTGATTTTTTCTATAAATATATTTATAATTAAATAAAAATGGAATATATAAAAGTAGTATAAAAATAATAACTTGGTCACTTCAATCCACGACTGTTTGTGGGACGCTGCTGTGCGCAATTGGCTGCCGCATTTCGCCCACAAATGGTCAGTCAATTCACTTTACAGTCTGAAATCCTGAGAGTTTGTATCCAACAGCATGTATTTTTTCCCCCTTTATGCCCACAGCCTGAGGAGGTTGCTTGTCTTTCGAAGAGAGTCCATTTAACCACGAAAATTGCTTAAAAATGCCTGCAGTGTCGAGTGGTGCAAAGTCGTTGTATCTGTCTACATCCTTGGCAGATCTTAATAAGAAAGCAGAAGTCAAACCCGAGAAAGGAACAACCACCAAAAAGTAATGTATTGCTGATTTTAAATGAGTTATTTTATAAATAAGCAAGTGCTTGAGGTCTATTTTCCGTTGTTTTGCAGATTTGATTGGTATTGATTGGTGAAGTATTAATGGGTTTGATGATTTCCAATTGTTGGTATTCATTTTAGCTTCTGCAGTTTTTCTTTGCATCTACCAATGTATATAAACATTGCTTATATTCCTGTGCAGAATTGCACTCCACTTCCTACTAATAATTCATATTCAGTTAATTTACTTTACTATTACAGGCAATTCACTTTCCAGTTTATTCTGTGAAGTGCTTTGATACGTCTTGAAACGTGATAAGGCGCTGTATCAAATGCAAGGATTATTATTTTACACTTTGTTGCTGCTCTCATACAATATGAGTTCTGGATCATCTGCTTTTTTTTGGCCTGAGGAAAATTGAAAGTTGAAAGAAACCTTAAAAAGGGTGAGGAGAAGCGAGGGCGGGGGCATTTCTGGAAAAATCATAAATCAGTTTGTGTAGTGAAATGAGAATTTTAACAGAACGTAGTGTAGCTGTTAAATGTGCATTGTTGCGGGAGCTCAGCTCACTCTGAGATCATAATCCTCGGGAACTCTGATGGTAGTTGGCAGACCTTTCCTTTGCTGTACTTCTTATGTCATACTGGTTCTGCTGTGTAATGCACTGCAGTCCTGGGAGCCAGGCTTTTTATCTTTCTAACTTGTCTGCATTCCTGCTTACTTTCATCGGGTGAACAACCTTGGAGGAGGAGGACGGGTACAATTGTAAAATACTGCAATCTATATAAAACAAGCTCTTTACAACTATGTATTATGCACAAAAACTGAGATTGGCAGGTGAATTTGCCCTCTATGATTGTTGGTGGATGCAAAGATAACTTTGGTAAGCAGAAATATATATATATATATATATATAAATATAAGGTAACTTGTTAGTGAGTCTCCTTTTAAAAAAAAAGAATTCTTGATGGTCATTTGAGATAGTACAATCGAATATAAATAAACGTATAAGACTGTTCAGCTCACATTTAATTGTCAGGAAGCTGTTGTACCTGATTGAGATGCTCTTCTTGCCTTTGTTCAAACAATTTTATTCCCTCTCTTTTCCAGTTATGTCCATAGCGCTTGTAAGATTTTCAAGGCTGCAGAGGAGTGTAGATTGGACAGAGATGAAGAAAAGGCCTTTGTTCTTTACATGAAGTACTTGTCTGTGTATGAACTGATTCGGAAAAAGAGCGATTTCAAACAGCAACAGGTACTTTGAGTACAGATACAGTCACCAAACTTCACAGTACATCTTGTGAAGCGCTTTGAGACGTCCTCCCAGTGTTCAAGGCACTATTATCAAATGAAATGATTGTTTTAACTTAGGTTTCATGTTTTGCTCTGAGCTGTGTATTTAATGCCCAGAAATGATATTCGTAGAATTGCCATAAAACTTAGGGAACATAATGATTCCAATGAACTTTCCGGTCATATTGTTCAGCAAATATTTATAATTTCAACAACTGTTTTCCATCTGGAGAGTTTTCAGGAATCTACCAGGTGTAATTCATTGAGCTTGATGCACATGTGCTGTTCCCTTGAGCACTGAAATAAATGTTAAGTCTCTCATTGCAAGTGTCTAAATCAAACAAACTTTTAAAGAATGTAATATTAACTATATAGAGATATATTTTAAAAGAACTTTATGCAGTGAGTGCTGACTCTCTATTGGGGATTAGTCCTGGAGGAGCTGCTAAGCCTGCCGGCACAGAAGAGCTGAAGTAGCAATTGTAGAGAGAATCATCATCCCGGCTGCTTCAGCGATTATGTAATCTTAGGAGTCTGCATTAATTCAATTCCCTCAACAGTTCAGATCTTGTAATTCTGCCAAGGTAGTTTCCTCCAATGCGGCTCACTGAGGCTGCGCTTTGCACATGCATGCTCCATCTGGTCAGAAATAACGCATCGGGTAACTTTACAAAGTGAAAAGAAGGAAGTCATTATTCATAACTGTTTAAAATTTAAGTCATATTTACTGTGAGATTGTTTATTTCCCAAACACTGCTAATGTCTTTGTAGCTCTTCGAGGCTGGGCAATGACATGAGACCTGGGTGCGATGGAGCTCAGATTGCAGCATTTTTCATGCTTTGTTACTTTCAGCGAGTCATTCTTGGGTAAATCTTTCCAAAGAACTAACATGAACTGTGTAGCTTATCATTTAATCAAACTAAAACGCTTACATTTGAAGTATCAGATCCCTTTGAGCTGATTAACTTCATATGTACCACGTGATTTCTTTCAGGAATACTACACTTCTCTGCTTGGGCCAGCAAGCTTCCGAAAAGCCATAGAAGGAGGCAGAAAGACTTTCTGATAGCCTGAAGTTGAGGTGAGTGCAACAATATGGATTCTTATGATGTGTGTCATGTGGGCAGTGTTGTACAGCACTAACCCGATTTGTATTTCTTTCATGACCCATAAACTGTCATGATCTGCAAAGTACAATTTTAAGATATTTATATTAAAAGATTGTTTTATGGGAGGGAATAGTGTTGGTCTGCGGTGGGCTTACACTGTTTTGCTTGTACCCCCACCCTTTGGAATTCTATCCCACAGTCCCTTTGCCTTACTCTCTCGCTTTCCTCCTTCAAGGCACGTCTCGAGACCCTCTTCGACTGTACATTTGGGCAGTTTCCTACCCTCTACCCACACTGCCCATCACCCCTCCTGATCCCAACCCCCTGCTCGTGTCCAAATCCCTGACTGTCCAGCGCCTTGGGATGTCCTCCCGACTTGAAAGGCGCTGTGTAAATGAAATTTGTCGTTGTTTGTTTGGGGGTGAAGATGCAGGAGGTTCTGAATGGGTTCAATCTCTGTTAGATACGAGGAAGCTGAAGTTCGCAAAAAGCTGGAAGAGAAAGAGCGACTGGAGGAGGAGAAACAAAAGCAACAGGAGGAAGCAAAAAGAAAGGGGACCGACAACACCACCAAAGCCTTAACCAAGAACTCTTTGAAGGATCTGGTTCACGTAAAGAAAGGAAGCCTAAAGGTTGGTGATCTACAAACGGCTGCTGCTTGCTCTGCGTTATAAGGACCTTCGCCAAAATACAGCAACGTTTTTAAAGAGTTTGGCTTCGATTTCGATTTGGTGTGAAGTGCATCACATGACTTGTATTTTAGTGATAAGCGATTGTAAAGATAATAGATATTTGAATGTGTGACGGTATAAGTAGATACTACATACTGTACTTTGGAGCGTTATCTAGATGTTTCTTCAAGTCTGTTTCTTTTCATTTTAGGAAGACGGTGAGCTGAATGATGGCAAAGAAAACAACACGTGCACTCATGGTGAATTTACTGTAAATGCACAATGACACGTCACTTTATATGTGACAGTCTTAACCATCTCTACACAGCCAACTGTGTGAAGGGCTTTGAGATGCCCCAACCCCCAATGTGAAAGATTTAAATTGTATTGTATCTCTATTAAGCACTTAATTATGAAGCATTTTGGAAACGTTTTTCTCTGTAATTTGTTCCCAGGACTTTGCTAGTTCCTCATACTGATCCCTTTTTCATGTCCTGGTGAGAACAGCATCTCAATGTCTTGGCCTATTTTCTCTCCTCCCCTCTATTCCTCAGCTGTTTATATATTTTGCATTTTTTGTTGTCACTTTTACAAAGCAGATCTACCTCCAGGGGCGATCCGTGCAGAGAACCTCTTTGCAATGCTGCAGGATGAAACCACAGGGGTGATTATTATGGATGTGAGGACTTACAAGGATTACCAGGAATCACATATACACATGGCTGATCAGTGCTGTATCAGTGTTCCAGAGGAAGCTATCAACCCTGGGTAAGGAACTGGATGCAAGTTCAGAGTAGAACTGTTAAGAGTAGGTTAATGGAGATTATTGCGCAAACCTATGAGTACAGAAGGAATATAGGTACCTCTAATTATTGGAATAATCAATGAAAGGATGACGAGTGTATGCATGTAATTAAAGGCCACTTGTATGCATTTGCACACTGTTACCCAAGTTAGACTACAATATGTTTTATGACACAAAATGTTCAAAATTAGGCACTTATAAATGGAGTTTGTAGGACGTGGGTCGTGCGTGGGCTCGTCTGTGGTACAGTTGGTCTGAACAGCCTTCTCCTCTGCCTGAGCCTGTGCCTCTGACCTTCATTCTCCTCAGCACAGTACCTGTTGCCTTCATTCTTCCGGGTCTGGCCTCCTTCTTGTCCTCCGAGTCCTCTGCTCCACCCTCGGCGGCCGTGCCTTCAGCCACTATGCCCCGAGGCTGTGGCACTGCCTTCCTCACTCCCCTTGTCTCGCTCCCTCCCTTCCCATTTTCAGACCCTTCTTTTCGACTGCCTTTGGTCACCTTCCCACCCCTCCCCCTGGCTCGTTCCAAGGATCCTAAACTGTAAAGCGCTCTGAGACACCGTCTGGCATGGAGGGCGCTATATAAATCTAAGTTGTTGTTGTTGATGTCCTGTGTTCAGGCAGATAACTGACTGTTTTAATGGTTTCGTTTTGCAGCATCACTGTTAACCAGATTGAGCTGAAACTGCCCGAAGAGTCGAAAGCCAAGTGGAAGAATCGGCAGTTTATCGATTACATTGTGTTGCTCGATTGGTTCAGTTCCATCAATCAGGTCAAACTGGGAACCACCCTCCAGAGTCTCAAGGATGCCCTCTATAAGGTTCGCCATCTGTCCGTACTTGTTTAGCTCTTCTCTTTGTCCTGTCTCGTGGCGTGGTCAGTCCAAGGCCAAGAGAGAGCAGTGGGGAGTCCTGATTGTAGGCCAGTGCTAAAACATTAAGCTTCACTTGATGGCTCCCTGTAATGGCATGACTTTATATGTGATAAAAGATCTATGTCTCTCCCACTCCATTGCTCACTGCAGTTCCCATGTCCTGCATCAACAGGTCGTGCCGTTTCTGGTATTTGGCTTAATATTGTAATGGTATCTTGTGCTTGGTCTGCATTGGTGAATTAGTTAATGATTAGAGTATTTCAGGTTTCCACCTCAGCACCTGCATATTGTTTTGCTCGCACAATTCTAGTGCGAAATAGTTACAATTAGGAATTCTGCCAATCATCACTGTGTGTGCCCAGGACAGTTCATTAATGTGGGGTATGGTCCAATGGTTTGGATGCAATTGGGTGGCACTGTGCCAAGGCATTGTACAATTGTGAGCCTCTGAACAGAGGGATGTGTGTTCACTGTTCTTTTCCTCACTCTTCCTAATCCAAACCCAAGTGCCCACACGCGCACATCCTGCTGTGGTATATGCTGCATCTCGTAAGGAAGCCATTATCTTCCCAAAGAGACGAAGAGAGTCACTCCACACTTGTGGGGCTCTATATCTTTCTCAGAGAGTTTCGGGAGAAAGTTTTCCTTCTTGCCCTTTCATACATGGAAAAAGTTAGTAGAGGATATGAAGATAGAGAAAATGTAAAATCTCTCGAAACCAAAAATAAATCTAAAATTGCATTTGAGCAGTGGTGGCATTTTAAATCACGGTTTTTAATACATTTATTTTTGATTCAGTGGGATAGCCAGATAATTCTACGTAGTGAGCCACTGATACTCGAAGGTGGCTATGAGACCTGGCTCCTGTTCTATCCAATGTATACAACCAATCCCAAAGTGATTGTGCCGAGGGAGGAGAAACCAGACACACACCTGGTGTCTTGTAAGTACAGAACTGCTATATATAATAGTAATAACCCTTGCATTTCATATAGCAGCTTATCACGTCGTTGAGACGTCTCAAAGCGCTTCATAGAATATACTGTAAAGTGAATTGACTGTATCTTGTGAGCAAAACACAGCAGCCAAATTGCGCACAGCAGTGTCCCACAAACAGTCATGGATTGAGTGACCAAATGATTATTATTTGGGGGGGGGGGGTTATATTATTACCCCATAAAGCGATCCGACAATCGACTAACAACCAGGTTCCTACTTATTGCTACGTAAACCGAGACATGTGTAGTAAGGAACTTCCTTTTTCTGTTTTTGTTTTCAAGAACAATGTAGAGTATAACTCTGTATATCAAGTGTGGCTCCCGATATTTGATTACCCCCAAACTTCACTGTGCGCGCTATCACTTCAAAACGCGGGCTCAAAGCTAAACTGTCTGACCTCTGGGTTCTGGATTCCCTAAGTTCTTCCTCTGTTGGGTGTCTTGGGTCTCAATTGTGGATTTTAATGAGATGTTACTTTTGTGACAGTGAATTTCAGTTATCCAACTTTGGAAGAGTCTCCCCCACGTCCTCCGCCCTCCTCAGACTTGACTGAGAGGAAAGTGTCCCAAGAAATAGAAGCTTGTGACGAGCAAGACTCCCAGCCGGAAAAGGTGGCAAAACGAGTCAACGTCACAGAGACCGCCAGTGTGCCAAACGGTGTTACTCGGCAAGGAGTTTCACCTGCTGTACAGCCTACTACACTGAAAGCCATTCCACAGGTACCTGTATGCTATCAGTATACAGCAAAATATTCAGACCCTTCGTAATTTTCAGATCACTTTTTGCTGCATCTGTAGATCTGCTCATAATCTCTTGTGTATTCCTTCCCCTCCCATTTATTCGCACATTATGTCCCTTCCATTTGCTCCCAGGTTGTTATGTCTGTACACTATAGCCAGCCACCTGGCGCACACAGGCAGTACATTATACTGTAATTTTAACCTTCCCTCATGTGTGAAACGATTTGGCTTTCTACTCATCCGTATCCTCTCGCACACACACTAACAGGAATGCAGGTATAGTTGTTTTTCAGTGGTATCACTCGTAGCAGCATCAGTATTGATTTCTATACTTGCATTAAGAACTTTCGAGTCATTTTTTTTAAGCACACAAGTTGAAGGGCTTTTGAGCACAGAAGGTTCATTGTACCATGGAGACTTTAATGTATGTCTGTGCTTTGAGCAGATTGATCGGAGTAAAAAACCCTCCCTGAAGATGCCCGATCGATCTCAATCCAACTCTGATGTCGGTGTGGACAGTCTGCCTGCTCACAACGGGCCACTGATCCCCGATCGATCCACCAAGCCATCGCTGGAGACGCAGAACTCGTTAACTGACGAAGAAAGAAACCTCATCCACGCTGAAGCGGCGCTGATCGGCGAGAAGGCCAGAAGGGAGAAGGAGCACCGAGATCGAGAGAAGCTTCTACAAGAAGAGCGAAGAAAAGAAAGCGAGAGACTGGAGAAGGAGGAGCAGGAGCGTCGGGATAAAGACCAGCGCGAGAGGGAACTCCGGATCAAAGAGGAAGAAAGGGAGGAAAGAGAAAATGAAGAACGGAGGAAGAGAGAAGCGGAAAACAGACGAGTGAAGGAGGAGACAGAAAGAGAGAGGTCAGAGCAGGAGAGAAAATCTGAAGAAAACAAAGCCAAGATCGAAGGCCAAGTGAGAAATACGGGAGAATCGAGGAAAGACACACAAGATCAGCCGGTCTCTGAGCCGAAAGACAACCCTACAAATACAGAACAGGTAATTCTAGCTTGTCACTGGCACGATTAGCATTTTATAATGGGCTTATCTCAGATATAATAAGCACAGCTCATTGCAGTTGCTCTACTTTGCAACAAGAGGAATTTTGCTTCCAAAGTGCCACCATACACAGCCACTTAAAGGTTAGGATCTATTAACTTGTGTTGCTCGCCGATGTAGTATAAAGGAGCAGGAGTCTAGCGGGTTTACTTGTTAATCTCCAATGTGTGTATATCATATCTAGTTGCTCAAGTCTTCGTTTGCTGCCAGCTTCCCTCGTGGGAAACAATTTGTATCCTCTTGAACAAACAGCTAACCGGAGGGAATGTAGGCACAGTTACTTAAATAATCAATCAGTTAATCATAATTCCCTCAATATTTATTTTACTGTATTTCAAACTCCTTGTGGCTATGCTAATAATGGCAACCGAGAGGTTAAGTGGTTGGGACTGAGTCCTTGTGGGTTTTCCTCCCTAATTGTGGACAGACTTTCAGATCTTGTGGAATCTTGCTTGGTTTCCTCTGTGCTGTGGCAGCGTACTTTGGTAAAGCTCAGGGGTTCAGACGGGTTGTGGGGAGATTGGCTTTTGTGGGTATATCTTAATTTATGGAATGTGCAGTAAATTAAATATTTCTCCAATTCAGACCCAACAAGAGATTGGACATGGAAGCGGCAGTCAAAAAGCAAAGACATTCAAAGAAGAAAATGAAAGGCTGAACGTAAGGTTTTTTTTTAAGTAAAATGTACTCGTTATTTGGCAAATCACTTATTTGCTTGCCCTTGACTTTTCACTTCACCTCACGTTACCCACACTCTCCCAACCCCCAAATAATTTGGTCTTTTTCTTTCCGGCTCAGAGAGACTCGCTAACCAGAGCGAGGAGTGAAGAAATGGGTCGGACAGTTCCTGGCTTGCCACAAGGGTGGATGAAGGTAAGCGATGTTACGCTTGAGGGAATGTAGAAACTTAACTAGAATCTTTTTTTAAAAAAAAAGCTGAACTTACAACTTTGTTTTTCTAAATCAGCGCTGGATAGTGCGACCTTTATAAGAAAGGGTTGAAGTTTAATGTGCGTCCAAACTGAAAGCAACAATGAGGCAACCTCACTCCCTTTACGTTTAAAATTCAAAGTGCGCAAAGCCTCTCTGAGCAAGCAAGTTCTGTCGAAATAACTTTCCAAGGATTATGGATGAACCTTTTCAATGCAACTTGTTCTTTATCAATCCCCCCCACCCACCCACCCTGCTCTCTCTCTTCTCTCTCTCTCTTTCCCTTTCCCAATCCCCTCCCCAATATTTGCTCCTTTTCAGTTTCTTGATTTAGTGACCGGCACGTACCGTTATTACCACTCACCCACGAACAGCGTTCATCTGTATCCACCTGAAATGGTTCAGTCCATCACACCGCCCGCCACACCCCCAACTCACAAAGCCAAGGCTCCGAGCCTGACCGACACAGAAGCCCCCAAGTTAAAGCGCTCCTACTCCTCGCCGGACATCACCCAAGCAATTCAGGACGAGCAGAGCAAAGTGGCAACAAAACTAGCCCCGACTATCAACCGGGAAACCAAGTAGGTAGTCTCGTTATTTTTAATTTCATTAAAACACCTTGTATTTTTGTGTTTGAATATTACTCAATCGCTAACCTCTTGATGCACAGTGTTGTGTTGTGTTTCCTTGTGCAAGTCTGTGGAACAAGCTCTCTAGGGAGATGAGATGTTGGAAGCAAAAAGTGCGAATTCATTCAAATGCAAGTTAGATAGATTTCCTTTAGGAAATAATATTTGAGGATACAATATATAAGTAGGTCAGGATATGACACGTGCGTGCCACTGCCAGGATGGTGGAAAGCAAACTGGGAGGACCTTGTTTTTTTTTGTCCAACATTTCCTATGTTTCTAACAACTAAGAGCGTGTAAAATGACTAGTAATTGGGTTCTTCTATCTGCCTCTGTTGAGTTGGCAGCCAAAAGACCCGCAACATGGGTTTAAATGACCTTAAACCCGGATTCTTACTGCTTGTACTTTCTCTCTCTCTCTCTCTCTCTTCAGACCCTACAACTACAGCAAAGCTGAAATCTCGAACCCCTCTGCCTCTCAGATCCGAAACTTAAACCCTGTGTACGGGGGCCTGGGGCGAGCCCTCACTGGTCTTCGCAATCTCGGCAACACCTGCTACATGAACTCAATCCTGCAGTGTTTGTCCAACACTCCGAGTCTGGCAGAGTACTTCATTAAAAACTACTATTTACAGGATATAAACAGGTAAAGAAAGCATCACTTATAATAATAATAATAATCCTTGCGTTTGATATAGCGCCTTGTCACGTCGGTGAGACGTCTCAAAGCGCGTCACGGAATATATACTGTAAAGTGAATTGAATGTATATTTTGTGGGTGAAACTCGGCAGCCAATAGTGCTTACCACAAGAAGCTCTCTGTGTTGCAGCGCCTATAGACGGAGGGAGAGAATCTGGAACTTGCCATTTTAGCTCAACACTTTTCACAACGCATAATTGGCTGCTGTGTTTCGCCGACAAAATATACAGTCAATTCACTTTATGATATATTCTGTAAAGGGCTTTGAGACATCTCGAACACGTGATAAGGCCCTATATCAAATGCAAAGATTATTATTGCTTGTATATTGTGTCTTTCACTGGGGGTAATGTCTAAGCACTTTGTAGGAATATGGGGAGAAGCTGCTATTCGGGCAATCTGTCTTGAATGTGAATAATTCCAGTTGCATTTTGTTTCAGGGCAAACATTCTTGGCCATAAAGGTGAAGTGGCTGAAGAGTTTGGTGTCGTCATGAAAAGCTTGTGGTCGGGCCAGTACAAATACATCAGCCCCAGGGAGTTCAGGATGCGAATCGTGAAGATAAATGACCGATTTGCAGGAAGCAGTCACCAGGATTCCCAGGAGCTGCTGCTCTTCCTGATGGATGGGCTCCACGAAGATCTGAATAAAGTGAGCTGCTAATAATCCTTGCATTTGGTACAGCGTCTTATTACGTTTGAAGGCCGTCGCAATGCGCTTTACAGGATTTTCCTGTGAAACGGAATGACTGGCATTTGTATTTGCAAATTATAATTTCCGTTTCAGTTATAGTGTTACTAAACTAAAGAAAGCGTTATCATTGAGAAGAGCTTCAGCAATCAACGCCCCAAAGACAATGGAAACTTACCAAATGTATATTATAATCCTTGCATTAATGCACTTATCCTTGAAGCAATTTTTCTGTGAAGTGCAGTGACTGCATTTGCAATCAAATAACTGTTCGGCTACAAATGCCCCTCCTTCCTCTTTCCACAGGCCGATAATCGGAAGAGATATAAGGAAGAAAACATTGATGGCCTGGATGATTTTCAAGCTGCGGAACTGGCCTGGCAGAAACACAAGCTACTAAATGAGTCTATCATTGTGGCTCTGTTTCAAGGCCAGTTCAAGTCAACAGTGCAGTGTCTGACTTGCTACAAGAAGTCTCGAACCTTTGAGGCCTTTATGTATCTTTCCCTGTCACTTGGAACTTCCAACAAATGCTCTTTGCAGGTAAATTTCTCTGTATTTTGTCCAAACGTAACATTTCCCACATCGATTGTTAACTTGGGATTTTAAACAAGTGGACTGCTGCGCTTTTTCACTCTGCAGGATTGTGTGCGGATGTTTTCCAAAGAGGAGAAGCTCACAGACGACAACCGCTTCCACTGCAGCCACTGCAAAACTCACCGAGACGCCACAAAGAAACTCGAGATCTGGAAACTGCCCCCGATTCTCCTGATACACCTCAAACGGTGAGGTCCCTTTAAGAAATCAGCCTGGCTCTGCTGGCAGCGGGTGAATGCCCCGGGAGTTGGGCTAAATGAGTCACGCACTTTGTTTTCTTCGCAGATTTTCTTTCGAAGGAAGATGGAAGCAAAAGCTCCAGACAAATGTAGACTTTCCTTTGGAGAATCTGGACCTCTCACCGTATGTTATTGGTCCCAAACACAACATAAAGAGATACAACTTGTACAGCGCATCAGTAAGTAGCCCACTTCTTGGTTTTTTCTCGTCTTAAGTTCCGAATGTCCGGAACAGCTTAATGATTCTGGCTAAAGTGGTTTTTTTTTTTGCATATAATTACCATAGTTGGGTGAGTTAACTGGATTTGGTTACCTTTGTATTCCGTTCATTGGCTGCTTTGAAGCACTGGCTTACGTAAAACCTTTGACTGTGAATTCTGTACCTTTTTATTTGCAACAGAACCATTACGGGGGCATGGAAGGCGGACACTACACTGCTTACTGCAGGAACCCTCTGAACCAACGCTGGTTCAAGTTCGACGACCACGATGTGTCTGATTTCTCCACCTCATCTGTGAAGTCGGCAGCAGCCTACATTCTCTTCTACAGCTCCCTCGACCAGCGCACCATTGACCTGGCCACATAGCACACTCGGGGCACAGCACCTGGTTTCTCTCTGAAACGATGAAGCACCCAGTTTCCACGGAAAACCCTTCTCAGTTAGAAAGGTACTGGCCAAGGTCGGTGCACCTGTGACGTAAAGGACTGACTGGCTGAGCTAAAGGATTATCTGCCAGCACAGATGTTTTTTTTTTGCATTGCAACACCATATAATAGGGATTAACTGGACTGATCTGGCCTTTTGTAATTCAATGAGTATGTTTAGTCATGCAATCGCTTTAACAATGATTACAGAATCATTCCCCCGTTCAGAGTTGAACCAAAATCGTAGCTTGAGTTGCAAGAGTCTTGCAAGATGGACCTTTTTGCTGTTACATGAGTTGTTGGTTGTCTCTTTCAATGTCTTTCCACTTGCTCCTGTTGTAATGGCCTTTCTCCATTAGTTTCAAAGAAACCTTTCTTTCTGTACTGTGAACATAACCTAGAATAATATGAGCAGATGGGATTGTATCTGTACATAATGACTGCAGACTTGCACAAAAAAAATGAGCATTCAATGTATGTACGTGTGTGTGTATATATAAATACGTTTAAACAACTTTTATTTGTGAAGTAACCTATTACTCTGTACCTGTAGAGGAAGCGCTTGAATGACAACTTAATGCTGCTGCACTTATCCTTAACCAAAAACTGCATAGCTAATCCAAATTATTTTGGCACAATTTTATACTCTACGTGTGTGCATTTAATTTCTCTAGCCTTTGTTTATAATGTAACGTGTGCAACCAATTATACTTTAATGCAAATGGCCTGCAGCCTTGTGATTTCTTTTGACTACTGCAATGGGTTGTACTGATTATTCTTTGTGGGGCAAAAACAAAGGAGCTCAGGTCAGAAAAGGAATCATTGTACTCATTCCGTACATTAGTTTCCTTTCCAAAACTGAGCTGGGAGATTAAGTGCTTGCTTATATACGAATATTCACCATAAGAATTGTTAGTTGAGAGAAGACCAAGGTCCATCCAGTTTGTCTTCCACTATTCCAGAGTCGCATGCACATGTCATATCCCAAACTATATACTGTATCCCAAGATACTATTTCCGTAAAAAAATTATCTAATTTGCTTTTGAAAGACATTTTCAATGTTCTCTGGAATGGATTACGACAACGCGTCCAAGAGTATTGAGTAGTGGCAAAGTATTGGATGAGGTATTGCAGGTTCAAAGCTGTTTGGTTAAAGACTCTTCATCTACATAAAATGGTTTAACTCCAGCACTGTGTCAATTCGAACTTACTTTGTAATAAAAATGCATCCATTCACACACTCCACCGACAGACCATTAGCAAAAGGTTTACTTGTAATCTAAGGGATAGAGTGAGGTTTAGACAAAGTGGATAAGAGCGACCACAGAGAATATGAATTAAAAATATAATTACATTATTTATACATGTATAAGTTGCCTGAGGGCAAGTATAGATTGCAAACAGGAGTAAGGAAAACTGTTTATTGTAGCCTGCCTGAGATGTAATTATTGAGCCCATTGAAAATTTATGCAATTATAGAAAAGAATGTAAGCAGCCGGTGACTGAATCTTCTGCTCACAAATGTCAGTCACTTTCATATCATTGAATTCGTGCCATCTCTGCGTCACTGGGTTTTTGCAATAGGCAGTGTAGTGACCGCTGTCGAGTGAACCAGTGTGATTCTGTGAAGAGAAACCCAAAGCAGTAAGAGTAACTAACTGATGAGGACTTCTCTGTATGCACTCAAACACTTAGCGATTCCATTGAATTTTAAGTGATGTCTTTTCCAAAGTGAATATCTAGTGTGAACAAGAGAAGCGACATGTCGCTGATCGCTACTGCAGCAAATAGGAAATCGCAATTAAGAGTTTTGCCTACAAGATACAGTCAAGATACACTTTGCAGTATATTCTGGGAAGCACTTTGAGACGTCTCAACGACGTGATAAGGCGCTATAATCAAATGCAAGGATTATTATAGGTGAAAGATGGAAAGAGTTTCTTTATATTTCGTTGCTCTGCATGTGTCACTGTGTGTGAGACAAGAGGTGCAGCCAGAAAACCTGTGTATGTTTTTTTGTGCCATTATCATTGCATGTAGTCCACTAGATATGTGCGTCAATGGTTTGATACCATAATTTGCTTTTCTCTTCCTATAATAAATCATTCGGCCTCTAGTCCTTTGCCTTCCTTCCCTCTGAGCAGCACCAACAGGAAACTGCTGTGCAGTGTCTTGTTCTATCACTGTGTGTCACAGGTCACTCTTATATATGGATCCATGAGGTCATGTGGAGTGCATTCGACTTTGTGCAATTCCGGTAAATTATAACACTTACCACAACGGCATAAAGGTGATACTTCAAGTGTTGAGCTGACGGAGTTGTTGTATATTGGGAGAGATCAAGGTCTTCCAGTGGGAAGCTCACAGTGCTGGTCAGCTTTCTGTTGCCGTGGTCATCAGATTCAAAGCTGCGTGGGGGAAAAGTCATTCTGAATAATCTCATTGTATCATTAATAAGTGACGTTTCTCTGGGTGTTTATCCGTTGACTAGCAAAAGGACGATGTGTTGCAAAGGAGGAAAATCAACGTGAAAAGATTTGACTGTCTTACTCATTTCTAGACCTGTTATAAAGAAAGAATTTCTAACGTTATAGTAACAAAAATAGTAGTGCCACATCACAATAGCTAATGATCCACACAGTTAATTACTGTGAAGTCTAGTGACTGTTTGTATACAAACCTGACAGGCACACAGATGAGCAATGAGGTGAATGATCAATTAATGTGGAGGATTATTGGGAGAAACTCCATCCTCTTTCCAAATCATTTTTTGGGATCTTAACTATCACCTGAAGAGAGGCAAATGGAACCATAGTTTGACATCTCATCTGAACGATGGCACCTCCAGCAGAATGGTACAGCCCCAGTACTGGGTTGGATCACCTCAAATCTAGACGTGGAACCTGAACACAATGTTCAGAGGTAAAAGCGCTACCAACTGAGACAAGCCAGCGGTTTCCCACAAATTCACAGAGGATGAAAGTGACTGAACGGTTACTCCCTCAAGCAATTGGTTGACTCACCGCTTTAAGTGGATGATGATAATATCGGGGGCTTTTAGCATCTGGATACTTTCTGATTGATCCCGTTTTCTCCCACAAAACGAACAGTAGGGCTGGTCGCTCGAGCTCAGGATTTCCTCTTTGAAAAAGAGCCTGAGGCAATCCTAAGGATGGCAGCCACACACGTTCCATGCAAAACAAACCAAAGATGTTTCTGTCACAATACATTCAGATCATTGCTTGCGATGGTTTGCAGGGTACATTATTGTTAAAACTTACACCCTTAACAGGTTTGCACATAAGCAGAGGATGTGGCACATTTTTAGACTGGAAAGCATAATTTTATTTTGTCACTCAATCCACGTCTGAGTGGACATTAAAGTTGCCATGGCACTATTCAAAAAGAAAAGGGAGTTTCTCTCTCCCACTGTTTTGGCCAACCCTTGGCTAATAAAATTGGTCGCTCGCTCCATGGCTGTTTGTGGGACACTGCTGTGGGTTATTGGCTGCCAAGTTTCGCCCACAAAATACAGTCAATCCACTTTACAGTGTATCCTGTGAAGCGCTTTGAGCTGTCTCAACGACGTGATAAGGCGCTGTATTAAATACAAGGATTATTACTATTATTAAAATAACTTGCAAGTGATGGGGGGGAGGGGGGGAATATCCTAACTTTTTTCTCTATTCTCAACTAACAACAATGAGCTAAAAGGTACCTGAATAGAGCACCTGCTGTCAGGTGGCATGGGCAGTGACAAGCTCAGGAAGGTCTCGGTTTGGCTGGACTTGTGAAAGCAACTTAAACACACCTTCACGTTGCTCAGTTGTCCTTGGAAGAGCTTGGCAATAACTGATGTTTCTGCATTTCTCACTCCTGTAGACTGAGGAGACAGAGTCTTAAATATAAAAGGGAAGGTTGAGCATTGCACAGGACAGCTTTTAGGTACTTGAATTGTCAATGGCAACCTATGCGGTATTAGCTGGTTAGACTCCAGCAGTTCCTCCCAATGCACAAGCCTTGGCTCCCGCCAACTTGCATCTAAAACTTTCTGGAATTAAGTAAGCAGTATGTGTCCTTCCAAGGAGAGAGTGCATATTCCATTCCAACGATCTATCTTTGGGATTTCCACGTGTAGGTGGGATGCATGGAATTCTCCGTTTGGTTTGGATACGCTTAAGCACGGTGACGGGTTTCCGCATGTGTCACATTACCCGGCTGACCATAAAAAAAAACCTGCCATAAAAGTGTTTCTCTCAAACCACCATTCACAACCCTTCTGTGTTTGCCTTTTGTAAAAAACGCACAACGTGACCGATTTTCGTAAAAACTTTCTAACTTTGCAAAGAAAAAAAATGAATGGGCTATATTCTCATCCCAGGGTATGAACAAATTCTCTATTTTCCCTGCAATCTTTCATCAGCTTCATCTGAATTTCAAGTCATTTCTAATAGAAAATATCACCCTTTCCCCACCTCACGCCCCTTGTACATGGCTTTTTCTAACTTACTATAAAAGCTACCACCACTAGATGTCCTTATTTGCCAACATCACTGTTAATCCTCATTCATGTCAGGATTATTATAAACAGGTGGAACTATATCTTTTTTTGGTGGTTGCCAGGTTTCCCGAACGCCATCTGTTCCCTCAGGCTCATTTCCCCTCGTATCTCACCCCGGGACACTTAACACTACTTTAAATTGGTGCTTTACGATCGGTCAAGTCGGGCTAACTTAACTTAAACTTCCCCCACAGCACCGACAGGCAGAGGGAGCAGGGTGTGGCGTGGGATCAAAGAAAGAACAAAAGGGTAGGAGGAGGGAACAGATTCTCATATTAGTGAACTAACTGCCTATTATTCAGTTGGGTGTTAAAGGTCTCAGCGCCTTGGGATGTCCTCCCATCGTGAGAGGCGCTGTGCAAATATAATTTGTTATTGTTTTTATTGATCTGGGCAGCTGTTATCCTAATAAGGTTACAGTCTTACAGGCTGATCCAAGCCTGTACTTACCTTTTTCAAATCATTATGCAGAATATTTAGGAAGAACAATAGTAACTCGTGTGCATCCTGCTGAGTGCCGTCAGAGAAGGCAGCGTGCATTTTACCAAGGACTCTCTTTACTTCATCAGGATAAATGTACAGGCAATCCCCCAGCCACATATCCATCACCAGAGCAGCAAACGCATTGGGAAGTTCTCCTTTTCCTCTAGAGGAAGGAAGGGAAACTTTGTTCATCTATTCATTAACTAAAAAACAGCCACAAAGTGAATGACCAGTTTCATCTGGAGGCTTCTTTACCTGCAGACTTACCTGATTAAGTCATCCACGTATGACCCAGTGATGAAGTACTCGACCAATGGAGTTGTGTTGGAGAGACATTGTAGAATACAGTTCAGATAGCAGGTATTCCCAGAGTTCCCGAGGCCAGTGTGCCCGGAACCTCCTTCATGTCTTTGAATGGAACTATTAGAAGCACTGGAGTCCGCCAAAGAGGCATTACTATATTTGGGTACAAGATGGTAGTATCTCGCTCTATGAATGGGAAATGGTTAAAAAGTTAGCACTTGTAACTCTATTGGTCGTCTACAAATTGCTGCAGCTGCACAGTGAGAGGACATGAGTTCTCAATTAATAATAATACTTGCATTTGATATAGCGCCTTATCATGTCTTCGAGACGTCTCAAAGCGATTCGCAGAATATACTGTAAAGTGAATTAACTGTATGTTTTGTGGGCGAAACGCGGCAGCAAATTGCACACAGCAGCGTCCCACAAACAGTCACGGATTGAGTGACCAAATTATTATTTTTTTTTTGGAAGGGATGATCACCCCCAGAAAGTGATCTGCCAATCGAATAACAAACGGGTTCCTACTTACTCCTAGATAAACAGAGGCGTGTGGAGTAAGGAAATGTTTCGAGCCGCCCGGGAATCAAACCCAGGAACTCTTGCTTGCGAGCCGGGTGCGCTAACCGCTACCCTACAGGATTCCAGAGGGCTAAGCTGAGGGGGGGAGGTTACGACTGTAGGAGAGGCTGAACGTTGAGGTGATTGGGAAAGTGGAACCAGGACCCTACCTGCTACTGTTATCCTCCATGGAGCTTTGGCATCTTTGCAAAGCTCAGCTTATGAGAACCCGGTGACCTGATCCCTTGGGCCGGTCGTCCACAAATCCCATGACATAATTACATGTAGTGACATCACAAAGTGTTCGTAATAGACAGTGCAATCAAAGTAAAGTAGATACATCGCTGCCCATCATCAGGGCAAGTGTAAGCACTTTGTAAATGAAGGACTGGGGTGGTGGCGGGGGGGGGCGCGGGCGGGGGGCAATTGTTGGGGTTTTTAGAGTAACAGAGCAAGGACAATGTGACGAGGACGACGTCAAACTTAGGAGAGGGGAAGGTGGGCCGGGAGGGTCAAATCATCTCTCGTCTCGTGAAAGGAAAGACCGCCACCGTGGGTGTGTAGTGACCATGTGAGATGAGGAGGTAAGTGTGGGCAGCGGGCGTGTTTCTGATTGGCCAACTCCATGGTTATTGTGGGTGGTGAATCATCGCAGCATGTTCAGAGGCCCAGCCAATCACAAGTAACAGGGAGGCGATGGTAAGCGCATATGTTAATAATAATAATAATAATAATATTAATAATAATCCTTGCATTTGATGTAGCCTTATCATGGCTTCAAGACGTCTCAAAGTGTTTCACAGGATATACTGTAAAAGTGGATTGACTGTATATTTTGTGGGTGCTTACAGCACTGGCCCACAAACCGTCGTGGATTGAGTGACCGTACGCCGCTCTGGCACACCTCGTCCCACAGCAAAATCTGCAGACCGACCTCTGAGGAATTTATCATTATTAATGGACGACACGTAGACTGAACCTGGAGACATTTCGCCACCTTCCTAGAAGCCCATCAACCCCCTTTTCCCAAGCTTTCTCCTACACACCCACTTGTCTGGCACCAGTCCACTGTATTTGACTCACCTTTAACTGGGGCATGGTTCCAGCCAGCACCTTGACCAAGTGGCATTGTAGGAATGGAAGACATTGCACCTTTGAGGGAACGAGTTAAGTGTAAGAGACGGGCTGACTGCATTCCATTGAACGACCAACATTCCTGCCAGGACTCAGAACAGTCATCAGAACCCACAAAGAGGGATTCAGCTCCCACTCAGCAGAGCACCAGACAGGGCACAAAGCAACCACACAGTGGCTAGTATTCTGCAGTGGTGCGCTTACCCCGAACAATCAGGACTGTCGAGTGCGCAAATGCGTGTGAAAGAAGCTACAAGTCCACACTGTACGAGGACCAAAGCTCTTGTGGGCAGCAAAAATTTAACAAAAGATATTCAAGTGGAGATAAATGGCATTGATAACAACCAGGAACTATGCAATTTTAGCGGCAGCTAATACCCTTGTGTTGTTATGGAATAAAACAGGCACATGAAACATCACTTAGCAATCAGCCAAACTGAAGGGAATAATAATAATAATTTGGTCACTCAATCCACGACTGTTTATGGGACACTGTTAAGCGCAATTGAATGCTGAGTAACCCGCAATGCATTGTGTTACATCAACCCAAGGTACACTCATGTGAAATAAACATACTGGATGCTGCAAATCCACAACAGAGGAAGGAGATAGAAGAGTATGAAAGAGAGAGTAAGGAATGGGTGGACTAGTTGGCTGAAACAGTTTGTTTCGCCCTGTACAATCTTTGTAAATTTATGTAAAGCATAAATCATCTGAAAGAGAAAAATGAGGTCCCTATTGCTGGATGGCATCCTTCCCAACAACAACACGTCTCTCACTTTCCATTGCTGGTTGACCATGCTGCAGTTTTTATACTAGACTGAGTATGTAGGTTAGGGCCTTTTAGCTTTCCATCTTTATCAAAGCACCATTAATATTTCATTGCCATTGCAGAGGCTACTGAGTTCTAGTTGAACAGTGCAACAATATCTCCTTCCCTTACATATTTTTTTACACAATCCTCACGTAGGAGAGCGTCTCAGAGCGCTTGACAGTGGCTCTGTCCGATGCTGAGCCACGGGGTGGTGGTGGTGGGGCACGGACAGCCCAGCCCATAAGCATGGTCAAAGAGGAACGTCTTCAGGTGCAACCTAAATCTGGGGAAGATGGGGGTAAGGCGGAGGGATTAAGAGAGAGTTTGGGGGCATTGTGGCTGAAAGCACGGCTGCTGAGGTCGGAGAAGTAGCGAGATATAGCATTTGACAGACCAGATGTTACTCTGGGGTCAGGCACCAAAAAACAACCCGTTGAGACAACTCGTACCTTATTTGCAACGAGAGTTGAGAGCAGACATTCGAATTGCGACTGTAATCCCTGCTGATCAGATCCATATTTAGCCACATCAAGCCACACTTTACAATGCATTTTTTTCATTTATGTTTGAGCAACAGAGGTTTTAAAGGGGCGGGAATTGAAAAAAGAAATAAAAGATAAACGGAGGCTTGATTGTAAGTAAACTGTATATGTTGTAGCAAATTCCTTTCTTAAACGCCAGAGATAATTGGTAACGATTTCTAAATGTGGAAACACATTTCTGAGTTTGCTTCGTGTTTTCACCTTTGCATTTGGGAGAAAACAGTCATAAACAGAAGTGTTTTCCTTATTTAAAAACCATCAAGTTATGTCGGACTTGCTTTGTCTTCAGACGCTGTTTCTCCCGTTATAAAATAATACAGCGTTTCCTTTCGACCACCTTTTGTATCGGAAGACCTTTGCTCGCTGCTATCGCGACTTTAAGGATCTACGACAGAAAGGGAGAAAGAATAAAGCTCGTAAAAGTTTGTAAAAAATAGCGTAAAGGCGAAAACACGAAGAATAATGTTTCGATGTTCTGCCACGATTCATAAAACACCAAATGTTCGTTTTACAATGAAATGTTTCTCACAAGTAACGTGCGAGTCCAAACCTAAATGAGAGGGCGTGAATACACTCGCTTTGCAAGAGAGAGACCTGGTTCAATTCCAGGCAGAGGACGAAACCTCGGGCAAGTTTCCTTACTCCACACAGAGCCTAATAATAATCCCTCCAAAAACAATAATAAATTGGTCATTTTCAATCCACGACTGTTTGTGGGACATTGCTGTGCGCAATTGGCTGCCGCGTTCGCCCACAAATATACAGTCAATTCACTTTACAGTGTGTTCTGTGAAGCGCTTTGGGACGTCCTCCCGACGTGAAAAGCGCTATATCAAATGCAAGGATTATTATTATTATTATTATTATTATAGTAGGACTAGTGTTAGATTGCATTAATTTTAGGGGATTCCTAGATGGACCTACATGACGCCACTTTTGGCAATGAATAGTGAGTGAATCACCCCTTTTAAATATTCACATTTCTTTGCTCAAATGATAGTGTCCTGGCCTCGAGTCAGAAGGCTTTGGATACAAACCCCATGTCAGGGCTTCGAACTGCAATACAGTGCTGGGGGGCTGCATGTTGCATTGTTGGAGATGCCATCCTTTGGATGAGATGTTAAACCGAGGCCCCAACTGCCTGTTCAGGTGGACGTTAAAGATCTTATGGTGCTATTCAAAAGTTAAAGGGAATGTCTTCTGATGTCCTGGCCAGCAATCTGCTATATAAAATCAGTTACTCACTTCAGAGGTGTTTGTGCGATATTGGTTTGCTGTCACGATTGCCTACAAAATACACAGTTACCACACTTTACAGTATATCCTGTGCAGCGCTTTGAAACGTCCTTTTGAAGTGAAAGCCATTATATCAAATGCAACAATTATTATTATTATTATTATTACCATTATTATACAGATATACTTACAGATTCATTGTGAGGAATGTGCTTTGTTTCCAGTTTGGAGTAAATCAGCTTATCGTTTACCGTTACCTCATAGCTTCCTGAGAAAGAAAAAAAAGAATTCCATTCAAGCTTAAATACTGACAAATGACATTCCCTCATCAGAGAAGCCTCAGCTGAGTTTGGAGACATATTCGGAAACAATTTAGCTGGGAAAACAGACAGCAGGAAAGAATATCCGTTGCTGTGCCATTTTCGGGGGGGGTCAGCCCGGTGTCTGACACATGTGGAAACCTATCCCCATGTTTGAGAGTATCCAAACTAAACTGAGAATTCCGTGCATCCCCACCGACACGTGGAAATTTCAGAGATAAATTGTTGGAATGGAATGCGCACTCTCTCTCTCTTTCCCTGGAGGGCATTCTGCTCACCTAATTCCATAGAGTATTAGGTGCAGGTCGGCAAGAGCCAAGGCTTGGGGACCCCAGAGTGTGCACTGGGATAACTGCTGGAGCCTAACCAGCTAAAAGCACATAGTCTTGCCATTGATAGCACAATGCTTGCTGAGGCTACAGGGTCGAATTTTCAACCGAGCAGTTAATCCATAGAGTCTATTTACTTTCATCGTAGTTAGTATTAGTTACTGAAACAGTGACCAGAGAGCGTCACTCTGCAGAATTGGCACAAAGTCTTTCTAGGCAAGAGAAAGCGAAATCAGAAATTAAAAAAAAAAAGACCGAATAGAATCATAACCTAAACGTTTCTCCCACAAAATAACGGTATATGCTGTTAAGTGCTTTGAGATGTCTCGATGTAGATTATATGCAAAGATTAGTATTAATAACACGATTATCAGTACTTATTATGAATTCCTCACCTTCCCTACCCTTGCTAAAACCTATTTCTGCTTCAGGAATCTTCTGTAGGATTGTCAGGGCAAGGCTTTCAAAGTGTTTCTTGTATCCTCATCCACCACTAGAGAAAAGACGCATAGGTTTAACTGTCGCAGTTCACTTTGTACAGCTAACCCCCTCTGGGGCAAAATACTTCCAGATGCTACATTTTCAACAATTTTGTTACATCAATGAATCCTTTGAAGTGCATGTTTTCATGGATTTTATTAATTTAATACTCTGGACCAGGAATTCTAAAAGCGCAGCTAAAAGCTCAAAAAACCAAGGGCTTGAGGTAGATCTTGAAGAGGGTGAGGGCCGGGGCAGGTCGAAGGGACTCTGGAGTTTGGGATATCGAGAGGGTGAGGGCAGATACACCGAAAGCCCGAGATAACGACAGCTAATATATCAATATTATATATTATAGCATTCACCCACAAAATACACAGTCAATCCACTTTAATAGTATATTCTGCGAAGCGCTTTGAGACGTCTCAATAACCCAATAAGGCGCTTACATCAAACGCAAAGATTATGATTACGTTTTAGTTGTTGGTCGAGTTAGTGGGACTGTGTAAAAAAAAACAGACATCAGGGTAAAGAGGACAAACATCACTGTAAAACAAGGAACAGTGGTTTTAAAACCACTTCCTCGCACAGGAAGAATGGGCAATTTTTGTTTTTGTGATGAACGATTAATTGACACATAACTCAATAAACACACACACACACACACACAAAAAAAAGGAGCGTAACGGAATCTTAAGTAAATCGTGGCCAGAGCTCACCAGAACTCCACCTCCACTTTCACAGGCATGTCGCCTGCTGTGTCGTCCACAGAAGTCGGATCCTCCTGAGCTGTACGATTCCGATTCGACCTGAAGAGCAGAGAGAGGGGATGGGAGACAGTCACACACTCACACACTCACACTCACACTCACACATTCACACTCACACACACAAGCACTCGGTGTGATGATGATCACCGTCGAGTCGCAGCGTTATCCCGAAAGGAAATGCAATAGGAAATAAAGCACTGCACTCAATCCATCAATATACCAGACAGACACACACAGACAGACAGACACACACACACACACACACACACACAGACACACACACACACACACACACACACACGACACACACAGACAGACACACACACACACACACACACACAGACAGACACACACACAGGCACACACACACAGGCAGACAGACACACACACAGACAGACACACACACACACACACAGACACACACACACACACAGACACACACACACACACAGACAGACACACACACACACAACAGACACACAGACAGACACACACAGACAGACACACAGACACACACACACAGACAGACACACACACACAGACACACACACACAGACAGACACACACACACAGAAAGAAAATATCATCAGTATTATTCCGAAGCTATATATCTCACCAGAATTTACACATTTTCTTTTCTTTTTCTTCGCCCCCCCCCCCCACACCCCCCCACACCCCACACCCCCCCCACCCCACACCCCCACACCCCCCCACACACACACAAGTTATTTGGGAGCAGATGGTAGGATTCACGTGTTCTGCTCTGATCTCTGGTGTGTGAAGTTGTTTGATATCTTCTATCGCTGCACAGGAGAGGAGGTACAGAGAGCGAAGTGTTGCAGGTGATCGCTGAACGTCAGCGCTATAGGAGGGGTTGGGGGGGGGGGGGGTTTGGGGGGGGTTTGTTTGAGATTTCGTTTCAGCTTTAAAAGGCTATGAGGTTTAAGGTGTGAATCCCAGCACCACAGCAAAAAAAAAACCATCAGCAGGACTGGAAAATAATTTATTTTGCTCGGTATAGGCTTCACTGATGGCATTATTGAGTTGCAGTGCAGGTGTATGTGACGCATCGACGACAAGGCACAAAAGTAGCTAAAAAAATACATGTCAACTATTTATAGACATATACACACACACACACACACACATATATATATACTTTTAAAGTTGATGGTGTGAGCAAAATCTGCTCCATTTAGGTTTCCTCTCGGGGTTGGGTCCAGTCCCTGTTCTGAGTTCACTCTGTCCTTATATAACGTTCATCTCAGTACCAGTCTCCTGGTTTATATGAACACTATCTCTCTCTCTCTCTCTCTCTCTCCCCCCCACCTCCTATTTATTAATATCATTACTCTAACGTCACACAAGTGCTTTCCTCCCTTTATCAGGTTTACTTCTTTTCCAACACGCCTTTGGTCACCTTTCCATCCCCACCTTCCCACCCTCCCCCCCCACCTTCCCTCCCCCCCCCCACCCTCTTTGACCCAGATTCACTTCCTTGACTGTCCTCTCCACGCGAAACGTGTGGCGTAAGCGCATTTGTTATTGCGGTTTGAGTACCGTCTCCCGCCTCAGTGACTCAGGGTTTGTGGGTGAACCTCAGAGGAGCAGCAGCCCCCAGCGTCTAACAACGGTCAGCCGAGCGATCACAACCATCCAAACTAGAGCACGTGAACCCCTTCCCCGTCACAATTTAAATCAGCTCCCGGCTACAGCGAACACAGGAGTTGTCCCTCGAGACGTGGCATGAGCCTCCAAGCACATGGGTGGGAGACAAACTGCTGGTGTGGATCTGTAAGCCACAGGTCAGAATTCTTAGCCCCACGGTTAGCTTCAGTTTTTGATTTTCTTTTATATAAAAAAAAGAATGTCTGGTCTCTCGAAAGCACGACACCAACAGTGGAACGGAGGGCACGAGGGACGTGCAGGAAACTGGAGCCGGTTGTGCGGAGGGAACGGGTAGTAGGTTGGGCCGTAAGCAGGTCAGAGAGGTAGGGAGGGGTGCCAGGGTATGAATGGATTTGAAGACGAGTGTGAAGGTGTGTGAAGTGAAATCAATCTGTTCGTGACGGGAAGCCTGGCTAGAATTAGTGCGATTGAGGTACGGAGTTTAGAAGGGTAGGTGTGCAGCGGAGCTTTGGATCAGTTGGAATTTATAAGGTTACATACACATCCACGTAGATTTTAAAAGCAAGCCTGTAAGATGCTGACAAGGGAGATTCCTCTCTAAACCAGTGGAAAGCAAAAAGCAATTGCTTATTTCAAAATTCTTTTATTAGATTAAATGATGTACAAAATTTATGCAGCATGATATCACTAAGTCTTCACTTTTATCATCCAGTCTACATAAAACCACCATAGTATTACAGGTCGTGCTCGTGCCTTAGGAACAGTATCTATAAGATACATTAGATTAAAAATTATACAGCTTCATATATAAACATCCTCCTTTTTAAAAATGACAATAGTACCTCCTTTGTAACATAAAAAAATGCCTTAATATTCACCAAGTCACAACATAGTAGGTAGACATGAGGCATGTTGTGTTGAAGATTCAACAGATGTGGGTCTCTGGTATTATTTATTTGCATAAAGATACATTGCATTCTGCCCATTACCATATTTACAAGGATTTCAATACTTCCTTTTGAATTGAATCTGTATGTACCACCAATAGTAGGATTATACCAAAGTGTCTACACAATTGAAATTCATTGTTTTTTAAAAAAAAAAAATCAGGTCAGCGGGTACGTCCTTCAGGCTGTGCAGGCTACTGGACAATGTCAGTCCAGAATTTTATTCTCAAATTTTAATCAATAGATTTCCTATTTAACCTGTCAGAAATCTGTCAGGCAACACACTATCTCATTGCGTTTTATGGCGTGCTCTCCGCAAGGTAACTTTCAGCGTGAATAATCATTATGCACCTCATTACAGCTGTGTTTTGTACCAGTCTATCATGGCTTATCTTTAAGAGTAAATCAATTTAAAAAAAAAAACAGGTTTAAAATGTAATGTTTGCGAGGACTTTAAAATCAGACATTTCAACATTATTTAAAAAATCTTGAATTTTTTCTGGAATTTGTTTCCTTTCCCATGTGAAGTGCACCTGCGGACTGGACTGTACCTTTATCTTCCACAAGAGAATGGCTAAAAGTCACTAATAATTCCAGTATTCACTGAATCTGGGGTCCCTGTGATTCGGACAACAGGCCAGGACAGTGATGTAAAATAGCATAGGCCTCTACATCTCGGTTGTACCATTAATGTTGTGCGCAAAACTAGATAATGTCAGGCCTTCTTTACTCCTTCATTCCAATGCACTGTCCAGGGATGGTTCCGGAAGGGACCGACACAGAACTCCTTGGGCCGTTCTTCTGCTTCGACGACAGATGTGACGTTCAGTATTAGGGCCCGTCCTCCCTGTACCAGAGAGCTCCCCGCATTCACATTCTCAAGTCTCTTATATTATCAAGCGTATCGAGGTCCTGACGTCTTTGGTACCGCTGCCAGACTGGACAGTGACCTCGGGGGCATCGTCCTGAGGGAGCATCACTTTGTCTGGTGTGTAATCGTTTCGTTTTATATCTAGGATGACGAGAAACAGCATCAAAACACTGTGTGTCAGGAATGACGCTCGAAAGTGTGCCAATATGATAAATTCAGGTAAGAGTCAAACAGCAGATATCGGTATCAAAAGGAAATTGCACTAATCTAGTTTAGATAAGAATTATTTCCTTATTGAGCAAGTATTTCCTGCGGAGGACTGAATTCGGGGGTAGTCTGAAATGTATAAAACATTCTCTTCGGTAGGGTAGTCCTAGCTGACAAACAGCAGGAAGATTACAAACAGCTCATACTAGGCACACATAATTTTATTTGGCCAAATTCCTGCAGTTTTACCCCAATAAAACACTCATGTTCCATGTGCTTTGGCTTTTGTGAAACTGCATCCTTGTTCCCTGGGACATAGTCAGGTTGGGTGGTGCCCATCAAAAGATATTTATGTGAAGACTAAAACAGCATCATAGCAAGCCAGGCCCTAGAATGGGACAGACAGCTAAACTAAATTGTAAAACATGTTGTTAACTTCCAAAAGCTCAGTGTATAATGCAATTCATCATTACATATACATTCCTTGTGACAGGGTGAAAACTGCAAGGACCACAAAGATTTGAGGCAGTGTAAAACTGGTTTAGGAGGCGTGCAGGAGTGGGAGTGTTAAATGAGATGAAATAGAACATCAGGTGCCTTTACATAATTAAAGAAATGCAAAAAGTGATGTAAATGAACTTACTGGAGTTTCTTGCAGTTTCCACCTTGACATTATAGGCTTGGAATCAAACGCAAGGTTTATTAAAAAAAAATCTAAATTATACAGATATTTGACTTCAACTACTCTTGATCATCAGCTAGAGTAACTGGTTTAAAAAGCGTCAGCGACACATTGGGGAGTAGTTAAGGGTGGGGGGAGGAGGGGCGTGGGGAAGAATGTACTAATTTCATTGATCAAAATATTCCTAGGTACAATACTCAGCCTGGATGCAGCTCTACAATTGACATTTGCAGTCCAGGTCTATAGAAGTGTAGTGATTAATGCTGACGGTAACTTAGCATTAAGAACGTGAAGACTGGATACACAATGCTGGAGGATAACATGTGCTTGTGGAACTGTACTCTAGCAGCTCCAGGAGACTTGAGGGAAAACAGCACAGCTTACCGGGAAGCTTTAGTCTTGCACAGCATGAATTGCAACGATGTTTAGCTCGGAAATTTTTAACAGCATCTTCTCCCAAATTAGCGGGCCCAAATACCATTTCATACGACCTGGAAAAGGAACACAGTCATCAGGGGGCTGGGGGGGGGGGGCAGCAAAAGTTATAATAGCTATAACAATGTGACATGACAGTTATTAATAATGGAAACTAGAGACTTAGTCCCAAGAATATGGCTCATATCCACCAGCGCAGTGCAGCACTGGACAGTAACAAGGAGCATTTACTGTAATTCAGTCTGGCTTCTCCTGCGAGTCAGATTAGCCCATTCCTGCACTACTTAGGAACACTCCACCAGGCAGCATTCACAGAGAATTCTGAGGTTCTTGTGTCAACAATGCAAATACAATGGTGCCAAAATGCTTATAGTAAATGGATATGTCACACAATGAACCTCAAGTCTTTTTTTTCCCCTCTCATTGAAACTACAGAGAAAACATAGATGAGATCAAACCCGAATGATGGGCAATGGTGTAATGTGAAAGGAGTTGGACAGATTGAAGACCTGTGATATATGGTTCTAGCAATGGTGCTCACAGACACCTGATTAGCTGCTTACTGGCAGTGCAGTTATATGTGGATTTCATCTGTTGATGGGGCACCTTTCCAAAGGGCTATGAATAGATTTATTTCCCTAATCATCAGATGTCCATTCCAGGGAGTTACATTTCACCACATTAACTTCTGATAGGACTAGCCACTGAATGTAAATCATTCGTGTCAATTCACATTATTCACTTCATTGTGAAGGTTCAGTCAAACCTACTGTAGCCAATTATCTTTGGCCAAGAAGAATAGGGGATGGGGGGAGAGCGGGAAAGAAAAACTACTAAATGTAAACTTAATCTTTACCTTTTCTCCTCTGCCTTTATTACGGAGGGATCAGTCAAATTCTCCCCAACACCTATGGGAAAGCAATGACCATAACATGAACATCACCTCTTCATAATGAGTTACCAACCACCGAGTACGGTCTAATCTTTACAAGCAGATTCCTACAACTCCGTTAGCATTTTCCTCAGAAAAGGCAGAATTTCAGTGCTTGTATAGTGTGACAGTGCTTTTGTTGCTGGTGATGCCATCATATGCGGCGTCAGGCTCCTGTTAAGCGCTCCGAGACTCTACCTCACGTGAAGGGCATCTATATAAATGGAAGTTGTTGCTGTTGTAGCCAATGCTAAATGCGGAGACTTGCAAACAAACATCCTTGTGCTTGAAATCCTCAACACGTTTATAGAGTAGCTCGTGATCAGAAAAAAAACTGGTCAGATTAAATTCTGTACAGTTTAAAACAAAAGAATTGGCTCAGAAAGCACTCAGACCTCGCTATGAATTGGCACAAAACCATGTCCCTTTAGCACACAAGCCGTCTGCACTTACCCTGCAAATCCAGGACCAGCAGTTCCCCTCGGGTGTACTCATACGTCCAGTGACTAAAGGCAAGCATGGTCTCCTCCAGCATGTTCTTTGGACGGATCTCATCTCCACTGTTATGGTTGAATTTCCGGAACTCCCCAGTCATACACTCCTCGATGGCAAACCACTGGTTCGCTGAATGACAGTAAAGAAGAAACACCTCCAGGAACCTTAGGTTGAAAGAGAATATTTACTCTACGTGGTTCTGTAGCAAGGAGAGTTAAAAATACTGTACTCGGGAAAAGTTCTTATATAAACTTTACAAACAAAAGCACTATCACACCATACAAGGGAAATATCCTCTAAATATCCTCTAGATATTCACAATACTCAACTCTCAGACTAATTTTGACCTCAAGAGGAAAGGGGAAGAGTGCAATCACAAGATATTCAGGCAGCTCGAATGCATCCGACAGTGGCTGGTTACAAAACTGCAAGGCACACACAACCTAGAGCTGATTACCCCTTAAGGCAAGAAGTTAGAGATCAGTTGGATATGCCCCAGGAAGGTGATGGTGAGGGGAAGGGACAAAGAGGATAGTGGAACTGGTGCCCTGAGACTGGGAGGGGAGGGCACTGGAAGTCTTTCCTTTGAATTTTTATTTTCTGTGTCTCCACTCAGCACCTCTCCTGTGACAGGACATAGAGAGTGTCAGGCACCACGTAGATGAATGAAAATACAAAGCAGCGACTCCCCACTGCAGCATAATATGCTGTCACTCTAAATGCAACCACCAAATTTGCCTATCCTCCAAAATGTGTTTAAACAAAGAATAACACACTGAAAGCAACAGAAGTGAAGAAGGGGGCAAAAAAGCTTAGTAAAGAGAATTTGAATTCTGTAATTTTGATCAGGTTTATACCTTGGCAGACCTGACCCAACTTAACAATTAATATATTCTTTTTGCAACAAACGTACTCAATGCTTACCTCGGAGAATACGGAATGGTCTTTGGTTTCATTTGGTTGAAGGCAAAGGAAAGCTTCTGTGCAGCCCTCTGTTGCTGAATCTCCTGCACACATTTTCATTCAATTAGTGGCGTCATAAACTGCACAATTCCCAACATGTTCACTTGTTATCCTCATTTTCCCTCAGCCATAAAACAGTATTAGCCTTAGCAATAGCACCCATCCACAGATTAAAGCAGTTTTTTTTAAACTATTAACAGAAAGTTATTAAGACGGCAAACTGAAACAGCTTTTTTGAGTAACAAAGGGAAAAGTGTGGAAAGCACTTACCCTCAAACATAGATGTAACACAGTATCTTCCTTATAGATTCTTGTCCATGTGTTTACCACTTCAGGAAGGAAGGATTTGACGATGTAGAGCTGGCCTGGTTTGAGAATCTCACACTCAGACCACGTGCACTCCACCTTTAAAGCTCTCCGCAAGCCCCCTCCCATTTCTTCTTTGCTCAGGAACTCAATCTTGGCTGCCCGCCCGAGCTGGGACCAGGAAGACATGCTGTTGTTCAGACTGACTGGCGAGCTCTCCTCCAGTCTGTAGATTGTGACAGGTTCACCTTTAACACAAACAGAACAGAAGCCAAGACATGTCAAAAACGGTTTTGTTTGCAACAGCAAACGTACTGAGTAAAGAAAAATGTGGCACGCTAGAAATCAACTAAAGCCATAAAAATGTTGGCAATGTACAGCTTGCCAATAACCATTAAGAAACAGAACAGAAACACTGTCCTTTATCTTTCTCATTCAGATAGGGATAGGCCCGCTGAGCATTTCCTGTTTCCACCGCAGGAAATTACTCACCCTCTCTGTGCTACTTTTCTCTAAATCTTGTAGCAGCAGATTTACTTGATGTCAATTCACTGGAATATTTTTCTATAATCCTATCAAGTGGAGGCACTGAATTCAGGCACAGCTACATTCTAACAGAGTTGATTACCCTTCCAGGAGATGGCGTGCTATACCTAGGTTTCCCACTCAAATTTCTGAGTAGTTTAATATGCAGATTTTAAAAAAATCTTTGCTGCTCTCTGTAGATAGTGCTTATATCCAGCTGAGATGTGGTTTGGCAGAAGGAACACAGTATCGTTGAGTCTCCAATTACCTTCAGTTACACTTCAAAAAAAAATGTTGAACTTCACAGAAAAATATATTTCCTTTCCGCAGGGGTAGTCTTGATCCCATATTTTTTGGCACAAGAACAAAAACATAAAACGAGCCCCATAAAAAGTTTTCAGAAATCACAACATCTGTGATTTATAGCTTTGTTCAACCTTCTTTATAAAAAAAGGTACCACAACTATTTGGATGAGGCAATCCAAAACTTTGCTCGTTCCAGATTTTCATATCAACCCCTATGTACTGCGCTGGATACCTTTGATTGGGCTGGTTCTTAGAACTGAAGGCTTCATCAAAAGCAAGTTGGGCGATTCACCTATTGATAGCAAGTTCATTCGTTGATTTGTGTTGACTACAAGGGGCTTTATGAATTAAAAATGATTTATTCAAATCCAACCAAAGACTACATGAAGACATTTACAGCAGTATAAACATAGGTTGCTAACCAGCCCAACAACTGTACAACTGTGCCAATAAAAGTACAACCTCTCCCCTTCTCCTGAACCCCACAAAACAAGAGCCAAGCAGAAGGAAAAATGTGTTTGGTTTACATCTGGAGGGCCTGATAATACATTACCATTTTGATACTGATAAAATATAATCAACATATTTTGATAACATATCATATATATTATACATAAAAAGTAATGTAAATCAATTCATAGGATGTTACGGCACAGAAGGAGGCCATTCGGCCCATCGAGTCTGTGCGGCTCTTTGACAGAGAAGTTACTTTCACTAACCACAATCACCAGCTTTCTCCCCATAACCCTGCAAACCTGTCTTCCCCAATTAAAAATACTTCTCAGTGGCAGCACTTACTCTGCCTTGCTGTACCACGTACTGGTAGAATTGGGGTTCCAGCCTAAAATTCCCTCACAATCTTATCCATGCCTTGAAGACAGATGCCAAGCAGAGGACAGTGCCTGATTGGTAAGTGAATCACCCAGACTAGTCTTGTGTACTTTGCTGTCACTGGTTTTTAAACAACAGATAAAGATCTGAAAGCAAGTTGATAATCTAACAGGAAACGTGGTGTACAAAAAAATAAATGGACATTAAATGGAGGAGAGTGGTGGGGGTAGAAGAGAGAGGGAGAAAAGATTTCTGAAGTCTTGCCTTGCCAACCGATGAATCTGTAAGCAAGGAAATTATGAGTAGCAATTGGCCCGTGATGAAAAATACGAGAGGGAAAATGGTATTGCAGAATTTGCTGGTCAGGTCTCTGAAATGTTGACATTTCAACATATTTTGATACTGATGGGTTGTTGTACCAGTCACAAGGGACATGGTGAAAGGATGTAGGCGGCTATATTTAGCGGTACAGGCTGTATAGGGATGAGAAGAAACTGGAATCCAACCCTGCACACAATGCATTCTGATCCACACAGATCAGCGTTTTGTTGAATACGAACAAAAATCAATCTTGCTTACCTCTGTTTGGGACAGGAGTAAATGGAATGGTTTGAGAAAGCCTCATCAAATTATTCCTCTCGACAGCTGTGAAAAAGAAAAATATATCTCACTGTTAGCCAATCCATTGGCTCCTGGTGTATTAGTTACTATGAAAAGCATTTGGGTAGCATATCAACCAGCAATACTGACCTGAGTAATAGTAATTTACATCCAGTGTAGGCTTGAAGGGAGAGCCAATATCTATAAAGTGGATAGCAAACATAATAAGAACATTTGGAAGTGTATCTAAACGACAGAACTTAAGAGCATTTATTGGAAAAACAAAATGTGGTTAATAAATCATCTGGCTCTGCAGAATCAGGACTTAATCCATTAAAAACAGAATTTTATCAGGATTCGTAGAAAGGCTGCAAAGTTTTCATGAGAGAAATAAAATACCAGTTACAGTCACAGCGGGACTTTGAGGATCACAGCAGCGCTGTGAAGGTTGGTCATTATCAGATGGAATTTTGGCCCATCGAAACATGCAACACACACTTTAACTCTCAGCACTTGATATAGAGGGTGACCAAAAAGTTGTGATACCATTACAATGTCTAATAAATTTTTAAAAAATTATGATTTTTGTTTAGATAATAGGGTAAACATAATAATAATAATCCTTGCATTTGATATAGCGCTTTTTACGTCGGGAGGACGTCCCAAAGCGCTTCACAGAACACACTGTAAAGTGAATTGACTGTATATTTGTATATTTGTGGGCAAACGCGCACAGCAATGTTCCACAAACAGTCGTAGGTTGAAAATGACCAATTTATTATTGTTTTGCTTTGGAGGGATTATTATTAGGCTCTGTGTGGAGTAAGGAAACTTGCCCAAGGTTTCGCCCTCTGCCTGGAATTGAACTCAGGTCTCTCGCTTGCAAAGCGAGTGCTCTAACCACTGAGCTACGGGACTCCACAACCTCACATCTTTTTGGTCACCCTGTATACATATAAAAACAAGGTGTTCAAAAAATAATACATTAGTTGAGGTTTCTCACCTCCCATTTTCCTCTGCCTTGCTTGGGATTGCTGCACACTGTAGAAATGTGGTGCTGAAACAAACAGTAAGAGCTTTTAAAATGGGCGCTTACCAAACAGCTGAGCAGCAGTACAACACAACAGAGATTTAGAAGACAAAAGATTTTATAAAATCCATTGAAACTCATCACTTACCCAATCAATCAATTCAACCCCAAGACCCACTTTACCCCCACACCCATTCCATCCCCACTCTTTCATACAGCTGTCTGCTTCCCTCTTGAAAGCCACAATAGACTATTCTATCACCTGATGTGGATATAATGCAATGCAGGTATTGTATACAAAAAAGTGGAAATATATTCTACTCCCAGTAGTGACAAACTTAACCAATATTAGCAGAGTGAATTAAATGCATGAGCTACTTCAACACTTTGTATGGATAATAGCACTTGATGATACTTTTAAACAAACAGATACTTTATAAACCAGTTTTCCCAGTAATACCAGTCAGACATCACAATTTACCCTAACACCTTGGTTTCAAAATAGAGAATTTTACAATGTTAACAAAAGTCAGCAATAAAACGTAAAAGCTGAAATGTTCTATCATAGTAATCCTTGCATTTGATAAAGCGCTTGTTCACATCTTCTAAACATCTCAAAGTGCTTCACAGAATATACTGTAAAGTGAATTGACTGTATATTTGTGGGCAAAACGCGACAGCCAAGTACGCACAGGAATGTCCCACAAACAGTCATGGATTGAAGTGACCAATTTTTTTTGAAGGATTATAATCAGGCGTGTGGAGTAAGGAAACTTGCCCAAGGTTTCGCCCTGCCGGGATTTGAACCCAGGTCTCTCACTTGCGAGGCGAGTGCTCTAACCACTGAGCTGCAGGACTTTTCATTCTACTTTTTGACATTTGGAATCAGATAATACTTTAATGTACAGGAGAAGGTGAGCAATTAGCAAAGTAATTTAATCCCTTTCCAAATGTTTCTATGTAACAAAGCAGGAGGAATCTGGTGTTAACTGGTCCAGGACTGGTAGCGAACCAAAGACCAGGGCAGTCAGTCATGTAGCAGAATTAAAACGACCAAATACAGTGAAGGGAAGAATCTAATTGTGCTTTCAGTGTAAGGAAACAAATTGTAAGGCGCTTAGCTATTAAAAGCTGATTGGAATTAGGTTTTGTAGATTTGGCCGGTTTTGTTTATCAGCACAATGCACTGTTTCTCTGTTATTAACCAACTTGGGCTCTATCCAGGTACAGGATTACAAAAGCCTTTAGAAATACACTCAAACCCCTCCCCGCATTCCCCCCAACATGTCATATAACAGCAAAATATTTGAGCTATTATAACAAGTGTGCCCAATAAGGGACATCGCAGAGCACCAGGTGAATCTAACGACTTTAAAAAGTACCTATGCTCAGCAGTATTATATTACATCAGACTTACAATGAGGGGTAGTGCAACAAAGCATTGTGAAACTGCTTCAATTATAAACCCACCACACCCAGACAATTATGACACTTGACTATAAAAGCAAGATAACTCACATTCACTTTGTAAATCTACAATTCCGATTTAGGATCTTAACAAGAATTTAAGACTTACCATTTAAAGCATCTTCACCGGTAGTCCTGCAATGCAGAAATAAAATAACTTATACATTACCCAAGCAACTTCAAAATCAATTTGTCTGAATCATTTATATGGTAAATTAATGCTCTCAAATATCCAATATAGGAGTCCTGTAGCTCAGTGGTTAGAGCACTCGCTTTGCAAGCGATATTCCAGGCGTGGAACTCCACACAGAGGCTTGGTCACATCCACGACTGTTTGTGGGACATGCTGTGACAATTGACTGCCGCGTTTCGCCCACAACTATACAATCAATTCAACAGCGAGGATTATTATTATTATTTTAAGAGCTAGCACCAGCATAGACTCTACTGGCCAAGTGATTTCCCTCATTGCTGCAGTTTCTATGATCTGAATTTGTTACCCACTTCAAAAGTTTTTGCTACTGTAATAAATCTACTTTTGAAAATCAAATATTAATTCCATTTAATATCTGCCATTTTACAAAACTCATGACACATCTCTTCTGAACAGATTATAATGTGCAACCTATTCCTGTCAGCGAACACCCTCCTCGTGGGAATATTTCTTCAGAAAGCAGATTAATTTCCCAACACAATGACAGCACAGGCAGCTAGCTCACAGTTCAGACTGTAAGTAGGTGCTTGACGGGAACAATGAGTTGGCAGAGGTGCAACTAATCCTTTGCTGGACTAGAATAAACGCATCAGTGTTTGCACACAGTTAACTGAATACACCACCCCTTGGTGATGAACTGAATGGCCGTCTCCTGTTCTAGTTTCCCTGTGATGGTACAGTATAATTTGGCAAAATAATAAGTGGTCAATGATGGAGTAGGTTTCTTAGTAGAGTAAATGGGAGTTTTTTTTATTGGCACGAGGGACAAACCTCTGATTTGGGTGTCATGCACATGTATAGTTTCTATCTTAAAACATCAAAGTTGCAGTGTGTTAGGTAACAGCCCTAGAGCAGATTGGCACAACTCTTCTGAACCGTATTTGTTACTTACATTTGACAATTGGATGCAATAGACTTTTCATCTGGACGGTCCTAAACAAGAGAGAAAAGGGTTAGGTTCTTGCTGATCTTAACTCACTGGTGGACCCGTGTGAGGTTTTGAGTTGTTTTTAGTTCATATGGCCTTCACAAGGAAGTTCAAAGACCAGGCTTATTATTAGTTGAACTCACTGAAAGAACAAGAAAGACCGAATGCAGGAAAGCAATCCAACATTATTTACTCATTCAACTTCCACATACAAATAACTGACATCAAAGTATCACAACAGAATTACGCTAATTGACTAATTTTTAGGCCACCGTGTAGGATGAAAGTGCTTATCACATTGATCGGTCAGATCAAAACACAGCGTGAAAGTATGCAGTTTTTTCTAAAGTCGTTGCCTTGGAGAAAGATTTAACAGAATGGATCTGCACTTTCGCTCAAGGTGACCACAAGTAGAATGTACCTTATGCAATGGTTCAGAACAGGCTAAAGAGTAAACACAAAGAAATGCATTCTGCTGTCGGTTGCTTGGTAATGGGTTTAACTACGATTTTGTTTCCAAGCGAAACAAACTTCTCAGACTGGTGCAGGGCCCTGGCTAAAAGCCAAGCCTTTGCAGTCAGCTCTCTTCCCAGAAAGGAAGCCTGTGGTGACTGATGAATATATCAGTGCTGTGATTTCCTGAGATGAATGCGGATCAAAGGCAAAACATTTCAGATGTGTTCTTTGGATGGTCATATCCAAAAGCCAGATATACAAGTTGATCAATTAATAAACCATAAAGCTAATTTATTTGCAAGCAGATATGAGGGCAAATGTGCTAGCTTTCAACGACAGGAACAATCACTCATGGGGCAGACAAAATAGTGATTGAGACTGCAATTGATCAGTGCAAATGTGAAGTTTCATAACTGAACTTTCCACTTTTCCAACTTAATGTCTTGTTCAGAAAAGGTTGCAATGGCCCCACATGCACTCTTGAGCTACGCAAGATACCATGGGAAAGCAATGTTTACATCTAGAGAAAACAGCTGCAACATCACACTAAAAAGAGTTGAAATGGTTATTTTGGCAACAGATAAACCTTTTCCATTTTGTACAGCAAGCCCTTACAGTCACACAGCTTCCAATACTTGGCACACAACTGGGGCTTTCATGGATGCTAGTTATCCACTACTAAAGAAAGAAACCCCTGGGTAACTATTCTGATCCAGGTGCTGGATTTAAGTACAAAGTACTGCTGAGGGCTAAACAAATGGAACTGATTTAAAATGAACAGCAGTGGGTTTCAAACAAAACTTTAGAAGGTGCAAAACCAGAAACCAAATCCTGGTGACAAATCAAACAGTCAGAAAAGTGTTTCAAAACATTTACAAAATCACCACGAAAAGGAACCTGCAATGAATTAGGGACTAAAAAAACTGCAGGAAATCTGAAACAAAAATAGCAACATCGGAATCTGAACGAATTATAAAAAGACTGTTAAAGATAATTAGAACTTTGAAGAAGCCATATCAATAACACTGAAGCAATCTCCTTGTGTGGGAGCAACATATCAACATTGCTGAGAATGGAGACAAAGAGCTAAAGTGCAGTTCCAGGTCAAGGTCTGACACTCAGCACAGATCCAACAAGGTACCACACAACCCAGAGTGAGCATTTGAATATTATTTCATACAAAAAAAGTCAAGCACATTCGTGGATGCGAGCCAAGAACAGGTATGGAAGCAGACTGACCATCAGCAGGGAAGCCATCAAATCCTCCTGGTGAAATCGGATGTCTTCAGCTGAGGCCCTCATCCAGTTTTTACTGCTCTTACCTTGCACTGAAATAGAGAAGATGGATTCAAAGTCCATGCTGTGAAAGTGACCTGATATTCTTATTGCAATCAGCCAACTGTATTATCACTAACATTTCCTCTTTTTTATATTAAATTTAAAAATAGCAGATAAAAAAGGAAGGAATCCTAATGCAGAGATGAGCTGGCACATTTCCAGGCACTTGCTAATATACTTCCTAATGTCAAAGCACTTCAGTGACCTTTCCTTCAGCAAAACAAATAGAATGGTCTCTGGATACTGTACAAAGTAAACAGTGAACATCCTGTACAATACAGATAGGTGTAGCTAATCCACTTTACCCACAGCACACTCCACGTACATCAAGAATGAAGGTCATTTAATTCAAAATCATTTCCATCAAAAATAAGAGAAAATCACTGTGTTTCTGCACTGTGTGTGTATGTATATATATATAAAAACAACCACTTACAAGAAGCTGCTTGAACAGATGCACCAGGCTTTAAATGATCACGGTAAAGCTCAGCAAATCCACCGTAGGAATTCACTGTTCTCAACTGATATTCAGGGCGAAGAGAATCCTAGGTAAAGTTAAGAGGGAGATTTTAATGTGCAGTTTTTTAAAATCAATTAAATAATACCAAAATAGTGAACATTCTCAAACTGTACCAAGTTCTGAATGGTTCCCACTGCCGATTTTTCTTTTAATGTGATTGCTTCCCTGGTCCCAGATTTTGGTAGCTCCAAGTTGTCTTTGTGACCTAAAGAAGACGCAATTTAAGTTAATAATCTCGTCTCTGGCACAGCAACAAATATGAACAGTACAAAGCAAATGTGAATGTTAAGGAGTGCATTTGTTTTTTGTAAAGTTTCTGATCCATTTTAGCAACGTGAAAGGCACTATACAATAATAATAATCCTTGCATTTGATATAGCGCTTTTCACGTCGAGAGGACGTCCCAAAGAGCTTCACAGAACACACCGTAAAGTGAATTTACTGTATATTTGTGGGCGAACGCGGCGGCCAATTGCGCACAGCAATGTCCCACAAACAAGTCGTAGATTGAAAATGACCAATTTATTATTGTTTTGGGTTTTGGAGGGATTATTATTAGGCTTTGTGTGGAGTAAGGAAACTGGCCCAAGGTTTCGCCCTCTGCCTGGAATTGAACTCAGGTCTCTCACTTGCAAAGCGAGTGCTCTAACCACTGAGCTACAGGACTCCAGAATGCAGTTTGTTGATACACCAGCATGTTGCAACAGTGCAATTCGAGATGTGTTCAAATTTAGTTCACATTAGGTTAATGACATTTCAAGTCTATTTTAGATAACTGGATTTTAACTCTTTAAAAAAATCTGATGCTTCTTCTGATCTGTCCTAAGGCAGATATAATTTGTCTCTTTAATTAACCAGTCATGTGATACTTTTTTCATGCCTTGAAAGCTCTTTCCAATGACAAATCAAAAGCCTAAAGACACAACTTAAGTTAATAATCTTGTTCAAAATTTTGAATTAAAATCAAGGTTAAATTGAAGAAATTAGGTTTGAGGTTTTACACTTAGCACAAAATTTAAATAAAATGCTAAAAAAAACCTTTCAGGCACACTATAAGAGCACCCTTTCCCATGAGACTTAACACTAACATTTCAGAGTCAGCAAGTTAAATAATTAACAAAATGTTGAAACTTTCAATTTTATGGAAATCAGTCCAAATTAAATACATTTCTAAGAAAGTGGGGGGAAAGAGGGGAAAAAATGGAACACCTGTGGTGACCAATTGTGGCAACAGAACCAGAAAAAAAGGGAATAGAGCGAAGCCCCATGCAATGCACCGACAGTGATGTGACCTGCAACCAGGTGAAGTTGCGCAAAAGAGCTCAAACCTCTCAATTGGGATTTGTTCCACAGGTCACTCAACGGTCCTGCTGAATTCCCAACAGTTGCGCGTTGAGCACACATTTCCACTGCCTGTGTGAGCATATCATCCCAATGTCCGTCTCTGGGTTGCTCATGGGCTTCATGACATTGTTTTGTGAATGCGTTGGCTGAAAACAACTTGCCCTCCTGCAGAGGTCTTGCATTTTGAAAGCGATTTTCAAAGTCGTCCCATGTGCTGGGATTATATTCAGAGCCACAGTTGTTAGTGGCGCCAGTGTCTGCACTGCTCTCAGTCTCAATGAATGCATGTTTGAAGTATCCTTTATTCTCAGTGCAAACTATGGAAATAGCAGGGCAACAGAAGCAGCGAGCAGGATGGGAAGAATAGCAGCAAACACCTTCAGGTGAAGCAGAAAGAACTTTACTATACTTACCAACAAAGGCCCCGAATTCAACAGAACTGCCATCATCATCTAAATCCTTTCTCGGCAGGTCAGCTGAATCACCATCCGACACAAACTCCAACTGGCTTTTGCCACTGGGCTGAGATGGGGTGCTAACAAAGAACTGGGCAGATGGGGAGGAGAGGTTTGGTATGCTGTGGAATGAATGTCCTGGTATTTGATCACAGTTGAGAGACTGGGTTTTCCCTAGTCCTAAGTGGCTTCTATGCCGGAGTTCAGAAGGCGATCCTGTATTTGACAATAAGGCACAGCCCGAGGACCCAGCCTCCGGAACATTCAGTACATTTCCCTGCCAACTTGGAAGCAAATCCTGACCTAATTTCCTGCCCGAAGCGTCAACGTTGTCTTTAAGGGAACCATTAGCACCGATAGAATCCCCAGAATCCATCACTCGTTGAGGGAAAGAGGAGCCAAAGTAGGTTCCGATGCTGTGCTTTTTGCGAAGCGAAGATTTAAGTGGGGCATCGGCGAGATTCTCCCCCAGATTTCTCGAAATGCTCAGCTCACGGGAGATCTCATTGTGCACCTTGGTGGCTTCAGAGGCTTTTTGGGCAGTCAGTGCTTTCAAGGTGTCCACTGTGAGAGCCGACAGGTCCTGTAGGTGACCAATTTGACAATCCAGCGACTGCAGTGACCGTTTGATGTAATTCACACGATCACCCACTTCTTTCAGCTGGATGGACATATTCTCAACCCTAAGNAAAAAAGAGCCAATTCAACCATTTTAGAGTTAACACTACAAGTTAAAATAATAATAATGCTTGCATTTGATATAGCATCTTATCACATCTTCGAGATGTCTCAAAGCGCTTCTCTGGACAACCTTGAGCTAAAAGAATCCTTTTACGGATACGAAATAAAAACAATACTCTCATTCCCCAAGGGCGCTGCATATTTACAATATTTCAGTAATTTAAAACGGTTGTACCTTTCAGAGGTCACCCGAATTCTTTCCTCACTACCTGAATGAAACCGATCTTCTTTTTCATGGAAGTACTTCTCCACACATTGCTCTTCAAAGTCGTGCAATTTTTTCTGGTCTTCCTCACTTAAAAATAATTCTGAAAAGGACAACGATAAAAAAAGGATGTGATCTAGAGTTTTTGCTTACTGAAGCGAACAGTAAACTTATTTTTAAAAACATTTTTAAATACTTCCAGTCAAAAGCCTTATACTAAGTGAATCTGTTCATAATATTTGTGTTTATCTGTGCATAAAACAAAATGGAGTTTGATCCCCACAACATCTTCAACGAAACAGAAAAAGCCTGGAATAATGGAAGTCAAGTCACCCACTCCACTCTTGCAGCAGAATGATGATCAATGGAAAAAGTCTGCCAATAGTCATGGAATGGAATTACTAGCCTGGGAATGCAGGAGTAGATAGGAACACCCTTGGACAATTGTAGATAGTCAAATCCAAAAAGGGATAAGATTCAGTCGTTATCTATAACAAAATCTTGTCTGCTGACTCTGACATTTACTGTGCTTTGGATCTTTACAGCCTGTGTGTAGTCCAGAGGAACATATTGAAAACAGAGTCAGGTTTAAATAACCCAGAGTGTGAATGTGGAAAGGGACAAACTTCTGCAGCATAGTGCAAAGGTATAATATAATTGTTCAGTAGCAAGGCTTGCATCTCCAAGTTTTGTTTTATAAATCCTTTTTCAATCTACTTTAGGATTCTAAGAATCCTCATTTGTGCAAATCAGATTATTTATTAAGGAATACCATTTGAAATCACTATGTTATCTTCAGCTCAAGAAAATTCACCCAGTTGTTTAAGCTGGCATTCAGTTGTGTCTACTTACTTGGTCCACCTTGACCTCGGTCACGTTTTCTACCTTGTCGGCAGATATGAGAGATTAACAAAGCAAAGTGGCTGAGGATGATGAGAGGAGGCGGGAGGACAGGTTTTTCATGATACGCCATGATAAAGTGATACCGTTGATACTTCCATACAATGTTCGAAATGGCTTTTACTTGGAAATATACATTACTAAAAAAAAAGAAAAAATATTGCTGTAATTTATAAGGTTTAGTCAGAATATGATACGACACCCACCCATTTAACTTCAAGGAAACATTAGCACCATGTTAGCTAGAGACAAAAAGTTTTGAGCTTCCAGCATTTGAAGTTTCCCCACTGCCTCTAAATTGTGCTTCCCTCAGCCAATTTTCACTCTCTCTAGTTCAATGCACGAGCAAACAAAACTTTGCGGCAGAATATGAGTTATGACTAAATCAGGGAGTGGTTATTGCACTTCTAACAATTGGTGACATTATGTTTATAAATATAAATAGTATAAATAGATGCATTGCTATTTCTGAATCTGAAACCTGAAGTTAGGTCTCAATTAACTTTTTACATTCTAAACAATTGGGAGCAATAACTGCTCTGTGAATCCAAATGCATGAATTGAACTTACACCAAAAATATACTCTGCTTAAAATCTTTTTTACGGTTAAATGTTAGGTGAATAATCAAACACTGATTTATTAAATATTAAACTCTGTACTGTAGTTTGATGCTCCAGCTATAATACATATTTGGCACGGACATTGCACAACCTTTTCTGTACCAGGGCCAAAATTGCAGCATATCTAATGACTTCTTAGATATTAGGATTCTGCTAGTTTCAACAGGTATATCTGAACTTTGTCTTCGAGATATTAGCTCAAGGATATGAATTTTCTTTTAACTTCTTATCTCAATTTTTTATCTAATTTCTTTAACATGAAACCCACTCATTAGTATAGTTGAGCTGTAAATAAAATTTCGCAAATTAATAATACTTTTATTGTGTCAGCAAAGTTTGTATTAGGTCATTAGACAGTGTAAAGGCTACAGGTTACAGTAACAAAGTGTTATAACACCTCCAGTTAGCAATTTCAGAAGCAAGTATTAGCAATCGGCCATCTATAGAACTAAAGGCAGCTGATCAAAAACATTGGTTTTTGTTTGGGAGGTTGCATTAAATACCTGAAATTTTGGTAATCCAAATGAATAGTGAGGGGACAAAGAGTCTTAATACATCTAAACATATACTCACTTGAAAAATGCAATGAGAAGATTCACCATGAGGATATACTGCACAAAGAGGTAGACTGCTTGTAAGAATGGTGTTATCCAATAACCAACAACACAACGCTCCTTTGCCCCTTCTTCAGTGTTGTTGGCGCAGGCTGTGGGGGTGATAAGGAGAAGAAAAAAGACAAAGAGCTTTTTATTACCCAGTATAGTTTTTCTTAAGCGGTATAAACAGCATTGCCTATTAAGATTAATAATAATAATCCTTGCATTTGATATAGTGCCTGATCACCGCATTGAGACGTCTCTAAGCGCTTCAGTCACAACTGTGAAGTGAAGTGACTGTCTATTTGGGGGCGAAACTTGACAGCCAATTGCGCACTCCAGTGTCCCACAAACAATAGTGGATTGAGTGACCAAATTATTTTTCTTAAAAATTTGTATTGAAATATAAGTGACGAGAATATAAATTGTTCACGGTCCACAACAATATCCATAATAAGATCATTCAACAACAACATGAATTTATATAGCGCCCTCCACGCCGGATGGCGTCTCAGAGCGCTTTACAGTAACGGATCCCGGGACTGAGCCAGGGGGAGGGGGGGGTGGGGGGGGGAAAGGTGACCAAAGGTGCGGTCGAAAAGAAAGGTCTTCAGCAGAGACCTGAAAATGGGAAGGTAGGGAGCGAGGCGAAGGGAGTGAGGAAGGCAGTTCCAGAGCCTCGGGGCATAATGGCTGAAGGCACGGCCGCCAAGGGTGGAGCGGAGGACTCGGAGGAGGCCAGACCCGGGGGAACAAAGGCAACGGGTGCTGTTTGGAGGAGAGAGGTAGGGGTTTGCAGGGACTTGAATACAATGGTGAGGATCTTGAAGTCGATCCTCTCTGGGATAGGCAGCCAGTGCAGTCTGGCAAGGACTAGAGTGATCGGGGAGCGGAGTTTCGTGCGGGTGAGAATGCGAGTTTTGAATGATTTGGATTTTATGGATGGTAATGGATGGGAGACTGACAAAGAGGGCGTTAAGAATTTCTGAACCTTTCCAGAAATTTAAGGAATCAATTTTGAAAGTAAGTTACTTACGATCAATTTCATATGCATATACTTCACCGTAGATCATCCAGTAAGGCTGAAAGACTATGTCTTTTGCTAGTTCCCACGATGCTTCCTTATCTGGATAAAGGATCGCCTTCCTTGGAACGCCAAAGCTCAGTAGCACAACTGCCATGATCACCACAATGTAAAACATGTTTGCCACCTAGCAGTCAAGAGGGAAAAGGCAGAAGAGCAGGCACATTTTGGAATCACTAAAAAAAATGTTGCATACTTCATATCAATGACAAAAAACTTCATTGCATCAAAATGATTCAGAAGTTTCACGAGTTCTTTGTTCAGATAAAATTTGAGATTGTTGATAGAGAGTTTAAATAGTTTTCGTTAAAAATTAAGTAAAATAATTGCCCAATGATCCACTTACCATTTTACCTATCATTGTGACATAAGGTCCTGCATGCTGATTCACTGCTAGAAAATCGAGGAGACGCACGTACCAAAATATAATGTTGAGGCAATAGGTTATTCTGCCGGCTGTTAAAATGTCCCCGGTTCCAAACCTTAGCCCGAAACCAACAAAAAACAAAATAATTGCGATTGTATCGGTGATGTTGAAATAATCACTGAAATAGACCTTGATCTTCTGATTGATCTTTCCGGCTTCTGACATGAAAAGCTAGATGTGAAGAAAAATTTCAAAATTAGAAAAGAAATCCACGTTTTGACAAACCAAAAATCAGATTGTGAGGCAAGACTATGCTACATATGGACCACCCACCACCTCTGACAACGGTTTTAAAAAAAATAGATTGTTTTATCGTCAGCCAATGGAACTATAACTAACATTAGCCTAACTTAACATTGGCTATTCAATCATAATACTAAACCCACCATCAATATTTCCATCATTCTCAGATTACCCCTAAACCATTGTGTGTGGCACTTAAAACAATTTTGCAACAAAGAATTCTGTGGATTTTACAATATCTATACTATGAGTTGGAACATTTTTATATAATACTTGCATTTAATACAATGCCTTATCACGTCTTCGAGACGTCGCAAAGTGCTTCACAGAATATACTGTAAAGTGAATTGACTGTTTATCTTGTGAGCAAAATACAGCAACCAATTGTGCACAGCAGCGTTCCACAAACAGTATATGCATCACTAAGACTAATTCCCACCTCTCTAATTTTCTCTATGGCTAAGGTAAAGATGAAGGATATCACAATCCATTCTTGAAAGGAAGGCGAGCCTTTCATATGTACCAGAACGACATATGTATAGAGCATGAGGAACCCCAAATACGCCAACTGGAAAACACAAGACAGAGGAATGTTTAGAAAATAAATGAAAGAATGATGTAATAGGTCTCAAGTCCATGCTCTGCATCTCAGGAACAAATTGAAAAGAAGTTGTCAGTTTCTCCTGAATATGAATCTTTTAGGAACACGAGCAAAATACAACAACAACAAAATTACATTTGTAAAGCACTTTCATGTCGGGAGGACGTGAAAGGTACTTTACAAAGTTTCCATTCTACATCCTCGACTATAGAAAAGTTTGTTATCTTTAACTGGCCAGCTCATGGTTTAGAAAACTATATCACAATTTCAACCCACAGATGTAAATTGTTAAACACTGCACAGATGCTAATTATTCATCTATTTTGGGTCCAGATTAAACGTTACATGTGGAATTTAACCTCAAAACAGACCAATATTCTCTGATTTACGAATACATAAAGTGAGTTGGATTAGCGTTGATTTATAGTGAGCATGTTGCTGCGAGAACATTTTGCTTTCCGCAAATACTCTGAACTAACAAGACTTTATCATACATACACCTTCATGGAAGGTGTGAAGTACTTCTGTTTTTCTGTCAACTTTGATCTTTTCTCCATAATGATTCTTATTATTTAGCATTACATCCATTACTATTTGTTTTGTTTGCAGCTTCTCTCGCTTGCAATATATTGTCCCACTTGATCCAGTTTTCCTTAAATCAGCTCAATACAGATGCGATTGAAATGTCACTTTTCAAAATCATTTTTCATAGAGACCTTAGGTCCCAGAAATGATTCTCTGCATGCACTGAATTAGCAAATCTTAGCCAGGAAAGAGCACGCACACACATACATTTCTGTGTTGCTAACTTACTGTATTAAACCAGAACTTTGCAATGGGTGCATGGTAGAAATAGTAGAACTTCCTGGTGATAGGCAGTCTCCTCTGTTTATTCAGGGGCACATCGTCCTGCTTCATCTCATGGAGGTCACAGATGCCCTCTTCCTTGAACACATCCTGGATTACATCAAAAAAAAATTGTGATGGGTTTATACACTATATAAAGAGAGAACATGAAATACACAGCTGTATAGCTTACTGAGAATCAAGCAAACGGCATTAGTTTACAAACCCGTTCTTACCATGGATATCTGATCACTGGGGATCTGAAAGTTGTGTTCACTGTCCTCCATGTTCATCTGATGAGCATCTTCAGATTGAGGAATATGAGACATTTCTGCCTTGGTTTTAAACTCCAGCATTAGGATAGTGGGTGGGAACAGAATACTCAGAATAACCTATTTAAAAAATAATTCCATTTGTTAAAAAGATTGCAATCTTTCCCTGCACTCTCCATGGCATAGAGGAGATGGGAATGCAAACTAGAGAAAACGGTAATCAAATGCACTGTCTGTTGTGTCAACACCTAAAAGTACATTCTTCAGATTGCTTTGGTTTTTAAATTACTTAACTCATTGAACCCACAAAAACAATGACGCCTTGTAGGAGGAACAGTAGCGTTCTTGACCAAGGATTCTATATAAATCTCCTCGTCTGTCTTTGGTAAACTCACAAATGTTGTGCTTCACCCCCCAAACAACCAGTGTAAATTGGGGTTGAGCAAGCAGGAACCATACCGCAGCCAAGCAACTGACAAAATCTGAAGACAGTGGTTTCAGGAGCAATGCCATTCTTACTGGCAATAAACTGGGATCAGTCTTCTATGACCCACTGAAAGTTTTCCAGATCAATGAACTACCTACACTTTATTTTAATGCTTTAGCAAAAAATTAAAATCCCAAATCACGCGTTAGNTTTTTTTAATAAACAGGCATACAATGCAATATGACAACAATCTACTTACTATACGTTAGGCTTCTGGTTTGAAATTGCTCTTTGCCCTGGTTTGGACTTTTGGGGATAAGATTTGCAACACTAAAGAGGTCTTTATTAAAAATATTCATGCAAGTATTTACCTTATACCAGGAATTCTTTCTCATATTCAGCCTTCCCATCCACATGTCTGACAGCAGCATTTGGGTACAGGTGTGCGCCACAAAAGGGCGAAGCCTCGAGTTAACTGCCAATTTAAGGCACGTGGAGTTGCTCCAGTTCTTCAGTTCATAAGTCAGCAACTTCATGGCCATTGTCTCATCGTGTCTGAAGGACTGATCCAGTAGATCTACTGCTAGCTGTCCAAATTCACTGAAACATAAAGGCAGCCCTGAACATCCTAACAGATTCAGCCTGACCCACTTTGCCTTCTTAAAAGTGTGAAATAATTGTTTGTACAAAAACTATTTTCTGCTGAGCCGTCTCTAACCCAGATGGTCTCAACTCAGCTGGAGTGACCTGCAGTGGACATCTGCAGCCTCTTTCCTCTGCCTACGTTAGTGTTTCACTGGGGCAGCAGATGTGATGCTCTGCTTTTTTTCAAATTGGACTGCAAGATTAAATAGATTGCATTACCATTGCTAACTAAGGAACGCGATAATGGTTTGCTGTATTGGCAGGATTGTGGTAGCAATCTATGCAGCTGGGAAATCATATGCGGCATGAAGAGAATGCAAAAACAAAATGTTTTTTTAAAATTTCTTAATAAGAAGGTTCATTAATATGCACAAATCCTAATGGAGGTTGCGGGGGGTGGGGGGGGAGGGTAGAAAGGGGGGTACCAGGCCTGGACAAAATAGCTTTTATTTTTATTACAGCGTGAAAGAAAGGCCCCAGGCTGCGAAGTTCATTACTGTTACCTTGAGTACTGTTTTAACTCTTCTGATGTATCATCAACTACATCACTCTGCTTTGCCTCATAAGACATGGATCGATTCAGCTTACAGGCAACTAAAGCCTTAGCCATGGACTCTTCTCCATGTTGCCAGAAGAACATGGCCATCTTCTGCCTCTTCATTAGGACGGCCCACATGAGCAGCTCATTGAAAGGATAGGGAAAACGCTTGGTCTCTGGGTCATCAATGTCCACAATTTCATCTTTGGTTTTCCTTCTCTTCCCCTGATCAACAGAGGATTCAGGCTGAAAGAGCAGAAATGGAAAGTCAGCATTCTCTCTGGCCACTTATCACAGGCTGAAACTCAGTGAGTCAGCATCAACAAGCTGCTCTGCAATTTGCCTAAGATCTACACAATCATGATCATCAAACATGCCACAATCAAGAACAACAAGATTACATTTGTAATAGCACCTTTCATGTTGGGAGGACGTCCCAAGGCGCTGGACAGTGTTCAGCATTTCAGACTTGAGCTGGGGTCAAGGGGGAGAAGGAAGGAGGGTGATCGATGGCATGATCGAAGAGGAGAGTTTTGAGGCGGGACTTGAGGGAGGCTAAGGAGGAGGCGAGGCGGAGTGATTGGGGGACGGAATTCCAGAGTTTGGGGGCAGAGTGGCTCCTGAAAAGCTTCAAAAGATTACAGCAACAGAAATGTGTGGTTCATGCAATTTGAAGTCAAATAGTGAGCATTACTTTAAATTGCCAATACCTTGGGTTTATAAGGCTGGGCAGTCTTGATGAAGTGATTATGTCGAGTCTTCTCTTTTTTATCCGCTCGGTTAGTCAATGATTCCTGGTGCTTTCGCAGCTGAGGTCCGCTACCTGTCGAATGTCGTCCAGATCTCTAAAATGTTTGAAAAACAAGAAAGGGTATGGCTTGTTGGAGTGAGAATATTCTGGATTGCCTTCTTCATTCAGGCTGTACGAATATTTATTTTGAAAAAGGTTTGAGGGCAGAATTATGTGGTCCAGTGCAGAACGTAAAAAGAACATACCCGATTGTTTCCGTGGAGGTTGTTGTATATAATTCTGAAGCGTTTCCTCGTATATGTACACCTATAGGTTCCACCCATAAGGTATTCAATAACGAGACCCACATCAATTAAAATGATTTTATAATCTGGAGGAAGATTCCCCTGAAAAAATAAAGGGAGATATTTTAAATAGTTTTGAAAGTCTGTAAGGTTTGAGTCTTGGAACACATTATCTTAAAAGTCAAAATGCGTTTCTCTGCCTCTTAAATTCCACATAATCCTCAATGGACGGCAACTCTAACTCATGTTTTAGGCTTTCTAACAGCTAGAGGCAGTTTGGAAGAAGCCTTTCATAGTCTAATGACATTTCACTCTTGTGACATCAAGAAGAATCTGGCTCTGGCCAATGCAAACCAATCATCCAAACCACTGTGCCAGAATTTGCTGCAATGGGGAGTGATAGACAAAATGAACCCACAGCACAGTTATAAAAATTGTACCAATTTATCAGCCTCATCTTTTAATAATAGAGATTGAGTGTAAGTATAAGAATGGGAAAAACAGCTTGTTAAAAGCAGGTTATTGGGACCACTCCTACCAAGGTGCATTTTATCATTCAACTGGCGCTAAAGTGATCATTTCTTGTTCTTTTATCATCATTTTGTTTTTAAACCAAGTTTATTTTAATTGTTAACAATAAATCCCATCATTGTGGAAATATTTTTGGTTTAGCATTTCAGTTTAGCAGTAATCACACCACTGAGAAAATCAAGGAGTTACCAATAGTGCAAGGGAAACTGCAATCTGGTCCCGAGCATCTTCCACGGTGCTTTCACACATTCAAAACTCTAATAGCAGTGAAGTAACTACTAGTGTAAAGTCCTCCAATGTAATTAAATCAATCATAAACCACAGCATGAGAACATACAATGTGAAGGCAAGCACAAGGAAAATTACCTGTTTCACATCTCTCACTAAATGAAGCAATGTTGGATTAGTCGGTCCTTGTTTCTGTGAAGACATAACAGTATTATTTATGCAAAAACACAGGACTTTAAAATATGAGAAACAGCAAAGCACAACTTACAAAAGGCCTGCAGTTAGCATCCCTAACCTTTTTTTGTACGTGGTGCAAACTCTAACCCGTTAGGATAAAGTACAGGCCACAAGCTTACTATTGCTGGTGGCAAAATTGCCAGAAACACTCAGTGAATATTTGTGTTGAATAAATTAGCGACATCAATCTCTACATATTCAATCTAAATACTCTAGGGCACATTTTCTTCATCCACCTGGGTTTTCAAACAGTGAACAGTTCCACACTTACTGTGTTGTACAGTTCTTCCAGCCTAGGGATTGTAAGGAACTTGTGCATGCTCACTCCATTTTCAATGAGAAGTTTTACGAATTCCACTCGGTCCATGACGAGGGCATCCAGCATTGCTTGTTCCAATGACCCAACCTGTAGCAAACAACCAAAATGTAGTTGGTTTCAAAATGCCATGACTCTGCAAAAGACAACAGGCAGAGCCAAGTGGCTACAATTTTACAAGTTTGACCATATTTCAAATAATTTTACTTTTGAAAACAAATGAACAAAATACCTGTTGTATTTTACAATTAAAACATTTTAATGTGTGATACAGCTTCATATTTACCTTATCTTTGTCTATAATCAGGAACTTAAAAAGAAAGTGTTCTGTACAGGAACTGCAAAGGTCAAGTTTCAAAATAATAATCCTTGTATTTGATATAGCGCTTTTCACGTCTTCTAGACGTCTCAAAGCACTTCACAAAATATACTGCAAAGTGAATTGTCTGTATATTTGTGGGCGAAACGCAGCAGCCAATCATACACAGCAGTGTCCCAAAAACAGTTATGCATTAAGTGACCAAATTATTATTTTTTTTTTCTTGAGGGATTATTATCAGGCGTGTTAAGTAAGGAAACTTGCCCAAGGTTTTGACCTGCTGGGAATCAAACCCAGGTCTCTCACTTGCAAGGCGAGTGCTCTAACCACTGAAATACAGGACTCCACAATGGGAAATATTAATAAATTAAGAAAATATTTCTACTTATGGGGATGAAATATATAAGCAGTCAAAATTGAGTTGTGCAATGTCAGTTGTAACGAAAAATAATCTGTATATTCCAAGGAAGGCTGGAATTCTCTCCTCTCAGCTCAAACCCACCTCTGTAATCAGCGCAGATTATGAATATTAATATTGAGTCTAATGCCTATTTTTGATGCAGTTTAATATTGCAGAGGTGGTCTGTGAAATTCTTGATAGCTCATTGAAGATCAAATCTGTGAAAAGCACAAGCTACCTTGTCCATGTCGTGTACACACCCGGATTTGAACATTACCCACTGCAAAGACGACACTAGAAGGTCAATATTTACATACCAGCCATTGCTGCCCATAAACAAATGCGTGGTTCTTGGCAATGTCCACTCTGTCCCAGGCAAGAGTTAAGATCAACTGGTCAAATGCAGACAAGCTGGTACCTGTATTAAATGAAAGAAAAGGAAGTCAAAAGGAAGTGTTGGAAATAATTAATGCTAGTATTAATTGGTGTACGAATGAGAAAATCTGCATTAATTTACTTAAAGGTACACAGGTCAAGAATGCTGCCTGGATAACACTACAGTTTTCTTGTACTGGGCACAATCACTCTACTAAGTTTTCTTTCAACTTCTGCTGAGCTCCCGCTGGGGACTGAGGGTAGAGTGAGAAGTTTAAAATCCTTTTGCACTTCAGAATGTAGGATGTGTACTGTAATCTTAACTTTGTTGAAATTCCACAACAGCCTCTCTTACACATCAGAGGCTAAACTAAATAAAACTCCAATAAGAAAACTAATTCTCACTTTCTTTTTAATTCTTACCAAACTCTCGATTATACTACTTTTTTTGTTGGTCTCGGCACTCTAGCTCTCTCTCTTTCTCTCTCTGCCATCACTCTGATTTCAAATGTTGGACAGACATGGTCATTTCCTTTTTTCTGGATACTTTATTTCCGACTATCCTGCCTCATTCTGGGTCTTTCCAATGTCTCAGTTCCCGATCTGAACACTGTAGCGTTCAGAAGAGAAGCTTGGAATGGAGGATTCCTGGTCCTGGGCATCACTCATTCTCAGACATGCACAGGGCTCCACTCTGCACTGAAAAATACATCTGCAATGGATGAAAGTTTGACCAACATTTATTAATTAGCAATTAAGAGTCAGTAACAGTTGCATGCACTGGTTTTAATACCACATAACTCTGATCCAGAGGTTTACCAAGTTCGCAAGTTACTTGGCCTGATAGCACTGGTTTGATTGCTCGTTTGGTGGAACAGTCTTTTTTTTAAAAATATTGAAGATTATAAATTTTGTTGGCCAACCTTTACGGCCAGTTAAGATTGAGGATTGTTACAACATTTAAAGCAAGAATTCTTACCCTTTAACAATGCTGTTAGAATGGCCACATCTATGTCTTGATGCTCCTCTGATCCAATATGATACACTGTAATCTGAGATCACACATCAAGTTACTTGCAGCTCAAAATTTTCATATAAGAACATTACTCTTGGCTGGGGGGGTGGAGAGAAAGTCAGGAGGACTCACACAGAAAAAGCTTTATTTATTGATCTCTTGTGGATTTGCAGCACTTCAAATTATTTGACTTCAAGCATTTGTTTTCATATTTTACCCAAATGGGGGGAGAGATGCAAGAATATTTTTTTCCACAAATAACGAAACCACAATGAAGCACTTTCAGATAATGAGAGATGAAGCCTCAGTGTCAGTCAAAGGATGGAAAGACAGCACTAGATATACATTCGGCATATAAAAATATTCACAAATCTAGCACAAAATAGGTGTAAGCAAAAAGGATTTGCACTCTGTTCCAAATAAGGTACTTACATTTTAAAAAGCAAATTACTGAACCAGTTTAAACATTTCTATTCCCCATGCTTTTCATCCTTAAAGCCCCATCATGAGATTACCAATTTTAAAGTATATTTGTGCCAAATTGTGAGTAGTTTGGGGCTGTGGTTTTGTGCCAACTGGAAACCAGATCAAGACCATCTAATTCATTTCACACAGGGCCCTTACAAACAGTGAGATATACATGTATCCATCAGTATGAGACTCATTCAAACCCATTCAGATCCCGCAGCCAAAAAGACAGTTTGGTAATAGACTGCAGAGTAACTTATTACACCTTTCTATTCCCACAGTGTAATTTCACACTTACAAGTTCTCGAGCCTTCATACATTCCATCAAAGTCTGGAATAGATGCTGTGCCTCACTATGGCTAAAGTTGAAGGTTTTTTTGATTGTTGTGATGATTTCTAATTCCAATCCATCTGGAAGTATTCTACAGAAATATAACACAAAGCAGACCAGCTGAACGCAATGGCTCATAAAACACTTTGCTAATTCACACAAACTTCTTTTAAAAATGATTGTAACAGAGAACAATAAACACCTCATACCACAAGGACATAAGTTTTATTTATAGTTAAAGCTATAGAGAAAAGACTGAACCCTGAAACCAAGCTGTTTCAAAGGAATGTTACAGCTACCGTTGTGTGAAAGGCAACAATTTCTAGAGGTTCTAGAGGTGTGTCTAAAATATTTATAACAATGCAAACCCATTAGCACGAATTCTTAAGTTGTGCATTATCACTTCCTGTTCATGTGTAGCAAAAGATGCCAAGTGTGGGTCCACCCACTTTATAATGGGCTACCACTTTAGATAAATTTATATGAAAGCTGAGGTGATTATTAAACAGATGAAATACTGAACAGTGCATCAAATAGGCAGTGCAGAGGAGAGCAACAAGGATGATTCCCACTGTGTGAGGAATGAGCAACAATTAAACAAACTAGGGTTCTTCAATCTCAAAAGAAGATGTCTCAAAGAGGAAGTTATTATTATACGATGATTGTGTTATAATAATTCAATCATCATATAATAATAAAGATCACAAGATTCGGTCGGGTGAAGAAGGTTCTTCAGCCCATCTGATCTCATGCTTCCACAGCATCATCCTCAATCACATCAAGTTGCTGTTTTAAAAAAAATGAGTCCAATATCCTGGCATTAGCTACCATTCCTGGGCACCTGTTCCTGGTCATTCATTATCCTCTGGGTAAAGAAAAACTATGTGTTAATTTTGTGTGGGCATTAATAATTGGAGATGAAAGTATCGACAAAATGTAATGTAAAGAATACATGAGTTTCTTACCCTCCTTCCTCAGTCTGTTTGTGCACATAGGCCAGTAGGTCTGCAGCACGACCCGTTCCTTCACACACCACGACAGGCACAGGGGGGCTTTCCAGTAGGTAGTCCAGCACAGTGGGGATCACATTAGGACCACCTTCAAAAATCAAAGCTACTACTGGTACACCCTGGCCAATCCCTATAAGAAAAAAAAGCAAAATGGCTTAATACCTAGGACCAATAATTTTACTGAAAACTCAGTAGAAATCGGTTTGGGGGTGGAGAGGGAAAGAGAACTGGTTTCACAATATCGCATTACAGCTCCATCATCAAGCCAATGGGCAAAACAGTGGAGTAGAAATCTTGTAGCTTTTCTGAAGTATTCTATCATTTTTTATATTAATCCCTGATTCATGGAAAATTGCTCCTTTTGGTGTTGCTTCTCACACAACTTGTAGATGAAACAAGGTACTCTGCCAAATGACATCCAGGACTGACCTGGATATTAATTAGGTGGCAACTCAGTTTAAAAACAGGACCTGGTGTTTCTAAATTTTCCTGTTGATGCACATCATACAAAGTAAACCATCCTGTGAAGTGGAGGATTCTTACCAACTTTATTGAGGCACAATGCACAGTGATCTCTAACAAAATTCCCCAAATAAAAGAAGCCCAGGGAGAATCCTGTAATCTGAAGTAAGTTATTCCGACAGTGAGATATTCCACACAGACTGCTTTGAAAAGCAGTGTTCTCATCAGGAATCTAGTTTGAATCGGCACACGTTAGGTCCCATTGCGTAGATAAGGGAAGGTACTGAATGTCAATTACACCTCTGAGCATTCCTCACCTTTGAGATCAAAAACCCACGTCGTAAAAAAACAGGGAAAGTAAAGCAGGGTGGCTACTTGAGGAATGTGCATGCTCCACAACTGTGACAAACACTTCTGAAGTTAAATTGGGAAGATGGGGAGATGAGGAGAAAGAGATAAGAGAATCCTAAATACTTCAAACCACACAAGGGCAGTAGGTAGAAAAAGTCTATGCAAAAGCTTAACATGCACAGACATATGGGTCCAGATTGTTAAAAACTGCAGGTTTTTTTATTGAAATATTTACCAGTAATGCCCATTCCCTTGGCTAGGAATGATGCATAGACCAGAGCTGCCTACAAAGAGGAAGAAAAGCATAAAATAAATATAAAATAATCAAAACCAAAAAATAAACACTTCGAATTGATAATAGCACCTTATGGCAGAACATCAGGAAGGACGTTATACAAAGAGGTTTGTAAACGTAGCAACTCTTATATAGACAAAATGACAAAAATGGGACACTAAAGTGGATATGTCAGTGTAACATTTGCAGAGGACACAAAGCTATGTGACCAGATGATCAAGAAGGTCAATAAAACTTAGAGGGATCTGGACCCATTAAGTAGATGAGCTGAGAAACAGCAGATAGATTCTAATGTGGATAAATGCTAGATAAATGATTTTAGGAAAAGAAATGGTAAACATGCATATACAAAGCGAGGTCGGTAGTTAGCATTTGGTGAGGAAACAAATTGGCTATGATCAATGATCAGATGGTGAATGAATGAAGTCAATCTGAAGCAGATGCCAACAAAACAAATGACCTACTGAAAACTGAAAAACATTTGGAGAGCATTGAAGTACAAAATATACTAGGTTACAACATGAACTGTGAATAGATCACTGGAGAGACCAATTCTGTAATATAATTGACGATCTGCTCATAGCTCAATAAAAAAAGGACACAGAAGAAACTAGAAAAGGTTCAGAGAAGAGCAGCCAATAGGATTCCTGTACCGATGTTTTGGATGAATAATTTCAATTGGGTTGACAACTTCTTCCTATGTCAAATAAATCCCATTTCTCTTTGTCCCTCCTCTTCGACTGTGCTTTCGATCTCCCTGCGTCCCCCCCCTACTTCACCACCCCGACCCTCAGCTCGGCTCCGTAACTCTGTCTGTCCAGTGCCTTGGGACGTCCTCCCGACGTGTAAGGTGCTATATAAATGTAATTTTGTTGTTGTTTCTATTTGAACAACAAAATTTGTGAGCTTCTGGTTTTAAAACTATTTTGAAGTTCCAGAATGATATTTTACTCTTCTTTGGACTCTAGTGAATTAATGTCATTTAGAGAATAGAATGCTCAAAGCTATATTCCTAGCATTGCCAAAATAAGCTGCAGAGTTAAAATAAATTAGGGTCAACTTAGTCGTTCCATTACTCAATTAACCTTATACTCCAAGAAAATTACTCAACAGATATTTTCACCATATAATTGCTAAATCATCTTTAAATATTTTGCTTCTCAACTTTTGCCAATGAACCTCATGTGCATATGATATTTCTGGTTTATATATAGATTCCCTGATATTCTTCCATATTAAAATGCATCAGCCATTCCAAAGCTTGCACCATGACCACAGAACTCACTTGCATGAATCTTCTGAAGATTGATATGTTTTTCCAGTTCTCTCCGGAGCTTGACTTCAGCACCATACTTCCCGACTGTTCCATCGTCCACCAAGATGAAATGAGAATGCAAATTGTTTAAGACATTCAACTTACTCAAGGGATTCAACAAAGTCTGGTAAGGGGCAACAACCTGCAAAACAGAAGGTATTCATTTGGTTATTTTCTTTATCAAGCTATTTTTTCCAAACTAGAAAAATTCGACAATGGAGAGCCAAACTGAAGGTTACGTGCTTACATCTCTTCCAATAAGGTCATTCCTATTTTCAATCACACCCCAGGGTGCAATTCCAATTGTGCAAATCTTCCGAGATGAACGTGAAATATGTTCTTTCATTGCATCACCAACATGTTTCACGACACCTAGTAAACAGAACAATAACATCTTCATCCCCACTTCAACCAATAACAGACTGAGGACAGATCAATCCTGTCCTACAAGATGAGTGATCATAGATCAAAATTATAGCATAATTTATTTTAGAAAAATGAGTTAGAAAACAAATGTTTTTTGCACAGAGAACGGATAAATGCGGAATATGGGCTGCAAAATACTCAAGGCAAGAGTCTGTTTTAAACTAGAAACTAGATTTAAGATGCTTGAAAAAGGACAGTGGGATTAGATTAAGTGGTGTATGTGGACAAAAAACATCAGAGTAGACTCGATGGGCCAAAGACCGGTTTCTGTGTTGTAACATTCTACAATATACACAGCAGCGTATATCAAATATAAGGTTTAGTATTATTATAATTTCACAGAAACATTTTGGCTGAAGAATTTCAAGTAAATTCATGTAAAATACACTGGAGATCTCTTCATTAAAAACTGATTAAACAATGGTTGGCCTTCCAGTCAGAACTACATTCTCCACTAGTTTCTAAGACTACAACAGTAGGTTTCTTTGTTTAGCTTTGGTTGCCAGTAAACTTCCTTGTGCTGAATTCAAATCGACAAGCAGCATGGGTAATAAACAATTTCCTTCATCACCTATCTTTAGGAATGACAAGGTCGTGGGTTCACCAATCAGGAGTGTTAAATTCAATGGGGGGTGGGGGGGGTGGGGTGGCAGAGGAAGAAGAGGAGAAAGAGATCAGGTAGGTTTAAAGCTTTTTTAAAAAACGATTGGCAAAAAATATGAGTAGTACAAACTGGTCAACATACAAACAAATAGAAATGCTCAACTTTGGCCTCCTTTGTAGTCAAACAATGAATGAAGAGATGACAGGCTCATATGAACAGAGTCTTCACCAACAGGTTAGAGATGCAGCACAAATCCAGTGGTTGACGGAAATGTGTTCACATTACCTGCATTCACTCCTCCAGTTAAAATCCAGGCTCCTGTGGTTACAGCTGCTTTGATTAACCCTTTGCCAACAACCTGCTTGATGCGTGGATGGAGTTCAAAGTTTTGCATTCCTCCATGGACAGAGATGACAAGTTTAGGCAGTTCTATCTGCCACTCTTTCAGCATAAGTTTTAAAGCAGCTTCAGGTTTAGTGTCAAAGGATAATCGAACATACTAGTTTGAATAGAAAAGGATGCAAACAATTAGTTCTCGCAATTTCTGACAAAACTACTGATTTAAGTATTCCCACTACACCAACCTCACTGCTATAAGGACCTCTTCATACATGCAGGACTTTAGGAGGAGGCCCTTAGAGAGGCTAAATATTTCTCCAGTAAGGAGGGGAAGAAAATAGTCATAGACAAGTGGTTAGTTATGGAGCGATACTTATAAAGGCTTCCAAGCAGGTGTTTGTGAACACTGATGGAAGATATGAATAGGGGACTTCATTTAGGTACATTTAAGGAAAAAAAGAATTCCATTACTTCCCCATTATTAGAAATTCATCCTGTCCTAGATGTGTGAACATATTTGGCCCCAAACCACAAAAATTTGACCCATTGACACTTGAAAGTTTTCTCCTTTTGGAAGGTTAAAATTTATATTTTTCTCATTATACCCATCAGATTTAACTGTTTGCAGCTCTCTTCAAAAGGGCAATTGAACTGCTCTTTATAAATCACTACAAAAGTGCTCCAGCAATTTTATTGCACAAGTCAATTGTCAATTGCTTTACAGAGTGGAAAAAAAGTACTCCAGTAAAGTGGAGCATAAGCCTGTTATTTTCGTTTCAGGCTTGTAGCACATATACACAATTTTCTAGTGGATCAATAGGTTATTTTTAACAAGATCATTCAGAAACATACTTAGATGCATTTCAATTTACTTTTTCCAACTGATCTTTGAGTAGCATTTTAAAACTGCAGACAAATTAGGAATCTTATGAATGCTTCCGAGAGTTGGAAGAGGAACAGTAAACTCAGCACTGGAGATTAGAACCACCCAAGAGGCAGATTTTGAATCACACAAACCTTGGCCCTGTATGAATGGGACCCGCCCTGAAAATTAATCACTCCATAAGCATCTGTTGGACTCTCACTGGTATGTTTCTCCACCGACCATTCTTCTTGCTCCAGATTTTCAGTCTCACCCAATTTCACGTCGGAGTACTTCACTGCCAAGCTTGCAGTGAAGCCAAGATGCTGCCGGACTAACCGCCCGCAGCAGCACCTGTAAAGAGGTACATGCACATTTAAGCGACTAGAAATTGGTTCGGTAAATGTTAACATACAGCTTTATTTGGATTCATTGGATAAGTTAGGAATATAACTATTTATTTTCCTCAGGTAAGGGAGGGCTAGACATCATGCCTTCCTTGGATTTGTAAAGTATTTCCGTTTAAGGTTGACAAGCAGACATGAGTCATTGCCAAATGTGCTTCACTGGATCACATCAGCCCAGAAATGCACTCGACAACTGTCCAAGCCTGTGTACAAACATCAAAATCTATTGGAAGTCATGTAGTTCAAATAGAATTATTAGAAGAATATGTATATTATAGCATAAAGAATTTCTTCTCTGCTTCAAATTCTATGTTGAAAGCAGAGCATCCATTCCTGGGTAGAAACTGTAGTGTGTGTTGAAACATCCAGTTCTGAGAACAGCCAGGCTTGAGGGGAACCAGTGTCCAAAAACAACATACTAGAGTGGCATGGAGGAAGTTCGTCAAGTTTCCAAACTTCTACCAAAATATTTATATTAAGAATGAGGCAAATGATAATAAACATTTCCAGGCGCCCAAATCAATAATTACTTACTACAGAAATAAAAACAGGCTAACACTGCAGAAAGCAGATATTGAGATGGGTTGCATTGAGGTGAACTCAAATTGCTAATTATTTTCTGATGCACAACACCATTTTCCAGTTGCCAAATGGTGTAGAGTGTACGACCGAGAACCAAGTTCCTCATGATTAAATCTACCACCTAATTAAAGGCATTTCAGGTCACATCTAACTGCAAAGTTAAGAATTTTGCCAATATTCCCACATTTAGCAATAGTCTTGCTGCCGTATTGCCCTTTTGGAACAATCCTGAAAGCTCCCCAGGTGGCAACAGGCAATTTTGTAGATCTGCAGTGAGCCTTGCATCCCTTTCCCACGCGTGGAACATGAAATTTCAACATTGAAATCTCAGAAAAGGAGATTCAAAGAAGCAATGGGAGGCTCTCTGGCAGGTTGCCTCAAAAATATCAACCAGCAATGGCCTACAAAAGGTCAGCGAAGGAATTTCCCCGGACCAAGAACAAATCAGTACTTCTCACATAATTCTGTGGACGGTCTGTTGGCACATAACTATTGGACTACGAGGTAAGTCACTCTGGCTGGATGGGCCCCTCGACTGCAGCAGGGACCCATCCTCCTATTTGCAGCATTTTTTTTGCATTCCACGATCTGGCTGGGTGAAAAGGTTTTGGAAGATAGCCATGACAGGATGATTTACTCTTTTTGGTTGTCTCATATACATTTGGACACATTTTATATTATAATAATAATAATCCTTGCATTTTGATATAGCGCTTTTCACGTCGGGAGGACGTCCCAAAGCGCTTCACAGAACACAGTGTAAAGTGAATTGACTGTATATTTGTGGGCGAACGCGGCAGCCAATTGCGCACAGCAATGTCCCACAAACAGTCGTAGATTGAAAATGACCAATTTATTATTGTTTTTTTTTTGGAGGGATTATTATTAGGCTCTGTGTGGAGTAAGGAAACTTGCCCAAGGTTTCACCCTGACCTGCCTAGAATTGAACTCAGGTCTCTCAATTGCAAAGCGAGTGCTCTAACCACTGAGCTACAGGACTCCACTCCATTATGTTCCATGTACGGATGGGATTTTAGGAATACTTTGTGACGACTCCCTGCTCTAATCCTACCTAGAGGCTGATCCAATTACTGTCTCCCTCCACTACCTCTCATTGAACACTACACCCCACTGAGAAATACATGGTTGGATATTATGACTCATTACAGGTGGAGTATAGAGCCAGATTTCTACACACGCACTTACTTAAATTACAGAGCAAGATTTTGAGACCACTGATAAAACACAAAAATGACCACGTTTTGTCAGTGAAAAGTGGAACAACAAAAATCTGTCTTGTAATCAGCTAGAAAACTCACCAGAAAATGATGAGCAGCAAAAGGCTAGTTACTACTTCAAACACATGCCTTTCTTGAGGTTTCTGTGAATTTGTTCAACTTACTTATCTCCCCCTCAATTTGGTAAGATCTTCCCTTCCTGAGGCTCCCTCGCATACCTCCCCTTCCCTATAATCTCATTTTGCAGTTGAGGAAACAAAACACAACAGCAGATGGTGAAAATTTACCGCAGCTTGATCTGACAGGATCGAGAAAGGTGCCCAAAACATTGGCCTACCTTTCTTTTTTTTTCTTTGAATCGGATGGACCGGTTGTGGACTCACAACGCTATTTTTTTTAAAAGGAAGTGAGGAAGTACAGTAATTTGTTCCCAGGTCTCTGCCGCTAGTTAACTGACCACTAAGAGGTGTGTGGGTTGACCTGCCCTTGGATTCGTCTCCCTCTGAAGCTGCCAGCTCAGAGCATCTGGAGAATTTCAAGGATGGGAAGCTAGTAAAAGTTGGCAGGGGTAAAGTTTGGAAAAAAACACAAGAGACTGCTTCTAAATTGGTACTAAACCATCCACATGATTACAAATTCTTGGTAACAAGCGCACTCTGGTGGGAATCAACTTTGCCACTTGCCCTGTGGGTGGCAGTGAGATGGGGGGGGAAGAGGCGAGAGGAGGGGAAAAGGAGAATTCTAATACACAAGATGTATTTTCGGAAGGGATCTACCAATTGGTCTTTTAAAATACAATTTTCAAGAGAGGGGAGAAAAAAAGTAGACTAAAGTTAAAAATGCATCCATCTATGAATGTTCTTCAATTAGACTCCCTTACTGAATGCAACTGAGGTAAGTGGATGTTAAAAATCCCATGGCACTATTCAATAGGAGGATGTTTCCCCTGTTTCCTGGCCAACAATCCCCTGAACACCCCCCTCCCACCAAAAAAAATCTAATTATGCACTTCATGTCTGTTTGCAAGACAATGCTGTGTGCTATGTTCGCCTGCAAAATACAGTCATACTTTTCAATAAATCCTTTGAAGTGCCTCGAGATCTCAACGGCAGCAGCAACAAAATTACATTTGTAAAGCTCTTTTCACGTGAGGAGGAAGTCCCAAGACGCTGAACAGTTGGGCATCAGGATCCGAGCGTGGTGGGGCAGGGTTAGGGTAAGGGAGGGTAGAGAAGTAGGAGGGCGGCTGAAAGATTGGTCGAAAAGGAGGGCCTTGAGTCGTGCCTTGAAGGAGGCAAGAAAGGGAGCAAGGTGAAGGGATTGTGGGATGAAGTTCCAAAGGGTGGGGGCAAAGAGGCTGAAAGCCCAGCCGCTGATGGTAGGGCAGGTCGGGTGGGAGACATGGAGCAGGCCGGAGGGAGCGGACAGGTTGATAAGGGGTCAGCAGGTTAGAGATGCAGGAATGGGGTAAGACCATGGAGGGCCTTGAAGGTGATGACGAGGATTTTGAATTCTATCTTCTGTGGTATGGGGAGACAGTGGAGCTGGGCGAGGGTGGGAGTGATGGGGTCACGGAGCCTGGTGCGGGAGAGGACACAAGCTGCAGAGTTCTGGATGATATCTGGAGGGAAGAGTTGGGGAGGCCTACAAGGAGGGAGTTTCCATAATCGAGCCTCGAGGTGATGAATGCGTGTATGAAGGTTTCGGCGGCCTGAGGGGCGAGGCAGTGGCGGAGACGGGCAATGTTGCGGAGGTGGGGGAAGGCACAGAAGATCATGGCACGATATGGGGGAAGAAAGGACAGTTGAGGGTCGAACAAGACGCTGAGGTTTCTGACAGGCTTGGTGAGGTGGAGGTGCTATCAAATTTAAATATTATTATTAATACAATACAGTCCTAACATTGCTCAAGATGATTCTCATTTATTTGCTGTCAAATAATTATTCAGACACATTTGGACATATAGTTATAGAATTAGCCTCTACCAATGTTTGATTTGAAGCCTTGCTGATACTTTGTTCACGTGAACTGAACGTTCTTGGGCTCGTGCCACTTGGATAGCTGCCATATCTTCAAGGAACTCAAATCCCAAATACAAAATTATCAGCGATTTTCAGAGCCGGATTACCAATGAAAACAGGTTGCCACTATGATTTTATTATCCTGAAACTTCCCAGCTTTCCTTTCCTTCTTGAAAAAAAGGTTGCCTGAAGTCAAGATCAAAATTTAATTGTGAATTTGTGACATAAAAAAAGAGGCGACTAATGGCAATCAACAGAAATCACGGTATCAGCCTTGCTCAGTTGATAGTACTCTTGCCTCCGAGTCAAAAGATTGTGGAGTCAAACTGGGACTGGATTGGGACTTTGAACTCACAATCTAAGATGACACTCCAATGCAATGCTGAGAGTGCACTCTATTGTAAAGGTGCCATTTATACCAGGCATATATATATAAACCAATCTGGCACTTTCTTAGTCATCAGGAGAATAGTTCAGAGTGAAACATCTGTCATTTATTTTTAGATAGTTATAATCCACCAAACCAGCAACTTTTGAATGTTTTTTTAAGTGTTTACTGGCAGTAAGGCTTACTGTAAGTCATTTTAATAAAGGATAGTAGTTAGTCATCTAAAGATTAGTGTTCACATTACTGGATTAATGCAACTTACCTGACCAACTGCTGGCATATCTGACATCCTGGAAGGCATCTGGAAACAAAAAATGTAACTCAATTGATGGAAACACTATAGAGCAAGGTCAGTGGATCACTAGATCATCAGACTAGGTAAAAGCTGATTTGCCAAGATCAAACATTTTTGGAGCTGATATAGCATAGAAGAGTTTTGGAGATGGTCTATAAGGTACAGACAATTTTAATATTATTTCAAAAAAACACAAAATACTACACATTATCTTAAGGCACTATGATTTAAAGCATGCAACTAGAAACTGCTATTTACCCTTTCATATGCATTCCCTCCTCAAATCACATGCAATCTGCCCTTTTGTGGATTGTCCCCAATCCTGAACGAGATAGCAAGCCTTCCAGGTAAGATTTGTAAAAAGTTTTCTTGATCTTAAAGATTATCAAAACAAATTTCTGGACATATCTAATTTACACCCACAAAATTTCACAGGTGACATTTATAGTACCATTAATAAAGGAACCATTTCATGGTGTAATATTTATCTTTATATCCTTCATTCTGGTTCTTACAAATACATATACATGGCAGTGCAATAACCCTCTTATATAACATAGTTGTTGAAGAATGAACCTCAGATATATGCTTATCAAAGAATCAACTATCAAATAGTGATTATACTGCCTATACAGTGGTAGGTAGTGAAAAATGAAACAGCTGTGACTGACAATTTATTCTGGTTCTTTCAATTTATTCAATCTTCGCCACTATAAGAAATACAAAAGCACATACAAGGTTCAAAATTGAATGGTAAAAAGCTTTACCTGTGGGGATCTTTTGAACTTGGAATTATATATACACATTCCCTCTTTGTAAAAGTATTTTCTATCCAGGATTTCTGGGACTGTAAAAGGAAACAAACCACAATAAATATTTATGGAAACAAATCACAGCCAAGGCCCAAAACACACACACACACACACAATATAGGAGAAAAGCAAGCTACACATTCTGCCCCTTTCCGCTGTTCTGGCTTTATAAAATCACAAATTCAATCCATCTCACTAAGAAAAAAAGGAAATTCACCCACCAAATGTCAGAAGCTCACTGTAAATATAACTGTCCTGTAAAAATAAATACTAAAAATTAATGCATTCTCACTCATACTCATCCACACGCTTTAACAAAGGGATACATTAAGAAGATTAAACCAGTCAATGCCTACCCATAAATGAGTCCCCATCAGACAAGAATTATCTTTTAAAATATAAACTTTCCACTATTTCAAGTCCAAAGAAAAAACGATCGTGCAATATATAATTTGGTATNAAAAAATTACACCTCCAAACATAATGTGAACCGTGACAATTCACCATATGAAAATCAAACATCAAAACAAAATGGAACTGGCTAAGATCTTGTATTGATCCTTCACATTTCGCATGCTGCTTCTTGCTGGTTGCCTTTCTTCCCCCTCAACATTCTAACCATGCCTAGGCCAAAGGTTGCGTGCACATAGTAATGCTGAGATTTACTCCTTTTCCTCTCCTAAATCGTTACACCTTGAACTTAAATGAGATTGTTCAAAGATCAATTTTCCTGTTACAATTCCCCATGTAAATGCACGGGAGAGAAAGAGAGAGAGAGAGACACACACACACACACACGCACACACACACACAAAATGAACGAACTGGTTAGAGAACAGTCCCTTGATGCAACTGCAGTGCAACTCCTGCCATTTCCCCTAATGAACAGCAGTGAACGTCTTACCCAATATGCAAATGCCAGCCTTCCCCATTTTCCAACCAAGATAGTGTCTGAGTATGTGATAACCTTCTGACTCAGGGGCAAGAATGCTATCACTGAACCAGGCTGACACACACTGACACTCCTAATCCAATTACGTCTGCAGAGGCCCCCTTTTAAATAGAAATAAAATTAAACTTTCCTAGCTACAGATACAATAATCTCCAAGCCAAACTCTTCCACCGATGTTAATTTAACCTACTAACCTCTCAGCATGTGATGTGCCATGGGACTTGCCTGTGATCTGTGCCATCAAAGTTTAAGCAAACTAGTCATGCATTCCTGAAACCACATGTATTTGAGCCCTACAGTTTATTATCACATCATCAAGCTTCACAGCTCACGGATCTTATTAGCTCATAAAATGCGACCACATTGATCCTGTAAAATACTTGGCTGGAAAGATTTTGGTGTCTGTACGATGAATCAAATCAAGGTCTCTACGCCTATCTAAAATTACGTCAAGAACACATAATAGTTGATCTTCATATAAGAGGAAGGAAACGATTAGATAAAATGTTCCTATAGGAGTGTTTAGATCTCAAAGGTCATTATCACTAAATGATTGTACAAGGTACAGTCGTATATAGTAAATTAGCTTAAGCATTTAAGGATTGTTTCCTCTTTCCTTCCCAACAGCTTGTGTGTCACGCAATCTTATGGAACTCAAAGAAATTCTGGGCCCAACAAACATCAAGAGGTTTTACTTCAAAACGCATTCTCCTTCCAACTTTCAGAGCCAGAACACATCTAATTCTAATTCCTGCTGAGAATATTCATAGTAGTCACTTGATGCAAAAAAATGACAGCAAAACAAATGACTACCTTCAACTCGGGGTTTCTCAAGAGATGCCCAAGAAAGACACAAGTAAACACACTGTGTAACTTAAATATGCGCAGTTCCGGCTGTACCTGGAAGCTACCACCGCTAATGAGTGCGCACTAGTGCAGTATCGTCCAAGTGTACCTTCAAAGGTTTCTTTCTTTTGATCCTTTCGAATATTTTTGTTTAAACAGCAAGTGCCGAGGTCACAGGATGTGGAGAGAAGGTTTAAGAACGCAGCAGTGTTCTGCAGCAGTTAAGACCAACAATATGAGCAAGAAGAACTTGCACCAGCAAATATATTCTCAAAAAAGAGGGTGTTTCAACACTGTATATTTGGGCAAGAGCTAAACCGTGAGACTCGATAACTATTGCAAGGCAGTGTCCTTGGGTAGGTCATCAGAGCCCACTGTGGAAATGAAATGATTCAGAAAGTATAATTCTTTGAAACACTAATTGAAGGATCACATCCAGCTGGGTGATCGAGAAGTTTCAACTTGATGAGGCGCTGTATAAAATGTAGGTTATTACAATAGTGCTGTGACAGTGCTTTGGATCACATGGTTATGCTTTTCTGCATAAAGATAAGGGTGCTTTGCCTCAAGGAAGGAAACAGAGAAAGTATCACTGAATTGTTCTGCACTTCCTGGTAGCAAAAGCACCATCACCAGTGAGCTGAGAACCAGTGAATGGTTCAGTGGTACAAGAAAGAACATTTCTTTTTGTTTTAAAAATAGTGCCATACTTTTCTGATTTTATACCGAGGCAGCCTAGTGAATGATAGCACTGCGCTTCGCTTCTCTTTCGGTCCATTCTTATACTAAAGAACTGGCAATCCAGATTCTAACTCGCCATTCTTCAAATGCGAACCTTTGCCCACTCATGTTTTCTACATCTCTCAAATTTCCCTTATGTTATTATACATAATAACATTTAACACGTGTTAAAGTAGAACTTGTTTATGCACTGGGCCTGTATTTAAGTGCTGCTAACAAACATTTGCCTCATCACTTTGGAAACTGCACTCGTATACAGCAGTCTGACCATGTCCTGATCATGTCCTCTAGGAAGTAGAGCAAGTCTGTAGTCATGAAGCTTATTTAGCATATGAGTAACCAGCACCAAGCTGCTCTGAGTATTCAGATTGGAAAAAAATATTACACTTAAGCCAACCTGCTTTTATGCTGTGCCAACACACTTCTTGTGCAATTCTCCTAATTCCCCACCTGAAATTGCCCCCATCACCAGTCACTCACTGTATTACTATATTTCTGAAAATGTATTCTGCAGGTACAAGATAACAAGGGCATAAACTATAACTGCACTATTGGGTGGTTTTCACAGATCAAATGAACATATGAAAAAGGCACACACCCATCATTATGCTTTTCTGGTATTCTAGCAGAAAAACCTACACTTTAGCTTGGCAAAAATTTCATATGGCTTTCCACACTGCAACTGTGAATTTAGTCTATTTGCATAGATCTTCTGATACAAAAAAATAAGGTTTTTAAGCAAGCTTTGCTAAGAGGTACACAGAACCAGATGATCCCAAAGTACAGAACATCTTGAAGACCACTATGCGTAAGGATGGTTCAGGGGAGGGTGGAGGATTTAAACCGTTGATCATGAAATATTTTCAAAACTTGTTTTTTTCAACATTTGATAAACTATGCTGGAGTCCTGTAGCTCAGTGGTTAGAGCACTCGCTTTGCAAGCGAGAGATCTGAGTTCAATTCCAGGCAGAGGGCGAAACCTTGGGCAAGTTTCCTTACTCCACACAGAGCCTAATAATAATCCCTCCAAAAACAATAATAAATTGGTCATTTTCAATCTATGACTGTTTGTGGGACATTGCTGTGCGCAATTGGCTGCTGCGTTCGCCCACAAATATACAGTCAATTCACTTTACAGTGTATTCTGTGAAGCGCTTTGGGACGTCCTCCCGACGTGACAAGCGCTATATCAAATTTAAGGATTATTATTATAACTATAGGTAGGGAAAATATTACCTTTTCCTAAATATTGCTTCAGTTGTAGACCCTTTGGAAGCAATGTAAAAGTTGAAAGCTGAGTAGTAGCTCAGGGGTTAACTGTAATTGAAGCTGAAGAAATCCTCCACCTATGATTTTATCATTTCCTAGAACTGTTGTCAAACCTTCACCTCACATTATACTTCTCTATCCAGACTTAAACTACCCCCACAAAAAAGTTCCTGTACCTTGGCATGTGCCCCACAAAGTAACAAAACGCAGCTGATTTATTTTTTCTCTTCCTTCTCAGCCCAGAAGAAATGTCGATTTTATTACATTTCTATCAAAACCCTTGGATTAACCATAGAACAAAGATTAAACATAACCATTTAGCTTGGATTAGTTGGTAGAACGCACACTTCTAAATCAGAAGGTTGTGGGTTCAAACCTACATTAAAACCTGGGAGCCTATAATTGAGGCTGGAACTCCAGTGTAGTATAGAGGGAGTGCTATATTGTTGGAGGTGATGTTCCTCAGATGAGATATTAAAACCAAGGCCCCATCTGCCATTCTTTAAATGGGTATTAAAATTTCAGGGCTGTATTTTGGAAAAAAACAGGAGTATCCCAGTATCCTAGCCAACAATCCTCCAGATTAATTAGTCATTCACTTTATCACTGTTTGTGGGACCATGCTGTGTGCAAAATGGTTGCCAGTTTTCCTACAAATACAGTCAGTACACTTGACAGGAATTTTCTGTAAGTGCTTTGAGACGTTCCAGCATTACAGGCGTTATACCAAGGATTATTATTAATCATCAAGGACACTCCTGATCTGTATAGCTCAGATAAGGTCCTGAAGCAGCTGATCAAAAAAATTATGCTGCCATTAAGTGGTATTTACACAACTCATAGACTGAACAAATAGCATTCATCACTGTCCTTTGTGAATTGGGAAGGTCTACTCAGTGAATAAATATTATATACAAAAGGAATGCAGGTTTTCTCCTCATCGATGCTAGCTCTTAAAACACGTCAGCTCTACAACAAAAACCTTAAACTAGCTATCATTTCACTTGATCAAATACTGTATCAGCATACAGCAATGTTAGAACTGCAACATAGTGGTTTCTTGCAGTGAATCAAGGACATACTTGGATTTACAAAATTGAATCCACATTATTTCAGTACTGATGTACAATAGCAGTAAAACATGGAATGAATTTTGGTTTTGGCATTCTGTTGTTAGCAACGTGCTCGTGATCTTCAAATGTTCTGTTATTAGCCCCAATGAAGTGG